TCACCCACAGTGTACTGATTTCAGAAATTAACAAGGAAAAGCACGGTGTAATTTGTAGTCATTATTTCCAAAGAGAATTTCAGTAATGAAAAGCTGAGGCTGACTTATTTTGATGATATAGCTATCCCACAGCGTACTGACTTTAGAATTGCATGAAGTTTAAATTTAATTACTGGCTGAGTAAAAAATGATTTATTTTGATGACATACCCTTCTCACAGTATTCTGATATGAGTGACAGAGAGTAATAATATAAGAGTAATAATTTACTTTGAAATTAAAATAATTTCTAAGTACAGTGTGTTGCATGATTTGAATAATATGGACTGCTGTATTTATTAAACTAATGCTGTGATATGTACTATTTTCTTATCAAACCTTATATGGTGAAAACAAAGTGGATGATGCATTTAGTTTGAGTATTTATTTCTGATGATGATCAATTGGGCTGATGTAATTTGATGACATAATCACCACACCAACCACAGTGTTAACACAATTTAACCACAGTGTACTGATTTCAGAAAAAAAAAAGGGGGGAAGCATGATGTAAATTGTAGTCATTATTTCCAAAGAGAATTTCAATGATGAAAAGTTGGGGCTGACTTGTTTGATGACATAGCTATCCCACAGCGTACTGACTGTAGAATTGCATGAAGTTTTAATTTATTTGCTGTCTGAATAAAATTAAAATGATGAAAAGCTGTGACTGATCTGTTTTGATGACATTGCATTCCCACAGCGATCTGATAAAATACCAATTTATGTTAACTCTGCATAATAATTATATATTGGAAAGAAATATAACAGATGTTAAAGAAAACTAGCAGGCTGAAGCCCTCTTTTAATTGTTCGTTTTTAAAAGGATTCCCATGTTAAATTTCCGGCGATTTTTAACCGGTTTATTCCCGTATGCATCCAGAAGGTACTGCATACACATTACACATGCGGAAAATCATGAAAACACCCATTCAGCAAGCCCGTTCCCTGGGATTCGAAAGTTGCACCGAACTACCAGTTTTGCGCGGGCTGCACCCACTTTATTCCCCTATTCATCCAGAAGATACATATGAAATATTTTCTTATCAAACCTTATATGGTGAAAACAAAATGTATGATCCATTTAGTTTGAGTATTTATTTCTGATGATGATCAATTGGGCTGATGTAATTTGATGACATAATCACACACAGTGTACTGATTTAAAAAAAAATAAGTAAGAAAAGCTTGATGTGACTTGTAGTCATTATTTCCAAAGAGAATTTCAATGATGAAAAGCTGGGACTGACTTGTTTTGATGACATAGCTATCCCACAGTGTACTGACATTAGAATTGCATGAAGTTTTAATTTATTTACTGTCTGAATAAAATTAAAATGATGAAAGGCTGTGACTGACTTCTTTTGATGACTTGTATTCCCACAGTGTTTTTAATGTAAGAGTGATTACTTTCAAATTGAAAATGAAATTGCAGTGATTTTATTCAGAAACATTTGAATTCTAAAATTATGTAGGAATGTTAGATCTTCAAAAACATACTGATTTCAGAGAAAGTGAAGTATTATGGATATGTAGAAAAATAGAGTACATTTTGAATATGCAAGTTGCAATTAGTTAATTCTAAGGAAATTAAAGTGATGGCAACTGGAACTCAATGCAATAAATAGTTTGACGGGAAACCAAAAATTAATATTTAGGGAAAATATTACTCCTTCCTCCTCAAAAAGTATCTCCCAGAAATATTTATGGAAGTATATATAGTTAGTACATCATTTTTCAGTTATAATTGCTTGTTCTGTATTTTACACCATCAATTCGGATATCTTACTTGGTCTTGATATAATGCTTTCTGATGATGAAAGTCTGTGTCTTATTTTTTTTAATGACTTTGTCAGCACAGCAAACTGAATACAGAAAGCAAATATTTATTATCTAAATTTAATAAAAATATTTTAACTATTTGCTGCAGTATTTAGTTGTATTAGATGCACATGTGTTTTGTCTGCAGTGATATTTAGTTCTATCTTCCTGAATTTTTTTTTTATAAATTCAATTTTCTTTATGTTGAACAAATCAAATAAATTAACTAGTATACCACCTGTGACTAAGTAGCAGAAAACCGTTGTATATTTTAATATAAAATCAATATATGTGTGACAGGTTTAGGACATTTTTATTCTAAATTACTGAAAATAAGTGTTTGTTATTTAAATTAGGACATAATTATTTGTTTTAAAACAAATTTTATGTATATCTACAGTGATAAGTATCTGATAATGTACTATTGTGTTCTAATGTATTATCCACAAATAGTACTATTTGGTAGATGTAGTGGAAGGAGACCTTACTATGTGTGTGCCAGATATGTCCTACATTAATGTACTGTATATAAAAGAGAATATCAATCAAGTTTCATCCATCTTTTCCGATTGCTGAAAAAGTAATAGAACAGAAGAACTTGGAAGTACAATTTTATTCCAAAATAATTTCGAAAAATGAAATATAGTTCTTATAAATAACCATATTAACATAAAATGAAAAAAAACTTTCCTAACTTTTTATTTAATCATTATTGTAGGAAGTACATACATATTGTGTCTTTGATGTTGTCCCACAAAAAGATATTTTAAGATGTTAAAATCTCATGTTCTTTGCTGCCAAAACAAAATTGGCAAGTTTTTTTTGCTGCAAAACTGATTTGAAAAAGTGACATTTAGATGTCAAGCATCTAAAAGAAAGTGACACCTCCCAGTTCAAAGATTACATTTTAAAAATTTACCAACTAAGGCTTGACCTGCTGTATTATTACGTGTATGGGCCACTGACAGTATTCTCAAGAAGAAAAGCCTGTAGAGTATTTGCCTATTGTACAAACATGTTCACTTTTAGTGAGGCTTTATGTTTCAAAGTGTGTAGGTGTTCTATTCTCCTTATGGCAATGTTTCCATTAAGGTAGTCTCATTGAGTTCCATTGAGGTGAGCCTTGTCACTAGTCTTCCAGCGATTGTCATTTTTTTAATTACTATCATTTTAAGGCAAAAAATACATTTTTTTTTCATCTGTAATCAAATACTAGTTCTTGTTCTAACTCTAGCTTGTATGGAAGAAAAGAAACACTTTTGTAGGATGTTATACTGTGGATTTTACTTCCCTATTAGCCATTTTTGTCAGTTCACTCAATGCTGTCCATTATTTCTTCCGATATTTGTGGGCATTCTAATTTTTATATATAAGCAGCCAATAATCTTAAAACTTCACAAACACACACACAGTTTCTTTATAATCTACACTTGCTTATTTAACTAAGTTTGAAAGTGTCATTGTACTGTCATGATACACTTGATGCAAACATTCCAACTTCAGTTGCTTTCTTTGGCTCAGTAGTGCCATCTTAGTTATGGCACTAGTGTTTTTAATGGTATTTTACTGCTGTGCCATTCATCAGCTGCCAAACAACAGAATTGTTCAATATTGGTGAATCAATATCAATATCAGCAGAGATCAAATCCTGGTAAATGGGCGGACTGTGGGAGTTTTCAGTTTTTCTTATATATAACAGGAATACAAACCAGTGTCTACGAGGGCCATCCAGGAAGTAGATTACGTTTCCGTCTGTGTCCGCTAGGGGCGGGGCTAGCGCGGCCATCTTGGGGTCAGAGCGTTGCGCAGCTCAGTCTGCATCTAGCCGTGCTAGTGAGAGGTTCGTGCTGTGCTCCGTTCAGATACTGTGACGGTTTGAAATGTCTGCGTTAATTGAAAATCCCGCGAGGTGCGCTCAGTAATAAGGTTTCTGACTGCAAAAAACTGTAAACCGATAGAAATCTATCGGCAGCTTCGTGAAGTGTATGGGGACAACATTATCACTGAAAGTGGAGTGCGTCAGTGGGTCATAAGATTTCAAAATGGCCGAACCAATGTTCACGACGAAGATCGAAGTGGGAGACCCAGCATAGTGACCGCCGAACTTCTCCTTCTCGAAAAAGTCGATGCTAAAGTCCGTGAAATCGAAATTTCACAATAACGGAACTTTCTTTGAGTTTTCCACAAATTTCGCAAAGTTTGTTGCACGAAATCATCAGCGAAAAGCTTGGTTACCACAAGTTTTGTGCAAGATGGAAGGCAAGAAGAGGTAACGAAGTGGTTGAAGGCGCAGGCGGCCGAATTTTTCGACGAAGGAATTTCAAGCTCGTACATCGTTACGATAAATGCCTTAATTTGTATGGTGACTATGTAGAAAAGTAGTATTTGAGTGTGGCTTTCATCTGTATATAATTAAATTTGTTTCCTATACTTTGTTTATTTTTTTATTCCAAACCGTAATCTACTTTCTGGATAGCCCTCGTATTAGGAAGTCCTCATAGGGAGGCAGCTCTTCTGTGCTTTGCTATAATTCAAATTACAAGCTACACTATGAAAGCACACTGCAAATAGCTACATTAAAAAGCTTAGACCTTCAAGCTTCATCTCTTTCCACGATTGACCATTTACTTTTTTTTTTTACTCTTTCACCATCAGCTTTTGATCACCATTTATAATTTTGTTATGATAACAGCACCTACATTCAATGCACTTAAAAAATTTAACAGAGGAATAAAGGGCAGTGTAGCCATTTGTTTAACCATTTGTTTTCATATTTAGGAGAATGGAAGCAGAGGCAAGCTGCTAAGAATAAGTTTGCTTAATTTAGTTGTCAAACAGTTTATGTTGGAACTAGTAGCAATAACTTTAATTGATCTATTTATGTCAAAAATATGTTTTGTGAAATAATGTCAACGAATTCCAGTTAGGAATGTTCGTACTAAAAAATATCCTTTATTTGTTAAAGGTATTGCAAACCTTTTTTTTATGGCTATGAAATAGTGAGTTAAATAATTGGTTTTGATTTTAAGAAAGAGCTATGCAAACAGCTATTTGCAGTTTCCGTATGCATAAGTTTTTGTGTATGTTATTTTATAAGTGTAAATAGAACAGAAGAAAATTAATTATGTAATATTTATTTAGAAGCAAAAGCAGCTACTCCTGCTAAACAGACTAAAGCTGAAAAACCCAAAGAAGAGAAGAAGGATGCTCCGCCAGCTCCAAAAGTTGCTCCTAAAGGTGCCGAAAAAGTTGTTCCCAAGGGTAAGAAAGTAGGTAGTGTTACTCAGGCTAAGGCCAAAGCATTAGCAGCAAAGAAGAAAGTAGTGAAAGGAGCTCATGGCACAAGGACAAGAAAAATTAGAACAACAGTACAGTTTAGACGACCACGTACATTGAAACTCATGAGGAATCCTAAATATCCAAGGAAAAGTTGTCCCAGGAGACCACGGTAAAGAGATTAGGATTTTGTTTTAAAAATTTTTCATGTTCAGTATATAAACTGGTGATCAAACTTTAATTTTTTAATTTCAGTCCCAGAATATTTGCTGTTTCCTTTGCATATAAGACTAGCTATATAGATTGTAAGTTTTTATTTATAGTATAAACATACCTGCCAACTTTTACGAATTTTTCGTAATTTTTACGAAAATGCGTTTGTCTTTACGATCGTAATCCATTTTTTACGATTTCTTTCCTTTTTCAAGTGTTTTTAGTGATTTTTGTCGAAATTTTAGAATTTTTCGCCAATTGCATCGTGTTTTACCGCCATCTACCGACTACTTCGAATCCAGTAACCTACGGTTTCTCCCAACTTGCTGCTTAACCAGCCAATCCAATGCGCTGAACTTGTTTCTCCCACTCTTTTCTTTGTGGGCGCCAGATTATTTTTTTCGCATTCACTTCATCAGCAAGGAAATTACTCAGCTTGGACTCAGCAAGCGTGGATTGTAGCATTCTGTTATTTTTTTTTTTTTTTTTGGCACGTGCTACGAATTTTCTTAATACGTCGTTGTTACGAAATGAGTTAAAAAAAAAACGTATTCTCAATATTTTCGGCCTGCCTACAAAGCCGAATTTCCAACAATTAAAGAATCCTTCAAAGGAAATAACTATGCATTTTGCAACGTGTGCGTGTGTGACTTCATAATAAGTCACGGTGGAAGAAGCGACATTGTGAAGCATGTTAAGTCTAAAAAGCATGAAGTTAATGCTTCGGCTTCGACAACGTCAAAGAAAGTGGATGATTTTTTTTTCAAATTCGGCTACGAATTCGGATGCCGATGTCATTTTGGCAGAGTGTTTATTTACTGCATTCCTCATCGAACACAACTTGCCGCTGAGCGCTGCCGATCTCGCCGGTCAACTTTTCAGACTCCAAGATTTCTCAGAAATATGCTTGTGCTCGCATGAAAACATCTATTGTGAACGAAATTGCTTGTGATGCACAAAGTAAAACGATAGCTGCGCTCCAGAATTCAGCATTTTTGGTGTCAATCGATGGCAGCAACGACAGCGATTGGAAGTTTTACCCCATCGTTGTCACATGTTTCTGTGATGTTTCTAATGAAATGAAAACTCATCTTTTGCGTCTTCCATTGTTAAATAGAGGAAAATATTGCCTCCTTGGTAATTAATTAATGAGTTGAAACAACTTAACATCCCAATATCAAACTGCATTTCATTTGGTGCAGATAATGCTCATGTCATGGTGGGTGACAAAAAGGGTGTAGCCTCTTTCCTCAAAAAAGAACAAAATGAATTAATTGTTATTGAATGCCCATGCCACTTAATTAATTTGGCAGCAGGAAAAGCTGCAGCTGCTTTACCATTAAATATTGACCAGCTTTTGATTGATGTGATTTTCTATCTGGAAAAAAGTATAAAAAGGAAAAAGAAAACCTAAAGAATTTCAAAGAACTGTGCTCTGGTGAAACGAGAAAAATTCTGAAACATGTATGCACGAGATGGTTATCCTTAGGCAGAGCGCTAGGAAGGTTTATTGAACAGTGGGATGCATTGCTAAAATATTTCCACAAAGAGACCAAAACGAAACCACAGATCCCATCAAATTTGTCGGCATATAAGATTCCGAAAACCAACTTTGCTTCTAATCAAAATGCTTTAAGAGGGAAAAGCCAACACATAGAATCAAACCCTTTAAAAAGAAAATGCTTAGAAGACTCCTCAAAGGTCAACTTTGTTAAAGAAGTTGAAGGGAAGAAGAAACAGTTTTCTATTAGCCGGGAGGAAAGGATTTTCTATCTTTTTTCTTCGGATTTGAACAAAGCATATTGTAGTTTTGTGTTAAGTACCATTAAGATTTTTGAAAGTGTAAATACCCTTCTACAATCAGCTTCGGCAAAATCTCCCCTGCTTATCCAAATTCTTAATGATCTTTTGAAAGAACTTTATACTAAGTTTGTAAAACCGTCCATTGTGAAAAACAGTGTGTTGATTCGTGTTGCCTATAATAGTTTGGCAAATCAAAAGGATGACAATGATCTTATAATTAGAAATCAAATCAGGGAACTTGTAAATTCTTTGAAAGATCATAAGAAAAAAGAATTTTTTCAATGTGTTAGAAAGTACTTATCCTCAGCCTGTGATTACATTGTAAAATGAAGTTCTTTTAAATGCTGAAGTGGCAAATTTGAAACAAATTGAAAATTCATCTTTTGAAAAGATTCCTTTTTTTATTGATAAATTTCCATTTTTCTTAACAATTAAAGAAAAATGCCATAATGATGCTTTAGATGAACTACAGAACCAATTTTCTGCTGCACAGTTTGAAGACTTTGCCAGTTTTGGAGAAGATAGACTTGATGTCCTCGTTGGTACCTTAAAAAGAATTAAAAGAGCTGATGGAACACCAAAATATAATAGACTAGCAAGAGTTATGTGCTATTCTCGTAATTCTACACAGTAATGCTGAGTGCGAGAGAGTCTTCAGTGTTGTGAAGAAAATCAAAACTATGTTTTGTTCTTCAATTTCACCAAAAACTCTAGAAAACATTTTAATTGCTAAATGTTATGAGAGGAAATTTTCCAAAGAATTTTTGGCTAAAGCCAAAAAATGCACTCTTAAATTCATTGCAATAATTTTTTTGTGTAACATTAACTTCTTGTTTTATGTTTCCTAATAAATTTTTAAGTTACTACTTAATTGAGATTTACTAATGCAAGTACAATTTTCTTTTTTCTATTTGTATTAATTGTTATTTTTTTAATCTCAAAGCATGATATTAATTCTTCGTGTTCTTCTGAATTTTGGAGAAATCTTCTGAATTTTTATCTTTAGAGGTTGGCAGGTATGGTATAAATATTGTTAATCAGTTTTTAATAGCAAAATGACATTTTGAATTGAACAATTTAATATGTATTTTGCTGTAAATAGTAAATTTTTTTATATTTTTGTAAGTGGTCATGTAGATAACTGCTAGACCATGCTGTGATTGGATCATGATGACTGATTAGGCAAGTTGCATAAAATTTTAACCACTTCCCTTACAATTAAAAAAAAATTGCAAAATATCATCAAATTTTTTTATTTTATTAAGTACAAGGAAACAAAACAAAATATACAGGTTTTAAGTTGAATTTTTAATATTTTAAAGGTGTAAAAGCATTTAATTTTAATATTAGTTTATTATCCTGAGTTATATCGGCAAATAAAATAAAGTTAAAAATTTTTGAAATAACGGACAACACAAAGTGATACCTGACATTCTTTACACTGGTATCTGGTCTCTTTACTTACTGGCTTACGTCTGGAATCTCTTACGTAAGCACAGAGTACTGTCTTATTGGATTTGATTTTTTTTTCAGTAGCAGGAATAACATCTGAAAAATGCCTTGAGGTTATAATCACTATCTGAAAAATCATCACTTTCACTATCTTGCATCATCGATATTATTTTACTTTTTTTTCAATGCAACTATTCTGTATACATTATTAATTCCTAAGCAGACGTATACTATACAATAGGGAAAACATGTGACCAGTCCTGCCAAAAGGACTGCGAAATCAACAAAATTTGGCAAACTGCCAATCAAAGCTGAATATTTCCTCTTTCATTTCCTCCAGGCTGAGTGAAACCGTGATGAAACAAAGTGTTCTGACAAATTCTGCTTCACCCAAGTTTTCAATAGCTATATCAGCAATATTCGTCATAGAATGTATGGTTGGAACGCAAGCAATGAGAAGTTGAAGGATAGTATTCTACTGTCACATTTAATGCAAGAATGGGAAGCTATACTTCAGAAGACATTTTATTAACAGAACGTGCTCATAGAAATTGTTCAATAGACCTTTCGCGAGCTGTAACGAGCCGGCGATCCTGCTGACTAGATACATGTGGGTTTCAGTGGGCCACTTGTAAATTAGGTTTTTAATATAGCCCCACAGGAAAAAGTCCAAACACAGGAGATCAGGTGATCTTGGTAGCCAAGCTGTAGAACCACCTTGACAAATCCATCACCCTGAATTTCGTGGTTAATATATAATCAGTAGTTCTCTCGGCAATCCATGGTAGTAAATGCCATTGGGTGCAAGAAACAACCTTTTTTATATCATTCATTTATAATTCCATCTAGTGGCTCGCCGTTTGCACTCGTTCCATACATTTTGTGACAAATATTGCTCGTGTAGCTTCCTTCTATCACCCTATAAAGATTTGCCCACTTGTTCAGATTCACCCTGTATATCTATCTCATTCGTAACTATAGATATTTTCCCTGGAGGTTTTATACTTTGGTGTTCATTAAATGTTATTTTCATCTATTGTGGCTTAGTAGTTTACAGGCTGCTGTGTAAATTTTTTTTTTCTAATTGTCCCCAAATGGCCAGTTTCATTATGGATGTTTATTTTATTTGGATGCATAGTTTGTTATTGTACATCCAAATAGTTTCAATAATGTCAGAGTTTGAACATTACTGGTACTGTTAAAATAATGATTTGTAGATCATGTCAAAGTTTTTTGTATCGTACAGTAATTTAAGTTTTGGATTGAAAGAAACTTGTTCATTGTTCTTTGATTAATCAGTCTGCCTTATCTATAGTATTTTCATTCTTATTGAAATGTCAAACATTCTGTACTTAGAAAAGTTTGTTTCTGGATATGCGTGGCTCAGTATTAGTCTTTATAAATATGTCTCATAAGGATTTATATATTCGGTCTACCGTAATGTTCTGCCTGTTTTATAACAACAATTTCCGAACGTAAGCACATATTTATTTGGCGCATGTTAGACTCTCCGTTTTTATCGCTTAATGTATACTTACTGACATAGTACTAACGGGAGTACTAATGTAAGTGTGTACTAACGGGTACTGATAAAGTTCATTTATGCCATTGTATTTTATGTGAATTTCAACAAGGAAGAAAGAAGCATGTAGAAATTTATTGAAAGTGTTTAGTGAAGGTACTGTTTCTGACCGGACATGCAGAAGATGTTTAAAAAAATTCAAACAGGTGATTTCGACCTTTCTGATAAGCCACGTTCTCTGCGCCACCATCTTTGATCGACGACAATGTTGTTATGCACATGTTGGAGCAAGATCCTTTTCTGACAACATCAGAGATCGCAGAATGGCTTAATTCAGTTCAGCAAACCATTTCGGACCATATTCGGAAGATAGAATTGTTGTGGAAAAATTCAAGATGGATGCCACATGAATTAAGTCGGAAGATTTTGGATGATCGAGTTGTCAGATGCACATCTCTGCTTGCTTGGGAAAAAAATCAAACCCTTCTTGAACCGGATGATAACTGGGGATGAAAAATGGATTACCTACGGAAACATTCGAGGACCAATACATTATGAGCTTTTAAAACCGAACGAAAAGCTTAATTCAGAGAAGTATTGTTAGCAACTGGACAATTTAAGGGCAGCAGTCCAAGAAAAGAGAACGGCGAAGTTCAATAGGAAAGACATCATACTGCATTATGATGATGCCAGGCCACATGCTGCTTTGGAGACTCTTACAAATTGCAGAACTAGGCTGGAAAATTCTGTCGCATCCACCATATTCTCCAGGCTTAGCACCCTCAGACTATCAATTATTTTTGTCCTTACAAATAATTTTTGAAGGGAAAAAAATTAAAAAAATGAAGACAATATCAAACAAGCACTGGCTCACTTTTTCGCAACAAAAGTTACATTTTTCAAAAATGGAACATGCAAATTGTCCACACGCTGGCAAGGAGTCATTAATAATAATGACAATTATATTATTTTATAAAGTTTATTGATGGTAAGAAAAAATTGCATATGGTTTTATTCCAAAAACTGGTAGACCGAATATATATACATGGGCTTTTTATACCATTGGGCATTACACAGAAAGGGAGAGATGGTCCATGGAGGACTTTTTAAGGGAATCTGTCTCATCTAAAATGAACCAAAAATGCCCATGCAGCCAGTCTATTCATTTCGACTCTGGAATGAGCTACCAGTATTGAGCAGCTTTTACTGCCACTTGGTAGGCCATCCGAGAAGGATAAGCTTCTAAACTTCCTTCATTTCCTGAACAATTATATGCTTCCATTTCATATATTTTGAATGATGATAATTTGATTCCTGGACAACATTCACAAATAGGTAGTTGTCTATAAATAAATTTGGTGCTTTAATTACAGGTCAGAGATGAATGTGGGTGTTTTTTCAAAAAATGCCGGAAAGTTCTGAGATTGCCATATCATCCTAAGATAGAAACTATCTATATTTATACTTATTGACTTATTTTGGTGTCACTGAGAATAGTTTCATCATCACCCTTTTGGCAGTCATTGTCATTTTGAACTGTTCACTATCACATCAGTAATCCAGTAAATTATGGCATGTGTTTCACGGATACTTTCAGTGTCTTTGTTTCTCATTTTACTTAACAGTGAAAATAACTGAAGCTTTAAACTTCTGACACTCTAATTTTTTAAATACAATCTTAAAGCTTTTCAATGTTCGGAAGTTACTAAAATAATTTATAATAAAGTATCATTTTATTAAAATTGTGCAGCTAAACAAAGAAATTTATGAATTCATTAAAATAGAAGACAGCTGTAAAATAATTTAATAAATTCATGCACTTGTTAATTTTTTACATCAGCCCTAAACTTGTAATGATATTTATACCTGTCCAGTGCAATATAAGAAATAATTTAGTAAAATTGGCTGAATAAAATATAACCTGTATTTTGTATGTTATGTGCTCAACTGTTAATCTAGAAATGGGAAAGGAAGCCACATTTTAGCGACAGTTCCATTTTACATATCCTGCCAACATGTTGAGCCAGTGCAAATGTGAGTGCTTTGCTGTTATAAATAGCTTAATTATAGAAAGAATTTGTGATTATTATAATTTTGTTTATTGAAAAATATAAAATTGATGGTGATCTTAAATCAGAAATGATCTTAACTCTTTTTTTATGTCATGCTGTTTAATAAAAGGAAAGAACTAATGAAACATGAATTTATAGTGTTAATTGAGATTTATAATAAGCTATAATTATTGAGATTGGTTTTTGGTTTTAGAATAACATTCATATTTTGGCCCAAAAGGGCTTTCTGTATTGAATAAACTGTGAATGGTGAATCTTCGTTAAAAGTTATTTAATTTACTATACGGAAAAATAAGTAGCTGAAAGAACAAAATATCTTGCATGCAGCATAATATCAAGAGTCCTTAAGTATGTCTCTGAAGTTTTTATTTTAATATCCAAACAATTTTGTTTTTTTATTTATGTAGATTTGACCAGTGGTCCATTATAAAACATCCTCTGACAACTGAATCTGCTATGAAAAAGATTGAAGACAATAATACCTTAGTATTTATTGTGCACAAAAGGGCAAACAAACCGCAAGTCCGGAGTGCTGTTAAGAAGTTATATAATATTGATGTTCAGAAAGTTAATACCTTGATAAGGTAAGAAAATATTTTCATTTTTTAAGCTAATAAGTATTGTAATGTATGTTCTAATAGCTTTTATGATAATCTATTAGCTTTTGCATATTATTTATCATTAGCTTTCATTTTAAACATTTTAAAGGTCAGTATTCTAAATCTTGTATTTTTTTATGTACTGACTCTTACCTCTGTTAATTTTCGTAGTACAAAATGTGTAGTAATGAAATGGCTGCTGAAAACTTAGACTGATAATCCAGGCTATGTAAAAAAGATATTGAAGCAGTTTATGAGTTTACAATGAAAGAAAATGTTACGTTTTTTAAGGAATTTGTTATATAATTGCAAGTAATTTGTGCTGCATTTGTAAACAATTTGGTATTTAACAGGAAAGTTTTATTCATATTCACTCTTTCTAACATCTTTTTTGTGTGTATTTTATGGGAATTGCACAGTGATAAAAATGACTCCAAAGTAACAACTAATTTAACTAATTAATACAGTTGGAACATAACACATTGTAGAACAGAATTTTTTAATTGTAATATTATTTAAGACTTTATGTAACCAACTTTATTAAAAGTTTGGTTGGACCATATTTTCTTGTTAACTCTCCAAGTAAACAAGCATGTGGTTTAACCCTTTGATTGCAAATGAAAAGAAAATTTTAATGACATTTGGTGGGAAAATATGTAGTACCAACTGGGTAACAAAAGAAACATGCACAACTGGTTTGATCCTACGAAAGGGATACGTTGTACCGAATTTCTTAGTATTTAGCAGTAATTTTTCCGTTAGTAGTCAAAGGGTTAAGTCAGGATATTACAGAACTTCAAAATCATTAAATCCAGCATTATTCTAAGAAATAAGGTCTTATTACATATTGTAACTGCACCAGTATTTAATTTCATTTAATTCAGCTTCATAATTATTGTAAATTTTGTTGTAATTATTTTTTCTCACATATTAAGATTTTATTTTAATAAGCCTTGCCGATCTTATTCTCAAAGCTTGCATTGTAATATGGAACTTTGAGGTCGAATAGCTATTACTTATGGATTTCAAATATTGGGGCTTATGTATTATTGCAGTCACCTTAGTTGGAATGTCATCAGATTTTTAGAATGTGACAAACTCCGGAAACCATGCACATAACTTCTTTATTAGGCAACCATGCTAATGACAGCTTTTGAGTCAAGTAACACTGCAATTTTCATATGCACTATTTTTTATTGTATTCCAAGTTCTCATGGTTTTTTGTAAACAAATTATGGTATTCCTCCCTTAAACAAAATTTTAAAGTTCATGCTTATGAATTTTACTACAGTGGGATAAATTGCAGTAACGTTTCTGCAGGAATACAACATTTTGCTGTAAAATGTATGGAAGGAACAATGATCAGATTGTTTGATGATTGGCTGATGCTTAATGATGCGTTAGTGCAGTTCTCTGATGTTTGTCTGCAAAAACAGAACTATGTACTTCAGGAAAAGAACGGCAAAAAATAGAAACGATATAATATTGAATCCATTTGAAGTCAGTATATATTATCTTCGTTAATTCTTCATTCTATTGCATCTATTTGAAACGCCATCTAGTCTATATCTATGCAAAAATTTAGCGTTTTTCTAATGTATTGTTTTATTTTTTGGGTTAGTGCCTCATCGTTTTGAATTTTTGTCACCTTTTTTTTTAATAATTTCTTTTCTGACAATAGTTATTAAGCATTGCATTTGCTGAAGACTAAATTATCATTTTTGGAGCTCTTCATTCCTGTGTCTGTTTTCACAGCATCTTTTGGTAAAAATTGTTTCTTCATCAGATATTCTAATGTAACTTTAAAATCTCTGCATTTTTCTTGAACTTCCTAAAATTCTATCTCGGAATGTGAACAGTGTTTTTGGATTATAATATAATTATACACAGGAAAAAAGTTTACTGCTTACTTTGAAAGTTAAAAGAGTTTACCACGGTCTAACATTTTGGCAAAAACAAACTTTCATCAAATGCTGATTCTGTTAAAAGATATTTGCAAAATGGACATTGCAATTTTTTGAGGATACTTCTAACAATATTATTATAATGAATAATGAAGTTATGTCAAGTCTGCTGTAATGTCAAATGGAGGTATTGCTGAACACACTAAAAAAATTACTCTTGCACCTCATAGTTGCATGTCTCGCACCTCGTAACAGCTGGAAGATTGTGGCATCTAGTTGACTGCACACATGGCTTTATGTGGTCTGTTGCAAGTGTTTTTGTAATGTACCATGTAATTCTAATTTAACAACTGAAATTTTTATTTTGCAATGCTACTGAAACTCATTAAACTGAACTGTGAGGGAACACAAAAACTGATTGTGCTTTTTTACAAGTATTTTTGTACTGTTTGCATTTAAGAAATAGTAACTGAACTTTCAGATATTTATTTAAATAAGATTTATTAAATTAAAGCTTATTGAGTATTCTCTCTTTTAGACCTGATGGACAGAAGAAAGCATACGTTAGATTAGCTCCAGATTATGATGCATTAGATGTAGCTAATAAGGTATGTTTTTGTGCTTTATAGAATTCATTTCATAAAATAAAAATTTTTGTGCAGATATTGATTTGGGAGGGGATAAGAATTGCTAAAAGAAAGTGATTAACATAATTTGCTCTGTGTTCATATAAAATGAAAATATAATGGTGAAATTCTAAAAATAAATTAATTTAGTTTTCTCCCAAATGTATGGAAAACGTGTGTAGAACTTCGTAGCTTCTTGAGGTTGAGAGAATACAGCAGTTGATTTCAAGAGTTAGAAAGTGTTGTGTCTGAATTTCTTTACTTGGCAATCATTAAATAATACCCAATCAAATATGCAGAATTGTGGAGGTTAATTTTTTTTTACTACAAGTACCAGTGAAAGCATGTGCTTTTCTATTACATTATTCAGTGCTTTATTGATTTCAGCTGTTAATATCTATTTCCTAAATTTTATTCTGTTATCTGAATGGTATATATTTGTAATGAATATATGAATTCTTTACCCCAAATCTTCATGTATAAAAAGGCTTATTCATCAGTATGCCAAGTGTGTTCAAACAGTAATTTTATTTTGTGCAGAAATGCACTGAATTTTTTATATAACACATAGTTATTTTATACCTGATCGGTAATTTTTTTTATTCATCAGTATGCCAAGGGTGTTTCCACTGAAAGAGGGAGGGGGGGCTGTAGTGATCTCAGAAAACTTGCATTTCATACAGAAGTTCATGATGATTACTTAGAATCATCCTCAAGATGTATCCTTACAAAATACAGCACATACAAGAATGGAAACCAACCAATTTCCAGAGTTGTCATAAATTTACAGATTGGGCTTTTCAGCAGGTGGAAGACAATATGAATTGACTGTCAAAAATCCTGTGAATTGATCAGGTGCATTTTTTGCTCATTGGAAGTGCAGATGCACATAACTGTCATATTTGAGTAATAGAGATTCTACATGCAATTATGGAATCGCTTTTGCTTTAACCCATTGTTGACAGTGTGGTATGAGTTTATTATATCATTTTTATAGCCCCTTTCTCATTGAGGAAGTCCACAGCAGTATATTTTAAATTGTTTTTATTACAATCGATCAAAGGAGGGATCCTTGCAAGAGAATCAAGTGCTGCATAACATAATATCTCGTGTCTGTCTGTAGAAGTCTTTTCCACCATTTGCTGTGATTTACATTGTCTGGACTTTACACTTCGCAACTTTTGTTTATAAGGCGACCCGAAATCGCATATGTAAGGATTTTAAAAGAAGTTGTTTGCTGTCAAGCAATAAGGATTGCAGCTGAATTTTCTTTACTTTGCTGAGTATTGTATCATGTCTGATAGCCAGTCCGCTGAATGATGACCATCACACTGAACATTCTTAATGCTGCTGCATTGCATATTATGCCGTGTCACTGTATGAAATTTTCTGTTTTGATCGGTAGAGTGGGTAGCGATACTGGCTGCAATGTTGTTGGCCCTGGGTTCGAATATCAAAGAAGGCTTGGATATTTGTAAGTGGATGATGGTTAAGTATTTTAAGGCACTTAAACTATTGATTAACTGAAAGTCCTGTATGTCAATAGGTTTGGCGGTAAGGGAGAAAGAAAGAGAGAGGGACAGTGTAGGTTCTGTTTTGTAGGAATATTCCCATCATAATAGGAGCAGACCTTTATTGGTCATTGTAAATGTCTGATAGATGGCACATCAAATACGTGTGTGATGTCAAATAAACATGAGCTGAGAGTTGTTCATATTATGTTAACTCTTGTCATAGAGGAACTATATCATGATGGAAAAATGAATTCTGATTTCAGGAAACTGAACAAATTTTAAATTTTATATCACTACAATTCTTATATATTTCAAATACTGATTTTTCTGCACAAATACCAAAGCATTGTTTAACAGTTAAATAAATCTGAGATGTTTTAATGATTATGAACCTTAAAACTGGCATTAATATCTTACATACCAGGTATCTGTCCTGTAAAAGCTGAGATATCTGAAATACTGCCTGTCAGTAAGAAATGTAACTACCCTGGGAATAAAACTTATTAAAAATTCACGTCTTATTAAAAAATTATCTTGCTTTGCATTTCTGTGAAAACTGAAATTTGCTACTATTTATGCTTTTTGGATTGGTGAATTTTTACTTTTTGTTACTTTCGGATCACACTATTTTGCTCCATTATTAACTAAGAGGTTTTGAATTCAGAAGTAATACTTGGTGAAAAGACTGTGGGGGGGGAAAAAAAACAACAGTTTCTTTCACAATAAAATTAACTATAAAAATTCAACAATGAAAATGTACTCTATTTTATTTTATATATTTTGACATATTTTAATTTGGAAATGATAAATCCTATCTCCTTGAGTGTAAATGAACACAGCCTACCATTATATGTTTACCTTGGTAAATTTTAAATCTTAATAGATTACTTAGTGCATTAGCTATATTTTATAATCTGCTTAACCCTTCATAATGTGATTCCCCCTTTTTTTAAAAAAACGAGGGATGCATAAAAATGGGCTAATATGGTTACCAAATGTTTGTCTAGAAAAGTTTAAATATACTTTTAGTTATCAACTTTTTAATTCGAATAAAATTGTGCAATCTTAATTGTGAATATGTGTTATTGGTAATTTAACAACTTTTCCACAGTATAAGAAAAACCATTAAGCTTTTTTTACACTGAATTCTTGTAGATGCATTGTAAGTTACATAGTAATGCAAAACCGTAGGCAGGGAATCATTGTCTTGTGATTGAAATTTTCTAGGGAAGAGGAAAAGTTCTATAAGTTATGTACTTTTTATTGTGGAAGTAAATTAATATTAAAATGAAAGAATTTAGAATTAACACTTAGTTTGCTTATTATTTAGATAAAAAGTTAAATTAAGCAACTCTCATGTAAAATATTTTTGTATAGATTGCATTCTATCGCAATATGCAGTTTTTGCTGTATGTATTTATTATTTTTTTTTTATCTTTTTGCAGATTGGAATCATATAATGCAAATAGAAACAAAAAATGTGGTTTTTCAAATAAAGTAATTTAAAAAAAAAGCTTTTCTATTTATTGTGTATTATACTTTTTGTAGATTTTTTCATTGAGAAAATAAGTATAAAACTGAAACCAGAAAGTCATCTCTCTCTTCATTCGAACTTTTATTGCCAAATATACGTCTTCATGAATTCTATAACTATTTTCAAACAATCATATATAAGTAGTCCTCCTAGAGCGTGGTAGATAACGTTCTTTGAACATACAGTGTTGTGGGAAATCGCATTACAAGAGGCACCAACTTAAAAACTGGGATTCAGTTCTAAAAAGAGTAAAACTGCCTTTTCATAGGGTAACATTTTCATCATTTTTTAATTCGCGTACTTAAAACCATTTCATAAAAAACTTAAATAAAATTCAACATCATATAAAAACTAAAGAGATTATAATTTCATGTGAAAATCAAAATGTTATGCTCATAAATTTTTCCTCATCGTCACTTATTGTAGTTGTTCAAGAACATTTTATTTGCCTTATTTCAAGATCTGAACTTGTTTCATTGACAGGGTCCACTGCACTTCCAGTAGATTTAATGTTTTAAAAAATCTGTCATTAGAGATTGTTTGCTCTTGCTTCCCAAATCTTTATAAATTTCTTGATAGACAGATAAACAGTTTTGAAGATTGAGGGGCAAGTAGAAAGAAAGAAATGGAAAACAATCAACTGTGTATTAGCTTAGCATCTTACTGAAATGTTTTCATTCTGGAAATATCACAGTGAATACAGCTTGAATATTTTAGCATTTTTTATATCAAATACTTAATACATATGAAGATGAGAAATTTTATTATATAAGCAATAAAGTAAATGAAGATCATAATCTAAATTCTAGGTACGAAATGAAAATTATGTTTTATTCTAAATAAATTGTAATTTATTGTATTTGACTATCATTCTTTTAACTGATTTATAACCGATAGTAGTGAAATAGTGGTTTCAGATGGTTGTTTTAATGAGACTTTAAAAAAATTTTCCAAATCATAAACATGCAAATCTAGAAATTTTATTACTAGAATCAAACCAAATTTTAAAAATATTTCAAGCGATGTACTATATTCCACCATTAACACTTATTATACACTAGTTTGATTGCTACCTCTGCAGCTAATCACATTTGAGATCTACTTTATGGATGACTGCTGATGCTAGTAGCTCTTACTGAGTTGGCAAACAAACTACCGTGAGGCTTTTAAAGTTATTCTTACAGTACCATAATCCAAATTCTCTTACAGATTTTTCCCATAAAAGCATTTCTTCTAGGCAGATAGTTCCTTATAAATTACAGGTACCTGACTATTTTCATCATCATAATTTTATAAAATTTTCAAGTACCTTTTTAGATTATATGTTAAATGGAAATTTTGTGTTTTAAGTTTGTTTATAAATTCTCTAAGTTTCTGTTGTTTCTCTTTGGTCTCCACCTTCAATTTTTTGGACTTTGTTTTCTTTGTGGTTGTCTGTTCTCCAAAATTTAAAAAAAATGTATTTGATTTCATGTGAAGTTTCTTCTGGTTAAGCCTTTTATGAAACGTATGGTATGCCTTCTGGATAAGCCTTTTATGGAACGTATGGAGAAAATGTGCTGGCAGTTTGTTTGCCAAGATTAGATTCCAGATAACTGTCAGTATTCAGTGATTAAGTGTTTGGTAAAAGAGTTTACTCCTCAGCAGTAATAATGTGTGTAACTACAGTATTGATTATTATAGAAAGTTTTTTATATGTGAAATAAGTATTTATGTAATAAAGTAAAATTTCTAAAATGCATTGGCTTGGCAGTATTCTTTAAGCATATATTCTAGGGGGGTGGAAGGTTTGAAATTAAGGCTATTTTGGTATATGAATAAAGACTTCTATAAATCTGTTTCTGAAATAGAACTTTGAGTGGATGAAATAAATCTTTGTGTTTACATTGAAATATTTCAGATTTAGTTCTAATCTACTAAGAGGAGTTGAAATTTCTGCATTTGAAAAATTTCTGTCATATATACTTTAATAACTGTAAGGCTATTTTACCTTTATCATTAGTGGTAATTACTGGAGTAGCACTTTAAATTTCTGGTAAGGACATTTACACTATTAGTTGTTTAATTTATGAAAGCTGTCACAGCATTCAAATGACTTTCCCTTTCATTTAATATTACTGTGCAATTGTGATAGCAATAAAAAATACATACTTTGAGAACTTGCTCTTATGTGATAAATGTATGAAATTAATGGAAATTTTTGAAATAAAGTAGTCAACACTTTGCTTGTTACAGGAAGAAAGGGATTATGTGTGTAAGATAAGAGTGCAGTAATAATGAGGCATAACAAAAAAATGAATGAGCACATGATAATATATTGGCATATATGAAAGAGTTAATATTTATTCTGTCCCTTTCCCTCTGATCGTAGGAGAATTTGATGGCAATTTTTTATTATGGTATAGTTATTTAAATAGAAAGAAAAGTTCGGAAAGGTTACCATAAGAGAAAATGCATTCTGTAGCTGTGCCGATCTGTTTTCTGAGGTCCAAATATAGGGCAAATAATATAGGGTTAGTTATCGAAGAGGTAACATTTTATCAGTAAATTCCAAAATCAGTCATTTACTATTTTTTAAACCAAAATAGTGTCATAATTTTATCCTTTGTAGTACATGTTCAAAGCAAGTCTTTATTTCAGTATATCATGTAAGAATAATGCAGTCTGAAATTAATTGAATGACTAAGTAAACTAATCAATCATGTCAAGAGAACGTTTTGTGACATTGATGACTAAAATGATGCTACATAATTTTAGCATAAATCGTCATTAATTATAGAAAAAATTTCATTGTATACCTATCTGGTTTTACTTTTAAGATGTTCTGCATTTCTTTCATACGTGGTCTTCATCACTGCAGTTCCAGCATTTTTGAGTCGGTTTCTTATCACTCCTACTCCGCCTTATGGCACTGATCTGCCTATACAAGCAGTCACTCCTGAACTGATTGGGTGGTGTTCTCTCTAAGTTGCTTGCTGGGCTGCCTTGAATTTCACGGTGTGCACTAAAGCGTTTTAAGACTTTTTTTCCCTCCTCTTTGATGATAATAAATAGATCTCTCTATTGCAGTCAGTTAAATACACCGAAATTCATCTATTGTGACATTTTTCTAATTTTATCCAGCTAAATGTTCATCATAAAGAATTCCGTAGTGCGTTCGGCGATATGTCATGGAGAAAGACTATGCAGGTTGTTTTTTGCATTTTTAAGTTTCAAATCAGCATTAATAACTTTTTCTACAGTTGACACTGAGCATTTTAATGATTTTGTAACTGTCCTTTGACTTGGTGGATTTTCTTTTAACGTCTGATCTTACCATTGAAACATTCGAAACATTTCTTATTTACTTTGGATATATGTATTTGGAACAAATTTATCACTTGAAAGCCAAGCTTTGATGTTTTTTCCCTTTCTTGTTAACAATATTACCTATCGTACCTTTAGATATCGAAAAATCATGGCTTTCACAGCGTTTTTAACAACTACAAATAATTTTCTTTGGAAAGAGCACAAACGTAGCCTTCTATCCATTGCTTCTTTAAAAGCACCATTTTGCATGAAAACAAAGCTGTTAATAGCAGATAATAATTTATACTTTCAAAAATATAGTTGCAATTAGCAAATTCCACCCAGATGAAGTGTAACGTACACTATGCCTTTAAATGTTAAGCGGCCCTTATTTTCACAACTGTTGATCCTAGACGTATATTTACATCTAAAAAAAGAATGGTTTAACTGAAGCGAATACTCATGTTTTGGTACTTTTGAAAGTAAACTAATTTTTACGAAATCTATTTTTTTTATCTTAATTTTTGTATGGCCCTGCGATTCCTGAAGTTATGCATAGTAAAAATTCATTCTAAAAAGGCAAAACACAAAATGTTTGACATCTACAACAAAAATTTACTATTATTTAAGAATAATGGTCAATTTTGGAAAAGTATTTAATCAAAGTTTTTGATTTTTGCAGATTTTTTGAGTACCCAAAATAAAATTTTATAGCCTTTCCTGAGAGAAAAAAAAAGTCATTTAGGATAATTCGAGATATGATTGTTTTCGTATCATTCACTAGTGTTTCTTAGTGATTAACTTTTATATATTATTTATTAATTTATAATTTTGTTGCATATGGTATGCCAAAATCATCTTCATATATGTAATTTGTGTTTCAAAATACTAAAAGCACATGAGTTGCATACGGTTTCATTACTTTTGAATCGTAATCTAACAATTGAACAAAGAAATTCTTTTGTTAAAAATATTTTTCAATTTGAATTTATATGCAAAAAGATGTTGAACACTTTTTTTTTGAAAAAACTGATTTATTGAATTTTCCTCAACAGTTGGCGTATAAGTTTTTGACATTTAATCTATTAACACCTCAAACATTTTCCTTAAAGCGTTATTGCATTTTTAGCTACATACATATATATGTATGAAAATGAATGTAAATTACAATCAGATAGGAAAACAAAATAAAGTTTTTATATCTGTTCCTTTACAATTTTTGAGGAGGAATATGTTTTAATTATGACTGTAGTAGAAAGAGTTTTATGTTTAATTTTTATATATATATGATGGATGTAATTATAAGACTAAATGCATGTTGTATCGAGACAAATGAATAAAAAGGAATAAAAGTTAAATTCTCCAAAAATTCTTTTATTCTCAATATCTGTTTTATTTATAAGTATATCATTCATTTAAGTATTGCATCAAAAACATTTACAACTTTTGGAATATTTTCTTCATTTGATAAATCATCACAGCCATACGTTCTGTAAATGAAAATCTTGCCACTGCATACCTAAAATAAGAATTTGACAGTTTAGTTCATATGACTTATAAACTGCAATTAACTCATTTATAGTAAAGTCGATAATAGTGAATTAATGTCATTTAATAAATAATTTAATGTCCTGTGACTTTTTCCTCAGAAAAATATTAAATTATTTCCTATTATGAGTTAATTTCTAAATCATCGACTAAAAGAGCGACATTTTAAAATTTTTATTCTCAATTCAGGTAGTAGGAAGTAGTTGCATGTCGTTTTCAGATTCTAAATAGTAGATAGATCCTTCCTTTTTTGCTGATTGTCTTTTACCAAAGGAAAAAATATTATCTAGGCTTTCCATTTTCTCAAAGAAAAGTACATCTGTATATTGTTTGAGACAACAGACTTGGTGCCAGTGTATAACTGTCCATTTTTCTTCAAACACGTTCACTTTGAATGGCACTTTCTGAAATTAAGTAACTATAAACTAGTTCAGAAGTCAAACAACAAAAATCAACGTTATATTTTCAAAATTTTCACAGATAACGCTGATTTTTGTTGTTTGACTTTTGTTGAATTGGTATTTATTCGGTGTGCTATTGTCTTAATTAACTATAAACTGTTTGTTTAAATATATTAAAAAAAACAGTATATGAATTGTACTGGATTATTTCATTTAGGCAAAGCACATGAGAGGAGCTAGGATATAATATCTTTAAAAGAATAATGCAATAATTTTGTGTCTCTGGTAGGTGCGATTTTTTTTTTTTTTTCTTTATTTTCTTTTTTAGGGGATATGAAAGTTCTCATTAATGTGCTTTCTTCCCTCCTTTTTTTTTAAAAAATTAAAATTACTTCAGTAAACATCAAATTATTTTTAATTTTGAAAGCAGGTTTATAAAATCTGTCTTTTGATAAAACTTCTGTCAAATGAATAGTAGGAAGCAAAAAAGGTTAGTTCTTGAAAAATGATAAGCAACTGCTTGAAAGGTCAAACATTGAGAGACAAACATGAGAAGGAAATACACTGCTCAACAATAAAATTACTCTACTCTGACGGTGCAAGAAGAAACAAGAAAACATTTTCACTTACAGCGCGTCAGAATTGTATTTGCTAGAAAGCTGTGCAGCGTAATGTTGATACAATGTACTTACGAGATGCAGAGTTACAGACTTTGTAGAAATTCGGTTATCAATAGACTGCTTTAACCTAATGTCGCATGCCCTTTTTCGCTTTGGCAGAACCCTGATAGAACCCAGTTGGATAGTAGAAGGAATCAAGTGCCTCTTTTTAAAAGGTTCGATTCTTTGTTTGATTTACGATTCTGTTTCATTAAATTTAAACTGATGACCGTAAATATTATTAAATATCTTATTTTTAAAACTATTTTTTCACAGTGGTGCATTGGCTGGGAAAGGGCGAGTACTTTGGATTTAAAATTTGATATGTTCAATAACTTTCAAAAATGGAACCTGAGCGACTGACTCTGGAACCGATACTGTCGTTTGTCATACTGGATTAAATAAAATTTCCTTGGATCCTCTTTGCTCTGGACAGGAGAAGTTTTTTTTTTTTTGGTTCAAGATGGATACTGATAAATTAGAAAAGAAGGGATCCAGCCAAAAGGGAGTAATAGAATTAAAAATATTGCTACATGTATATGGGTTTATAATGGATTGAATGCACATAGAACTGATGATAGCCTGATAAAATTTATTTTCCCAAAAGAAACACTTTACGGTTCTGGAACTTTCCACAAAAGTACTCGTACAGCTTTTTTCAGTATGATAACGTTAAAATGCAATGCAAAACATATTTAAAAATTAGAAGATTGCGTGGATATTTTTCAGTACTCTGAACTCAACTCTAAATGTAAACTGATGCTCTCGCAAGTCTTAAAAAGTTTTTCCCCAGCCACCGAGAAATTTCCAGTACTTTCAATTTCTCGAAATTGCTGGAAGACATACAGGATACACGTACAATTACATACAAATCTGACCACTTGCAGTTAGTTATACAGGGATCGGACCAAAATGTCTCCAAATGTTCGCGAAGTTTGGTGACGTTCAGCGATTTCCGCCGAAACTATAGCCGTGTTGACGCTGTCTCGCCAATTAGATGAGAAAGCTATTCACCTCAATGTTAAACGGACCTGTAATCTTATTTTCCAGCTGAGTTTCACATTCTTGAAACATTTAATGTTACATTATACAAGAAATAAGATTTTCGCCTTTTCAGGCAGAACCTTATGTAGTCAAGGGCATAGGTACTGTCACCAGATGGGCAACAATGATGTAGGATAGAATGCTTTATTGAATCTAACTTTAGCTGTGAATCTCATGTATTATGAAAGGTGATTTTTAGTTATTGCCACAGACGGAGTTGTATACGGTATAAAGTTCGAAATCCCGACGTCCATTATCAGGAGTATGGCATTGGAAAGTCCACTGTATATGACAAGAGAAAAAAGGAACTTTCTGAATTTTTTGTAAAAGCATCTTAAACAACTTTTATTAAAAGAAATGTTTAATAAAGTAAACAAATAAACATTAAGCTTTCTTTTGTAAATACTGATACCCTTTAGATCATAATTGTTCTTTATTTCATAAATTATGATTTCATATTTTCAATTGTATAATTTCTGAATGCAGTCTAACCAGATTTAAATTGATGATCTATTATTCAGAAAAATCCCAAATCTGGAATTGCCGAAGTCCCAACCAGTCCGGATTTCAGACTTTGTACTGTATTAAAAAACTCGGATATTAATGCAAATCCACCTTGATAGAATCATAGGCTTCTAGGCTTTAGAATTTTCTGTAGTGTTTATTTTCACCAGTTCTTTCAAGAATAAGAATACTGAGCTCTTAGAAATACGTGATAAATCTCTTAAAGTGAATGTATGTCAATGTGTTTTCTATTTAGACCAAAGTATTGTCGATGAGTTAAGAAGTGATGAAAGTACTTAATAATATATTAAGCATTATGATTTTTTTCTCAGTCTATAAAATTAAAAATATAAGTAGTAAGAACAAATTATGCTACTTTTTACACCAGTTTTGCCTGCGGTCGAGCGGTTAGATCTCCGAACACTAGAAATTCGACTGAAGTTCAAATCTTGATGAACGAGTTGCTCCATGGAAGTTTTCGTGTTTACCACGCCTCTCGTAATTAATATACAGTCAAAAGTCGTTAATTCGGAAACCCATAATCTGGAATGATCTATAATCCGGCCCTCAAAGCTTTATGCGCATGCGTCGCGTTCACGCATGCGCATAGGCGTTTACGAGTGCGCGTAAGACCTTTACGGCTGCAAATATGTGTGTGCGCATGCGCGTTTAATGTGTAACGGACGGTATAAGCTAAGCTAAAATTATCTAATTCAGTTAATGTTGCAGATTGCGTTGTTCCTTAATCTTCAAATTGGATCTGGCTTATTATTTTTTGCAGACTGTTTGAGCAATTTTATAAAAGTAAGCTTGAACTTTCGATTATGTCAAATAGAATTTCCGATATATATTTACTAATATGTAAAACATCTACAAAGCGAAAGTATGTGCAATGAATTGGAAGTTGATCTGTCAGCACTATCCTTATCTTCAGGACAGATGTTTTTATTTTATTTAGCTTATAATTCCTTACTAAATGTAGATTTCGATGTACTCATGCACTCCGTCTTTGATATGATTTAAATCAAGTTCCTCGTCTTTGATATGATTTAAATTAAGGTCCTCGTCATTATAATTCGCTTCCGATAGTGAAGAAAGTGACCCAGTAGTTATTGAAAACGAAAATATTTTGATTGACAAATTAGTCGGTATTCACAACACAGCAATTATAAGACTTCAACAGCGGAACTTTGTAACTAAACAAGACATTATGTCTATTTAATAGAATTAAAGAGAAAGTATTATCACATGAAACGAAGCAACTTAAACAACTTACATTGAAAGAAATGTTTAATAAAGTAAACAAATAAATATTAAGCTTTTTCTTTTTGTAAATTTTGATATCCTTTAGATCATAATTGTTCTTTATTTCATAAATTATGGTTTCATATTTTTAATTTTGTAATTTCTGCATGCCATCGTACCACCAGATTTAAACTGATGATCTATAATCCGGAATCGCCGAAGTCCCGACGAGTCCGGATTAACGACTTTTGACTGTACATCTAATAGTTGCCGTGTGCTGACAGCACGCTTTGGATTTGTCATCCTTAGAATTCGGTCGCTAGAATGTAACTGACCTATAACTGCTTTAATACTTATTTTAAACTTAACTGTGTTATCGGATTATTATTAAAGGTAATGTATAGATATTTAAATATTATTTGTTTACAACTTGATTTGTATAAACTGGGAGTAGTTGAATTTATTAAATTTTCAAAATGAGACATCTCATTCAGCTTTGGCAACATTTGATTAACAGCCAGTAAACACTAATTTTTTAATAAATTGTATTTAATTGCTAATTAAAAAGTTTCTAATTTTCAAAAAAATTAATAAATTATACTGTTTGCTAACAAAAAAGTTTCTACTTTTCAATGCGGTTTCAATAATTATAAATAAAAGCATTAATTTTATGTGTTTCATATTTTTTAATTACTTTTTTAAAAATTTGGCAAGTAAAATATTATTCTGAAGTTTAATATAAGGGTTGCTCAAATGAAAAGTGGACACGTGCGATAATGTCAGAATGAATGCATCGATAGCAGCGCCACTGCTCAAGGGTGATAGGATTTATGCATCTCAGATGGCGTTTAACCGTGAAACCTGTTTGTAGGAGATTAAATTGTGCGAAAGGAAAGTCATGCTATCCATCAATACGTCCAGATCAGAACAACGCGGGGTAGTACGGTTTCTGGTTGCGGAAGGTGAGCGTAATGTGGACATCTATCGAAGAATGGTAACAGTGTATGACGACCACCTTTTAGGTCGTACGGCTGTAAACAAATGGTGTAAAAGTTTCCGTGAAGGGCGGCAAACAACATCGGATCTGCCGAGACCGGGCGAAGCAAACAAAGTGATCACCAATGACTCCATTACCTCTGTTAATGAAATGATCCAAGCTACTCGAAGTGTTACGACCCATGAAATCAGTCACGAACTCAACTTGAGTAAAGGAATGGTTAACACCATTATCCACAAACATCTGGGGTACAGCAAAGTGTGTGCTGCATGGGTACTAAAACACCTGACCCTTGATCATCAGAAACGACAAATGGGCTTCTGTCTCCAGCACTTGATCTGTTATGAGGAGAATCATCCATTTCTGGATCATATCGTTGCGGGCAGACGAGACCTGGTGCCATCACTACACACCCAAATCCAAGAAAACGAGTATGCAATGGAAACACAGCTCATCTCCTCCGTAACATGGAAATCGAAAGCAATGATAACTGCACGGAAAGTGATGCTTTCATTTTTTTCGATTGTCGTGGACTTTTAATTGAGTTCCTGCCCCAAAGGAGCACTGTCAATTCCGCACAATATTGCAGTACTCTGACGAAACTGCGACAAGCAATACAAAAACAAACGGCCTGGCCTTCTCACACAAGGAGTGATCCTTCTGCATGACAATGTCCGCCCACACATCTCCCAGGAAACCCAGAGGACCTTAAACACATTTCGTTGGGAGGTTTTGGAGCACCCGACCTACAGTCCGGACATGTCACCCTGTGACTTTCACATCTTTGGACCACTTAAGAGAGCCTTACAGGGGAAAAGTTTCCATTCGGACGATGGAGTGAAGGAAGCCGTGCAGGACTTCCTCAGGAATCAGCCCCAATCTTTCTACAGCAAAGGCATCAAGCTGCTGCTGCAATGCTCGGATCTGTGTTTCAATGCCCATGGTGATTTCTTTTGATTTACAATAAAGGTATTATTTTTCTTCACCTTGTCCACTTTTCATTTGGGCAATCCTTATATTTACCTTATCTGAAAGGTCAGTGTGCCGAACGGATAAGACCTTTGAACATTTATTGTTTCAGGTAGATTCCAAACGAGCTGGTTACCTGGGCATTTTAGTGATTCTCATCAGGTATAATATGAATGTGAACCCATTTCTCTTAGAAAGTGCTTTATGAAGGGTTCTTCCCTTTTAGGCAGATAGTATCATGTACTTTATTTAATCGATTAAGCAACAGCAAATTCAACCAGTTATTATTTCTTAATTATGACTCTTAAAAGAAAGCTTCAATTCTTTAAATTTGATTAGAAATGAAATATTCACAAAAATTTATTGCATATTTAGAGTAAATAATTCAAATAAGACAACAAAATTTAATGTCATAATTCAGTATTTAAAAAAAAAAAAAAAAAGATAAATACCTCGGAAAAGAGAGCTTTTACTTCTTTAATATCGTTGGACAGTATGCGATTAGAATCTTCAATTAAATGCAGATCTTGCTTCAGTTTCTGCTGAGGAACATAAGATTGGTTGAGTTTTGTTTTTGCTACATGAGCTTCAATCACATCTGCCAAATCACTTGCTTTTACGGGATGAGTAGAAATTGTTGTTAGATGATTAGAAACGATTTTGACGCACTGATCAAAATGTTCTGCATTTTCTAAATCTTCTCTAAGCTGGAAAAAAAAGGGGGAAAGTAAATGAAAAAATATGCTATTTCAAAATTTCAGTTTACATCTTCAAATAATTTATTAAAATTTTAAAAAACTAAAGAAATATTTTAAAATTAAAAAAATATAAATGTCATAAAATTGAGAAGGAAAAACTATCTCATTTTGCTGTGCAGATGTAATTTTAACTCCTGAAGTAATTTCAAGATATTCAGTTAAGATAGGTAGTATATCGAGATTTAGCTTTCAAGGAATTAAACACATAGAACAAAATCCTATATTTAAAATGAAAAATACAAAGTGCTAAGACAAATGGTAGAAAAAATTGTATGATTTTATGTTATAAATTAATGCCAAGTGGAGACTTGTGCTCGTATTGAATAAAGGAAAGTCTTAATTACGATGATGTAAATATTAAGTAAGATGTAAATGTGCATTTATGTCATCCGATCTCGTCTATGAAGTTTGCAGAAAATATTTTTTCATGTAACAGTATTTTGTGATGACACAAAATCCAGAAACTGGAAATAAAAAGTGCCTGAAAAGATAAAAAGTTAACGTAATTTTGCGTTATCCGAAATGGTAACTTTTATTAGGTGTATTTGATGAACAACAGTGTACTCTTGGCTTACTTACTACAGTTCAGTAGGGAGAAGGGGCTCCATGACTTGGCTTATTAACCTTACACGGTAAAATGCTCCAGCCCTTAGAGGTGATCGAAGGAGGCATAAACCCCCGGTCAACCCAGGGGGAATTATATGATATGTACACACTTTGAGAAAAGTTTCGCAAGTCAAAGGTGGACGGCAAGCATCCACCAAAAAATAAAGAATAAATCGCATTGTAGTCTGTCCCCAAGTGTTCACAAAGAGGAGCCAAATTTCCAAGGATAATCTTTGATATCAAACCATATAACGTCTCCACAACCAAGAGGCAAACAGAATAGTACCAGTACAGTCACAGCCGAGCCTGAAATTACCACCGAATAAATGATGGATCTACTTGTGAAGATTTACCCTGTAAGTCGAGTCTGTTTAGGTACAAGTTCTAGCCAGAACACCAGGGGTTTTCCCACGTTTGAGCCCTGGGGATCTTATTTACTATAGAAAATTGTTTCATAGTTCGCAACAGATTATATTTCCATGGTCTTTCTGAAGAAATCTTTTTATATATTTGCATAATTTCTTGCTGTCTTATTTAATGTAATTTTCCAATAAAGAAATCATCTGCTTTATTTAAAAGTTTTGTGTACCTGATTGTGGTATTCTAAATTTGTATCAAATTTTCACATTTTTTTTTTTAATATTTAGAACTAAGTCTGAATAAATAAATATTTTGAGTTTTTGCATTCAGCATTGAATTATGCACACTATTTCAAAACAATCTAGTTTCACTATTGCTGGTATGTTATTCAGTCCATTAGGTGGAGCAGGGGACGGGAAAAATGTGCAGTGCCTCTCTGGGATTTTAACTCAGAACCGTCTGATGGTAGCCGGATGTGCTTTCCATTTGCATCATAAAGGCAACAAATTGTAAGCAAGAAGAAAATATCTTGCATTGTTTTACAAGTAAAAACTTACTGTTGACGTGTCAGATATGAGATTTTATGTTAAATCTTTATACTATGGATATTTACTCTCAGATATAATTATGCCATAAGGTATGTTCCCTCCTTTTCACGGCCTACGCGGTATAATTGGAAGCACGTTCGACGCTTCAAGAGGTGTAGGAGTCGGGTTCTGGAGAGGGCATTGCATATTTTACACCTCTTCTGCTTAAAAAAAAAAAAAAAGCTCTACAGGTGGCGCTCGAGTTAAAAGGTGGTGGACGATAATTCGTCACCACCAGAATTTGGCAATTGTGTCCCCCTAATCCTCAGTTGCCCTTTAAAAGGGGAAGTATATATAAGGTATTTTCTCCCTCCTTTCCGCTTGCCTTCGTGGTGTAATGGGAAACATGCTCAAAGCGTATTCAAGAACTCCAGTGTTCGAGTCCCGGCGAGGGGATTGCACTTTTTTCAACTCTCCTGCTTAAAAAAAAAAAAAAAAAAAAAAAAAAAAAAAAAAAAGACTCTACAATATAATGAGACAATGAAGCTTGCAGAAACTAAAGAGCCTGAAATTTACCTCTTTCTCAATAGTTCATTCACAATCTTGATTTACAATGTAACTTGTTGAATTGCTTACAATTTCAATCTCTGCATTGAGATGTCTCTAGAAAAATCAGGATTTTGTTTACAATTTTAATAGGATTGCTATGTGTATATTTAAATGGATTCAGCATTTATTTAATCTGTTTCGTGTCTACATAAATGGTGGTTAGATTTATGATCGTTAATAATTTTCGCTATGAATATGAGTGATAAAATATCATAATTTTCATATTTTAATACAGAATAATTTTAATAAAATGTAACTTACTTTAAGGATTCCAGCAGGAGAAATTTGCTCTACAAATTTACATAAAATGTCAACTTCTGAAATTCCTTTTTGGTTTTCGTTGCTAAGATTATTTCGGAGATCTGATGAACCATCCAGGAGAGTCAGATTCTTTACGTCTACACCTGCGTTTTCACTCTGAAGCGCCATTTCAAATGCTATGCTTCCACCTGTTGAAAATCCCACCAGGTGAAGAGGCTCATTTTTTAGTTCTTTGATTTTCTGAAAATAAATATCAAGTTTTGTAGCTATATCTGTAGTTATTTGTGTTCTAAATTCGACAACCTTGAAACTGTATTACCACATAATAAACTTCGCTTTAAATTTAAAAATTCGTTATTTGTATAATCACAGTTGTTAAGAAGAAATGAAACTTGAATTTTCACACGATTAAAAGCAAAATTAAGATGTCCTGATAACATAGTTGTTTGATATCATTAGATTTTCATAAATTACAGATGTAACCAACTGCAGTAGCTGCTATGGAATTTGAGGTTCCAGAGCTTGAGGGCCCATTGAAGAATCGGGTTGGCTGCATGGCTAGTTTTCATGTTTGTAACATCAGTACGAGACCAGTTTTCCTTAGAAAATGCTCCATAAGGGTATCTTTCCCTTTATCCTTCACAGTCTTTTTTTACCATATTCAAGTAACCTAAGCTATTTTTTTATTCATTAACCTGCACGGTATTTTTAGTTTATTTTTACTACTAAATTAAATAAAAATAGTTTAAATAATCATTGGAAGATCCTAATATTAAATTACGGACTACAGGAGTTCTAAGGATCATAATTCAAGAAATGTAGCACTACTGTTTGCTTTCCCTTAGGTAAAATAAAACTTAATATATTACTCATAATGAATTATTTTGACAAGATAACAGAATGTATAATTAAATGAATGTATTTTGAGTGCCCTCTTGCTACACTTACGAACATTCATGTCTTTTCCGAGATTCGAACCCGGGCCCATTGATATGGCAGTCAGCGTTACTAATCACTATACCTTCACTAATCGCTATCACATATATGGATAATAACAATTGTTTTTTTATAGGAAAACCTAGAAATTTTGAAAGAAGGTTACATGTTCCTAATCTTAAAATTAAGGAAACTTAAACTGATATAGATTATGAAGAAATTTTGATTGATTTCATGGGAATCAAATATAGGCCCCTCTTCAGGAACTACCTAGAAAGACCTATGTTTGGTCGACTTAGGCTCTTGAATGTTATATTGAAAAAGTATAATAAAAGAACATTTTTGATTTCTGTTTGCTAGCAAATTTAACACTAGATTTACAGTGGACTCTTGCGGAACGCGGGGGTTACATCAGACTCTGCGTGGAACTAGACATCCTTGGGGCATGATTACAGACATCGATGCTAATATAATTGTTATAAGAACTGAAGCAGCTTGACAAATAGAGAGTAACCTTCTTCATTCTATATGCGACTGTACCTTTGATTCATTCGAATATGAAAGCAGAGAAGTTGTCAATGCATGGAAAAATGAATGATCAATCAAATTCACATCCTGTGTATAGGAGCACATAGTCTACATGGCTGATATTCAAGATCCACTCATCCTTGGACTTGATTTTTTAAAAAAAATATGGATTTTGTTTTAAATGTCAAAAGTTATATACTGAACACGTCTAATATCATGTCTGGAGATCCATTTATTATCATCAAAGGGAAGTAAAAAATCTTAGAACATGATTGAAAGAATCTAAAGAATGTTTTTCAAAGGGATTTATAACTGTTGCTGGTGTTTGATATAATGACAAATAAAAAAGACAGTGCAGAAGGCTGTTTAAGTCAACTCCACATATTATGAGAAGCATATTTTATATCAGACTTTCCAATACGAAATACCTTCTCTTTACGCGCAGTGCCATCAGTGAGTAAAACTACATTAAGACAAAGCAAGACTGTTGCCATTGGGTGCACAGTCAAAATCCACTGTTCATTTCCTGAAAAAATGGAATAAGAAGCATGTATCAAGGCCATATCCTACACTCAATATCTCTACTAACAAAGGAAGACTGTTGCCATTGGACGCACTGTCAAAATCCACTGTTCATTTCCTGGAAAAATGGAATAAGAAACATGTATCAAGGCCATATCCTACACTCAATATCTCTACTAAATCTCCTGATGCATCATCCAGGGATTTTTTGGACTTTTAAAAAGCGCATTGTCCAGACGTTGACCTACAACCCTCCTTGGACTTTGGAAAGCTGTTCAAGAGGGATGGGATAAAATACCTCTTTTGCTACTAAAAAAAGCTTTATTGTTTTGCAGATTACGGTGTAGAAATATAGAGAAGAGTAAGGGTTATCAAATGAGACATTTAAAACACAAAAATTTTAGGTAAAATATTTCTGTAAATACAATGAAAAATCCTCTAAAAAAGTGTGTGAACAGCCTTAGTAGAGATTGCGAAATAAAATATCCGCTTACTAGAATTTTTCTAAGCGGTTTCGATTGTGTAATACAGAAGTTTCATTGCAACGTAGATATGAAAGTAACTTACATTTAAATACCACGTGCAAAGAGCTTCCATGTCCGCAGATGGAATGTCCTTCGTCCAAACCAGGGCAAATGCGGGATTATTAATGCTCTTTCCTAATGCATGCATTTGCTCCAAATCTCCGTTTCCTACTGTGACTATAAAAACTGGCTTTCCTGTAGCTGCATGGTTGAGAGGAATAACAGGTTCGGTATGGACAGTGAGTGCTGGAAGGTTTACTTGAGCAGTGGTCACTAGAGTTGTCGATTTATTGCCAGAACTTTCCTTCGCCTTTTCTGCATTTTCCAGGAGAAGTTTGACATCATCAAATTTCATCTCTCGAATTTCTTGCATTGTTAGTGTGACATCACAAGCGGATTCTAGCAAGTTTTTTATTTCAATTCCGATCAAAGAATCAATACCCATCTCACCAAAGCTTCGGAAGTTGTTTAATTCTGATAAGTCCTTCATTCCTAAAAAAGCAAAATGGTAATTTAAATAATGCCACTTTTCTAGATTTGCTTAAATAAAGGTAAGTTACACTTTTTAAATTTAACTTCAGCAATTATAAAATTGACAATAGTGATAAAACAAGTATATGCTATTCAAATGCTTTAAAGATAAATAAGTTTAAATACTACTTAAATAACTCATACTAAGCATCAATTAAAAAAAAATTAGCAAATGCGGCATAACTAATTTTTTTTCATGACGCAAAAAATAAGCAGATAATACTGATGTTGAATTATAAAAATTTTGTATGCAATTTATGTTAACGATTTTTTTTTTCCTAATTTTTTTTTTTTTTTTTTTTTTTTTTTTTTACCTTGATGAAGAATGTTTAGAGAATTAATATTGAATTTTGAGAAACTTTTTTTTTTTTTTTTTTTTTTTAATTTTGTAAATGCAAATAATTCCTAATTGAAAAATGTGTAATAAAATTCAGAAGCAATTAATTTCATAATAACTAAATCGTGAATTAATTATCAGTTGTGATATTTTCCAAGTAATAATTTGAAAAATACTAAACAATGCATATCACATTTAAATGGCATTACAGAAGTATAGTTTATCGACAGTGTATTGCTTTATAAAAACTAAGAAAAAACAAGAAACAAAACGAACAAGCAAACACAAACAGGATAAATAAAAAAAAGAAAGAAAATCGAAAAGGATTCCGATTTTAACATCACACCAGGAGATTTGTTAAGGTTTTTTAAGCTCTCACTGAGCATCGTATGTTGCCAATCAAGGAGGTAATCTAACCTCCTTGTTGGCAATTTCCTTTTAGACACATAGTACGTTGCCAATTTGCGACAATAAGTTCCGCTTTCGCAGTTTCATTTATGCAACGTTTTCCAAGCTCTTACCGATGGTAATTCGAAAATCAGGACTTAGATGAGTTCTAAAGTTTTAAGGAATATTGAAAAAAACTGCTTGTTAGGAATTTTATTTCTTATATTACAGTCAAAAGTCTTTAATCCGGACCTCAAAGATACAAACTTTCTGCGCATGCGTTTACGTATGTGCATAATACGTTTATGCATGCGCGTTTAATGTATAACGGACGGTATAAGCTAAGCTAAAATTATCTAATTATCTATTTCAGTTAATGTTGAAGATTGCGTTGTTCCTTAATCTTCTAATTGGAACCGGCTTATTATTTTTTGCAGACTGTTAGAGCAATTTTATAAAAGTAAGCTTGAACTTTCGATTATGTCAAAAAGAATTTCCGATTCTGGAGCTGCGGTAAAAGTTTACAATTGGGTGCTCCTTGTTTTTGGGCGATTCTTTTTTGACGTTAAGATCGGCGCGAGGAAGGCACAATTTTAAGATGGTCGCTACACAAAACCAAAATAGGAAGTCAAAGAATTGCACAAACTCTGTGTTCATGTACATCGGTTTGTTTTCACTTAAAAAAACATCCTAGGATTGCATAAACTAGGCATTGCGCACTGCCTTAAATTTGTCCATGTACACATCAACCTATTTTCATTTAAATAAAATCGGGAAGCTAAATCAGGAAGTTAAAACTATCATGCTAACCAGAAATGCGGTTTCATCGCCAAAATTTAAAAACAAATTTTCGCTAATCGAAGGGGCACCCAATTCTACACTAGAGCCGAGCTGCCAAAGGATCTACAAAGCGAAAGCATGGTTCGATGTCCATCAAACAAAAAGTGGAATTGCTGCAAAAAATGGATAAAGGCATATCCTTTGTTTCTCTAACCATTCCGAAATCTGTTTATCAACTTCACGCTCCTCTGCGGGGCAGGGGAAACGTCGCAGCTCACAATGAACTGGAAGTTGATCTCTCAGCACTATCCTTATCTTCAGGGCAGATATTTTTATTTTATTCGGCTTATAATTCCTTACTAAATGTAGTATTTCATCTCGATGTACTCCGTCTTTGATATGATTTAAATCAAATTCCTCACCATTATAAATATCACGAATACACATCAAATAGTTTCTGGTTGCAATTTTTTATTTTCGACTATGCGTTATGTATGCTTTACGTATGCGCGCTTTGAAAGAAAAGTAAACAAATAAATATTAAGCTTTTTTTTTTTTTTTTTTTTTTTTTTTTTTTTTTTTTTTGTAAATTTTGATACCCTTTAAATCATAATTGCTCTTTATTTCATAAATTACGGTTTCATATTTTTAATTTTATAATTTCTGCATGCCATCTTACCAGATTTAAACTGATGATCTATAATCCGGAAAAACCGATAATCCGGAATCGCCGAAGTCCCGACGAGTTCGGATTAAAGACTTTTGACTGTAATTGATTTAAAAAAGTACCAATCAACTTGAAATGTCATACTCTGTAAACACTTTACTACCATTTCCTATAAGGTTAACCATACCTTAGAACTAAACCTTCATAGAAAATACTATTCGCAAAATACTTGACAGCCGTGGCCCATAATGCGTCAAGCTTCTAATACTTAAACATGAGATAAATAACATACTTAAATATGAGATTTATTGAACGGTATCCTCTCTTGATACATAAACATAGATAGTCTCTAAAAATCATCTACAGAGCATTTCCAGAATTATTAAAAATTTTATAACATGTTTCCAAAACATCTTGATTTCTACTTGATACTTACTAACATATCGCAAAAGGAAATATATAAGAAGCCAACGCTATATATTCTTTTTATTAGGCTTCGCTATATTTATCCAGTCATTTAATGTAATGGTAAATAACAGTTTTGACATTTGTTTTTCTAAATCACTCATATTTTTTCTATCTTCTGTCACTTAAAAGACACTGCAGTTAATGGTATGATTAAAGGAGTTCGAATTTTCAGCCAGAATAGCTCTTTCGTTTCAGAAATGTAAAAAATACACCTTATAGAAAGGGGCTTATATATATAATGTAGTTTTACGTCATAACTACCATTTAGTGTTTCAGGTGAACTGACAAATTTTAAAATGATACCTTGGGCTTCTGAATATACTCTCTGCGGCTAAGCAAATTTATATACCTAAAACTTATCTCTTAATCAATATTAGTATGAAAATACCACTTAGCCGGATGTGGAAATGATAAAATATTTTTAGTTACTGAAAGAGCAGAGAAGTTAACAAAGCTTGAGTCGTATATAATTATATTATTCTCTTGCTGTTTCAGCTGGGACTTCTTTTGTTGAAAAATATTTGCATTATCAAATGAGAACGTATGAAGTCCACCGAAGACAGTACAGTCAAGCGAGCGAGTTTGACACGTGACCATCATCGGCTTTAAAGAAGCTGATTTCCATATCGACAATCACTTGAAACTAGAACGATGACATAATCGGACAGTATTGTTACTAGACGTTCCCGCAGGTTATGCATATTTTCTAGGAAGCCACAGGCAAACGTAAGAAAATATCTGAAAGTGTTAGTGCAGACGGGTCCAAACTGATATCTCTCTATTACCTGGGAATCAAAATCATAAATCCTCATTTCCTGAAGGCATACTGTTATAAAGTATATTAACAGAAAGAGTGGTAGAAAGTTGGACTGCCGTGCCGATAATTATTGCTGCATCTATCGTTGATTCTTTGGTACTGATACAAAAACTTTAATTTATTTCGCTTGCGAAGTAGGAAATGTATTGGGTGTGTGTGTGATTATGGCAAAGTCTCGAGAGCTATCTGCCTAAGGGGAGGGATGCCTTCGTGGGGGGTTTTCTAAGGGAAACTGGCTCGTATACATGTTACACGTGGGGAAAACCATGAAAACGCCCATGCAGCCAGCCCGTTCGCGGGATTCGAACCTCGGACCGCACTACCAGTGTTTCAGCGTCTTTAGCGCTCGGCCGCTGGTGAACCAAAATGTATTGGATGGGAGCGGTATCACGTTCATTGATAAATCAGGACCTTTCTTCGGTTCAGATGACCTGAAAATTCGTGTTGGGATAGATCCATTTCATTTAGCAACAGCTGCATATATTAATACATGTTCATCAAAATGTCTGGTCATCACCAATGATCTTTCAAAGTACTTCTGATTTACTCTGATAAACTGATGACAAATTGTGACCATTCTTTTCCCACCAACTCACTCTGTGCCGGTTAGATTTTTTTTTTCCTTCAGTCGCGTACATGTGAGAATTAATGTCTCATTAATTCTCACATCAACATTAATTTAACAGCCATCTTGTTATGAGGTATGAGAATTGAAGGATCAGTACAAATTATGTAACAAGATAGCACTAATGGTTTGCGGAAATCCGCACCAGAAGGAATACTTTCATGCATTTTCCAGTTGAACATTGTACCAACAATAAATCTGGCTACTTTTAAATTTTAATAAGTTTTTTCTATCTGCCTATGTTTTTTCTATTTGACTATATATAACAGACTTTTTCTATTCTATCGCGACGTTTATGTGCCATTTTACGATGACTGAAATTTTATTGAGCTGATGAATATGTTTTATTGCAAAGTGCATATTAAAGAAATAAATTTAATTTTTTATGTAAAAATTTATCAAAATAAAGCAGAGTCATTGTAATTATCTACTGTTAAAGTAAAGGATGAAATTATAAATAACTGCTTAATGCAAAATAAAAATAACTGACCATATAACAGCATTTAATATTAGCGCGCGTTTTATGCTAATTATTTAAGCAGAAGATACGAGATGAAATGCCAGTTATTATTAATTTTTTTTTTTAGATTATCATCTTTTTTTTTTTTTTTTTTTTTTTTTTTTTTTTTTTTTGTTCTGATTGGGATTATAATTTAAATACTTTCTTTTTTATCTGTAGCTCATATTCAAACTAAAATTTGGCTTTTCATTCTCTATGTGACGCTGTTTTAAACTAAAGCATCCTGTTTAGCTGATATTTCTGAACTAATTTCACTTTGTAAGTGTTGCATTTTCCGAAAATCGTGCCAGAAGGATGTAAATATTTCCTAAACGAAGCTGTTTAAAGGAATTAAAAACAACTTTAATGCCTTAAAAATATGATAATGACTTACCCAACATTTTAGCAATCTGTGACAAGACATCTCCTTGTGCTTTGATTTGGGATGAGCCTGTTGTAACATAGCTGCTCACAACTGGTATTTGAGCTTGCAGAAAGTATCCAGTGTATCTAGGCAGGATTTAACGCTCTGGGCACATACTCCAGCAATTCGGGCATCATCTCCCATGTGTCTATGCACCACACCCACTTCACCAATAATACCCCACTGAATGGCCAAACCTGAAGATATAATGGAGCTTTAAATTTCACTTCAATTATAATAACATAAGAAACACAAATCAGCGCTGAAAAGGCAATATTAATTTTTATCTAATATTGTGGTTTATAATTTTTTTCGTAAATATGAGTTTATGACGGAACCTTGGCATAATACATGACAGCTTGGAAATTAAAGTGATGTTTCAAGAAACAAGGAATTTTGCAAAACATTTGATTTTTTTTAATCAAGTATTTTTTTCAGCCAGGAAAAATATTGTATATAGGAAATAATCTCAAAAAATCGAAAACTTTTTCCTAATGAACATTTATGAAAAATATGTTGTTATTTCAAATTGCGGGCCTTTTGCAGATTAATGCGTATGCCGACAACGGCCAATACCCACTGGTCATTCAGTCTTCTCATCTCCGAGATAGCTCAAGATGTACCACAAAGGGCGACACACGCAAGTTCAGTTTCAAGTGTGATGGACAACACCTCCGGTCAGAAACCGGTGGCCCTCAATCCTCGGCGTTGTCATAAACCAGTGTCTTCATATGCCCCCATAAACAGAAATCAAGACATGATAGGTTCGGTGATCGAGCAGGCCAAAGCATCGCACCACCATTTACGATCCACTGTAGGCCAAATTTGACGTCTAGGTGGGTACGCACGGTGTGGGTGAAGTGGCCAGGCACTCCATCGTGTTGGAATTAAACTGTCTGTCGCATCGATGCAGAAATCTGTTCGTTATTCTAAAAGTTATGGCATGACTTGCTGCAGAAAGATCAAGTAGTTAAAACCGGTTAGACGAAAAAGGCAACAGTAAGTTCCGATGAGGTGATCCTCCACAATGCCAGCCCAAACATTAACCGAAAACCGACTCTGCGCTGCACGACGTCGTCTTGCATGAGGGTTCTCTACCACCCAGCGATGGGTGTTATATGCATTAAATATTCTTTACTTATGAAGGATGCTTCATCGATGAACAACATATTAACAATGGTGATTTGTAGCACATCTTTCAAGATACCATTGTACAAAAACAATATGAGATGCATAATTGCCTGGATACACTGCACGTGATACGGATGCATTTCGTTTTCTCTGAGAATCCTCTAGATGCTGGAACGGGAAGGGCTGACTGCATGCGTTACACTTCGCGTACTCAAACTTGGAGTTCGCTGTACCTGATGTAGCATATTCTTTTCGATGTTCTGAGTCTGTGCTGATCGTGTCCGATTCATATAAGCTCTTTGAAAGGAATGTTTCAGCCAACCCCGATGCAACCTTGCAAAGAAATTATGTACGCCTCCATAGGATATCGTTCAGCGTACAAGCCGTACCGACTGCAATCGGCAGTCCCTTATGCCAAATGCATATCGGCGTCAGAAAAGCATTTCAGACCCTGCAATTCTATATGATACCGAGTCTTTGGGGTGCACCCTACCCCTTCTAGAAGTTCTAAAACGTGGTACTGAGACACATGTATAGCTCTTAAAATTTGCCTGGCTGTCTGGGTACTTAACGAAATAACGCCATCTACCGCGCAACACCATCTACCACGTCAGAAAAGCATTTCAGACCCTGCAGTGTTATATGATTCCGAGTCCTTGGGGCGCATCCTACCCTATCTAGAAGTTCTAAAACGTGGTACTGAGACACTCTACATAAGCTCTTAAAATTTGCCTGGTTGTCTGGGTACTTAACGAAATAAGACGGAGGATAATGACTTTGTAGCGCAGCTTAAAAGGATGCAAAAAGTTATTTCTAACATATAAAAAATATCACGCAGAGAAAAGAATATAATGTTGTTCATACCATGATATCCCATGCTGGACCTTTTCTCACAAACTCTTTCCATGGCTGAATTAGCGTAGCCATAATTTGTTTGTCCGGCATTGCCACGACCGCAGCTGATGGAAGAAAAGCACACGAAGTAATCCAAATCCGGACAAAATTTCCGAGACAGTTCGTCCAAATTTTTTGTTGCTTCAGCTTTTGGAGCGCTGACGTCTTGGAAGTCGGGCGCCGTTTGGTTCTCCATAAAAGCATCTTTCAAAACCTTAGGAAATTTGTGAAAGTACTAGGTAAACATATTTTGAAATATGTACAGAATTACTTCATAAATTAAAATCGTAAATTAAACTACAGCTTCATTAGCATTTACCGTATCTGTCATGATTATTTATAAGAGGGATAAAGTTAATTTTCTAACAATAATGCATTAATTAATTAGAAAATTATTTCATTTTGAATATAAACTAGAAATAAAACTTACAAAAACTGTATGTTGAATGCAGAAAGTTTTTAACAATATGTACGAAGAAAGATTTGCTTTATCTACAGCAATAAAATTTGGTTAAGAATCTACTAGAAAAGGTAAGATTATTCATAAAACTAGGTAAAGAATACAAATAGCTAACTGCAGCTACATTAAATTAATCTTATTAAATTATAACGTATTTTTAGATGAGGTTTGTTTAAAATTGATCAGCTATTGATTATTATACTATGAATACACATTGATTATTATAACTGTGGATATGCATTATATATATATTTCTAATATATATTTATGAGGAAAATATACATTATTTTCCGCAATGAACCGCAGAAATATTCTTTCGATGTTCTGATTAATGGTCTATGCAAATAAAACAGGAACTTTTAGAGGTTCGTGTTTCGTTGGCACAGACCACTGATTTTAAATAACTTCACAAAAAGTGATCTAAAGGAGTTAAATCGCAACACCTGGAACGCCAACTAACCGTCGCATTTAGTGAAATTATTCTTTTACCAAACTGTTTCTGGAATTAGTCTGTAGTGGCTTTAGCATAGTCCGTCTGATTGGAACCAGCATGTCCTCCAAATCTTCCGTCAAAGATTTCGTAATCATGAATCGGAAACCCTCATTACTCACTATAACTGCATCTCCTCCCTCGCTTCGGGAGGAAAAAAAAAAAAAATTGGTCCGATAATGCCATTGTGTTATAAACACGCCATACAGTTACCTTGTATGAATACAAGTGTTTCTCGTGCATGTCTCGTGGACTGTTTTCCTTGCAAAAGCGACAATTTTGTTGGTTAACATATCCATTCAAACCCAGTTTAGCTGTAAATGTGCTGAACATCGATAATTCGGCCGGGGTTGGCTGAGTGAGCGTTTTTGTGGGTATCACAATGTTTGCCATAGATACGTGCCACTCTCCTTAAAAAGTCCTAAAAAACATAAGCATTTAAATAGAAATGAGCCTCATCTGCGAGGATAAATTTTTGCGCAAAATTAAAACGTTTTTGAAACGTTTTTTTAGCCACTTGTCAGAGTGCATTAAACACAAATAAAATTATTAGCCTTAATTTATTATAAATAAAAGTATCCAAATTAAACATGGTTGCTATTTAGTTTTAAAAATTACATCATTCTTATTGGAACACCTTTTGTAAACTGAGACAATAATGTAAACAAATACATGTACTGAATGTATTGAAGAAATAATAACTATCACAGTCTTTGGATCTATCTATAGCATTAAGAATAAACATCGTGACTGCATTCTTGACATTAGGTCCGGATAATAATAGTCTTTAAAAATTGTTTTAATCGATATTGCTTGTGTGCGCTAAATGGAAGTGGATAACTAATTCATGTTATAATCAAAACATAATGTCATAAATTGTACTTCAAAATAATACAAAAATTTAGTTGTATCTGAAATAGCTTTTATTTTATTTCATTTTAAAATCATGTCATTCTTATTGGAAGAACCTTCAAAATCTCAATGATTTAAAATTGTACAACTGTATAAATAAAATAACATCCTAACCTCTCCTACCGTATGCATTCATTAAAATTTGTATTATTATTATTATAAGACACACACAAAAGAAGAAACATTTTTTCTATCAGACGAGATACGAACTTATATTACTTGAAATGTCCATACAAATAAAAGCTATTTAATCAGAAAGTAGTACTACGTTCATATTCACCAAAAAGAGAAAGAAAAAAATTGTACGTACAACAGCAGAATTGAATATTCCGCCAACTGGGCCGATCTGGGAAGCCAATTCCAGCAATTTTTTAGCTTCGTCCTTTTTGACGACGTTCAGCTGGGATACTTGAACTAAACAACCTTTTTCTTTCCATCTCTTCAAGCACAAGAAATGATAGGGAGTTCTGGCTCCATATCTAGATGTCAAAATTATTTTTTGTGCACCTCTTTTAATCATCCACTTCGTGAGCTCAATTCCAAATCCTCCAAGGCCGCCAATAATGATGTACACTTTGGTGTCGTAAAATTGGGTGTAAGGTATGGCAGGCAATTTTAATATTTTAGGCTTTACGAATCTTTCCTTTTCTTCATCTCGTATCTGAAATGTAACAATAGGCGAATTAAGGGTACAAGATTTAATGCAAAAAACAATCTTTCATAATCTAAAAAAAATTATATCTGAAATATAAACTGAAATATCAGCTGGGCTGTCGAAGTTTAAAAGCCACTAGTTTACTGATATTACGAAGACAAATTGGCGCAAATTTAAAGAATGCAGCAACTTCGTTAATAAAGAAGAATCTGCATAATTTGTTGTTGTTGTGACTAGTCTCACTTGTTTGACATCAGAAAAATTCCACGAAATTCATCGCGGCAAGAAATACAAGATTATGCCTGTCGTTGGCAAGAGTCTTGGGCATCATATAGTCATCATCGTGGTCCTTTCTTCCATCAGCTGCGGTCGCGGGAATGTCGGACAAACAAATATAAGATTTTGCCAATTCCACCTCAATTTTGAGAGAGGGGGCTGGTTCGTGAATCTCACGTTAAAATCCCTACGACCCATCCACACGAGTGGACTGTCGGGTCACCATATATAAGAGAGGTCCCATGCCCTAAAGATACTATACATTTGCAAACGTGCATGTCTTCTCCGGGATTTGAACCCTGCCCTTGGGTACGGTAGTCAAGTCATTAACCACTATCACGTTCGATAGGCATCTGCATAGGTAAAAATAAAATAATCTGTTACAGTTTATCTCAAAAACTTAGTCACTAATAGAATCTACTAATAGAATTCAAGACAAAAATGAGAACGGCCAAAATATATAAATGAATGAAATAAGTGCAATGTGAAGTTCAAAATAAAAAATTATATAAAAGACTCTATTTACAAAAATGAAGAAAAGTCTGTGGCTTGTAAGTTTAGGCGCGTATTCCGTTTTTATGTAAACATGAAGTTCTGTACGAATGGCTAGCTGAAACTATTTTTTATAGTAAAACAGCAAACGGTTTCTTTTCACCAGCAGGATAAGGTGTCGAAGTTGCTGCTGTTATGCTTCATGAGGATAAATGTTATATTTAAGTACGACAAAAAAATTAAATCTATATGACTGGACAAATTATTGACGCGATCTTAGGAAAGATGGAAAGAAATTTTACAGCAGATATTAGGAAGACAAAGCATTAACAATGCGGGAAGCATTTAACAGTTAGCTCTTTTTTCCATTTCGTCAAGGGCAAGCTAAATGCAATGATTTACCGAAAAGCTCAGAAAGAGCTTGCCACCATTCTTGGAAGATTAAGATGGGAATTCAAACCGGCTAACTCTTGCATACATTGAATCAATTTGATAAATTGATAGCTTACAAAATAAACATGTCGTGTTTGGACAGACCTGCCGTAACTTCTGTTCTCTCCGAAGCCAGATCATGCAAAGGATTTTAACGTGTACCGTATATAGGAATGGAAGATAATATCGATATGTGGAAAAGTAAAGCTAGCTGTTGAAAAAGCATATTATTCCATACTATTAAAAAGCTAAAAATTGCAATCTCATATTTTATTTGCCCATATATCGAGAGCCAGCATAAAACAAATATTACGGCAAGTTATTAATACAATCTCTAGAAGTTTTTATTTCTCCTATCTCACCCTTTGTATGAACCCACAGAGATAATGAGTATGTAAATATAAAACTTACTTTGATTAATATTTTTCCAATATGCGTTCCTCCAGCCATGTATCTGAAGGCTTTCTCTACTTCTTCTCGTTCGAATACCGTTCGATCAAGAGGTCTGACAACTCCATTTTTCATGCCTTCTTGCATTAATCGATTTAATTCTATGAAATATTTTGTATTCTGTAGGTCGTATAAGAAACGATCGATGAACACACCATGGAATGTAATATTGTCTAAAAAGCGCTTCAAACCTGCAATGAAAATGTTGACATGTAAAAATGAAGAGTTTTAACTTTTGTTTTTAAATTCCCAAATAGCTAGGCAAAAAGTTACGAAGAACTTTTTACCTAAAATCTTATAAACAAAAGTAACAAATAATAGAACTAGGACCAAGTAACAAATAATAGAACTAGGACCGAAGTCATTGAACTAGGACCGAAGTCATTGCTTAAAGAGCGTTTTTGCCTCCTAGTACATCGACTCTTCTATATAAGACCACGAAGAGGTCCACATCGGAGGAGGTGTTTCCCGTCTATTTCTTTTCCAGAATCACAAAGTGGGCAGGATCGGTTGAAATATCTATGCGCTGCAGGGGACGGCAAGGCAATCAAGTCCTGCAGACAGACGGAAAGCCGCAACTGCATTGCGTCTTTGACTATCGGGAATAAGAGAAGAGTTAATTTCCTCCAACTTTTTAAAGCCGCTAGAGTCAGAAGATTTCGCAAGATATTAGATGTAATAATTCTTTTTTAAAACAGTTTAATCATCCAATAAGGAATGGCTGAAATAGGATGTTTTGGTAAGCTGGCACCTCTTTTTGCAAGGAAATCCGCTTGTTCATTACGATTTGTTTCCTTTAAAGTGCGAGTTCTCAGGAATTTTTGACATTGCAAAATTTCAGTTGTTAATGGGTGTTCAACAGAGATAACTGATTGAATGGCTGTGTGAGAATCAGAAAAAATGACTGCTTTTGCAAATTTGTAATCGATAGCTAATAAAAAGCTTTAATAGATAGAAAACTTGTAATGAATGTCAAATTATATTTCATAATCACGTTGATACGAATAATCTCGAAACTTAATACATAAATAACGTTGTGGTTGTTTCAAAAAGGCAGACATTTGCAACTTAATGTATTTGTCAGGAATTGCCGATACCCATCTGTCATCACCAAAAACGTTGCTGAAGTTTCACCACAGGGGGGCGATCAATTTTGCATCCTCGAGAATGGAAAATCAGTACCAGCTCTGATGGAGAACAATCCTGAGACGAATCTGAGGATCTCTCAACCTTCTTCTGTCTCGAAATCTCTCGAGCGATCTCTTTGGTTCGCCATTTTAAATGCTCCCATGCGGCACAGGCACTACACACTTTACAAACAGTCAAGCCTTCTCCTGAATTCGAACCCAGGCCCAACGTTACTCTAGCTAGTAGCCCTAATCACTGCGTCTGTCAGAACGGCATTTAAAAAATGATTGAACAAGAAAATAAATTAAAAATATCTACGCTGTTATTTTAATTATGTATTTCTATGCATTTTTCACTTTAACAACTGATTAATTATTATCAGTATTTTAATAATGTATACCGTGTGTTATCAGTATTTTAATAATGTACACAGTTGATTGATTATTATTAGTATTTGAATAAAGATTAATCATTCAGCAATATGATTCATATATTTTATATGAATGCATATTCAGCATTCACATAAACATTGATATCTATCTATATTGAGATGTTGAAAATTTATTTCAGAATTTAGAAATATAATTTTATGCAGTTTAAAACAAACCTAAATTTGCATAAAAAAGCCATTCATATTAAATATTTGAAATGAAATTTTAATTTAATCTGTTAAATACTAGTGGAAGGAAATACAGAACACTCATTTGTTTCAGTATTACACAACAGCGTATGGAAAACCTTGGGTATTTCAACATTTTATGTAGTACTATTGCTGCTTCCTGGTATTTCATCCAAAAATTCTTATTTTTTATTATTATATCAAATATTGCTAGCAAGACGGAAGAATGTTGAGCAAACTATTGCTGGAGAAAGATTTCCTTATTTTATATATCCGAAATTCTTTCTACAGCAGATAATTCTCATATTAGTCTATAAAACAGATAGTGGGGCTTTCAGTAAGTAGTCTACCTGGTAGTTAAAATGGCATTCATTCACCGTGGTTTAAGTAAACCAATCGTGTTTCATAACCATAAGCCTTCAAAATTTTATATTTTCAGTACAGATAGCTTGTTTCCTTTAAAAAATGAATGACCCCAAGCATGACTGGCCGTAAATTTTAACTGAATTTTTTAGCTTCTAAAATCTTGATATAAATGCAAAAAGTGTACATATCAATGCAAAAGTGCCTATGGATCTATGATCCACAGAGAGTGTTTGCATACTGCATACTTTTAAATGATTTTGGTAAAAAATTAAAGAAAAAAAGCAAATTTGGGATAAAAACTTCTGCTAACAGCTTATGTAAAATGATAAATCGGATCGACAACTTACAAATTTATTCTTCTTTCAAAGTGTCGCATATAAACAAGCTGTAGATTGAAGGCTATGTTTTTGCGGTTTCCGAATAGAAATATTCCTTTTCCATAATTCAAAACATTGTAAAATGCATAGTATTAAGATTTTGAAGTGCAAAATAAGCAACATTATTAATCAGAAAGGGGAAAACCGTCAATCATTACTTCTACACGGAAAGGAGACTTCAAACGAATACCTGTAAAGAGGTATATTCTGTTTCTAAATGTTTCAAAAGTTAAATCTTTTTTAACAACAGAAAATCTGCCAACTCAGAATTCAATTGCAAAGTCTTGAAATACCTCCGTAGCTACAATAAATAAAATACACAACCAAGATTTACAATGTTCGCCAGCTTTTATCGAGGCATGTGGCTCAACGTAGAACCATTTGAAAACTATTTAGCAGGAAATAAATGGAAATATATTGTGACCCTTGATGAAGCATAGGTTTACCTAAAGACGTGTACTAAAATGATGTAATAATTACCGAAATTGAAGAAGAAAAAAAAATGTGTAAACTGGGTTGCTTCAACAATAAAAAAAGTTTCAGACGGAGGCCTATAATCGTCGCAGGATGATCTTAGAATAGGAAACTAAAAATAAGAAGAGTAGGAAAAAACGCAATCAACTCAAAGTACAATCAAGAGAAAGTTTTACGTCCTATATTTAATGAAGAAATTCCATTTCTTTATCCCAGTGACTTTCAAAGTGTGAAATTCCATTAAGACAAGCAAGTTATACTTCGAAACGTTGTCACTGCATTTTTTGAAAAATGAAATCTTATACAGGTATCTCATATATGTCTTTTCAATGTAGTGCTTTTGGTCTCTTGAAAAGACTTCTTTCTAAGCACAAACCCATCACGAGTGATGGACTCTGGAATGTAATGGTAGAGGCGTGGAAATCAATATTCCTGAAAATTTTACGAAAAGTCCTTCTATGATGGAAATCACGACGCAGATTTGTAGTCGAGAAAAAAGGCTATCAGATCGAACATTAAAAAATATTCTCTGCATTTTAAACATTTAAAAATTAATTAAAATCGTCCTAAAAATGTGGACACACACTCTGCATTGCTCCCCATCTGACAGTCTGAATGCAAGATGAACACGAATGTATCCTTTTGATCCAGAATGAGACCAATGTATCTAGTTCTTTTACCTCCTGAAAAAGGCAAAGACTTATACGGGTTAGCATCTCTATGCGTTAGCAGCACTGACTGAATGTTTGTTAAAGCTGCAGTAATATAGCAGCAAGGTAATCGAGAATAGATGTTATAAATAATATCCTTGAAAGGATGTTATATACAATATCGTCGCATTATTTCGCGGAACTCTTGGTTTTTATCATATTTCCTACTTTAAGGACAGTAATGTGAAGTAGTTTAAGGACAGTATTCCGAAGTGTATCGAAATTTATCTTTTTGTGATAGAGAAATTCCCTGCTTTTGTTTTTATTTTACACTGGTGTGCAAAAATTAAGGACGAAGTCGAAAAATTAGCATATCAGCTGAACGAAGAGGCAGAGCGGACAGAAAGACCAATCAGGAGATTAAGTAAGGTGATGTACGGTAGCACATGCGCAGATATGCAGGTAGACGTAATGGGGGAGTGTCTGAGTAGTATAAAGCATGTTGTCGGTGTAAGATCAGTATTTCTGGCAAAGAGATTGCACGCCGTATAGCAGTTAAAAATCACACCGAGTTGCTACCTCAGCGAGAAATGGCGAATAATCATCTGTTAGACGACATCTGGATGCTTTTAACCCGAGATCGAACCATTGGGAAGTTGGAGGAAGGCCCGCCGCAGTGTGACAAGTGTGTGGCTGCAGAGTTCGGAATTGCTCACAGCATCGTTTCACGACTTTGGGGACGATTTCAAACTACAGGAACAGCTATCCGGGGGTTTAGTAGTGGTCCTCCACGAGGAACCACACCCGCAGATGACCGGTATATTGCCTTACAGGCCAGAAGAAACAGGCGGCAGACAGCGGGAGAAATCGCTAGACACACGACAGAGGCGACTGGACGACCGATATCGCGTTTTACCGTGGCCAGAAGACTGCACGGTGCTGATCTGTTTGCACGACGCCCTGTACGGTGTGTACCTCTAACGCCTGCCCATCGGAGAAGGCGTTTTCTGTGGTGCCGGGAACACCGGAATTGGAGAGACAATGAATGGGGACGAGTACTCTTTACAGATGAGAGCAGATTCAGTCTGAGTAACGATTCTCATCGCATACTCATCTGAGAGAGCGGGGAAACCGCAATCATCCCTCGAACATCATTGAAAGGGTTCTCGTTTGGGAAGGCGTTTGGTATGGAGGTGGCGGTGTTCTCGTTTGGGAAGGCATCATGCTTGGTAATCGTACAGATTCACATCTTAGACGCAGGTTCAGTCAACGGGACCCGTTATTGTAACGAGATTCTTCTTCCATATGTGCGTCTTTTTAGAGGCGCTATGGGTCCGCAGTTCCTTTTCATGGACGACAATGCACCATGTCATCGCACAGTAGCTGCCGAACAGTTCTTAGAGAGTGAGGATATTGAACGTATGGATTGGCCGGCACGATCTCCGGATCTCAATCCCATCGAGCATGTATGGGATTTTCTAGGCAGACGCTTGGCAGCTCGTACCTTACCACCAGTAACGATTCCGGAGCTTCGATTGGCGCTGCAAGACGAATGGGCAGCAATGTCTCAATAACTCATTCACACCCTCATTCTCAGCATGGGTAGACGCTGTGAAACCTGCCTAGCAGTCAGGGGAGATCATATCCCCTATTAAAGACCAGATGTTTCTTGCTGGACACCCATCACAGGGATGTTTCGGCCTTCAGTCGCATTGCGCTCCATGCTACGTTTTCAATAAAGCTTCTTTTTATCCCTCTGATTTCTCTTTTAGTAAGTGTTGCTTTCATTACTCATGTCCTTACGTATTGGGGATGTTACGGTATTAAATGTGTTGATTTGTAAAGCTTTTGTACAAAGTTATATTGCCGTCTCGTCCTTAATTTTTGCACACCAGTGTAGTAAACTTTAGTAAAGTTCAGTGAAAACTGAACTCTCAAAATCCATTTCAGTCAGTTCAGTTCACTTCTGCCGAATCGCTGTTCAAAAGATCCACGTTCTCAGCTTACAAAAGTCAAATCATGCTCTTTAAAGGATTAAGCTACTTACTTTAAGTCTACAAGTCATCTGCCCTCTTAGACTGTGTTACTAGTTATGTGCCCATTGGCCGTGTTAAGTTTATGTTATTTCTTTCCTTAAAAATTATTTCCTGCCCAAGTAATGACACTATCAGTTCTATAACTCCGTCTTTCGAGAATGATTATTTCGGTTCATTACTTGTTTTTAAATCTCCAAATCGTGATTTAATATGTGTTAGATCATAAAATGATTTTATCAGTAGTTTAATTAGTAAACAAGAGTTCAAAAATAAACAGCTGTACCTTCATATGATGACTTCTGCATAGCAAACATTGTCTGACATAATTTGATCGGAATGATTTCCTAATCCTAAGAAAAGAGTTTATTCTTGCATAAAGCTTTTATATCAAGTGTCATTTTGCGGTAGTAAAAGGCATTTTTGCAGTTGCTTAAAACAGCCGTCAAGACATTGAAAAACTGTTTTGTTCATTACTTTGTTTGACAACAGAGCCAAAGACGGTCTTAAAAACATTTTGTAACATATGGGTAACCTAATAAAAAATTGAACTGCTTTCATAGAAATCATTTTCGAAATGATTGTATACACGAAATTTGTATCAATCCGTCTTGCATCCTTCCTTAGCTTCTAAGTTCTTAGCACCGGATAAACCGTTCCCTTGTGAGCTAAAGATATTTTTAAGTCAGATTTTTAAGATCCACTAATAATACATAGAAAATAAAACATTTATGACGATCATTAGCTGTTGATTTGAGAGTTATTGAGCTACCTGTTTCATATCAACAGATTCCTTTATACAACTAATAGTTGGATACGTGTGTTGCTATTAATTTCGTAAATAATATTTGACAGCTTTCTCTTTCTGTTTGTCCCCCACGTTTTACGATGCTAAGAATTAAGAAGTGTATTTCTTGAATACTTAAAGTAAGTTTGGATACTCAGATTAAAAACTCTGCGTTTATTGATATATTTTTTTTTCTCTTTAAAACAATGGTAAAATTTGTAAAACCTTATGATTTTACAGCATGAGAAAAATTTATATTCCGTAGTTGCTTACCAATCTCTCGGTCCAAGGATAAATCATACTTCCCAAGCTCTACGAATCTTCCATGCTTTGCTACACAACGGATACTCGCCAAAAATTTATCATCCGCAAGTGAGTTTAAAACAACATCCACACCTAAAAGGGAAATAGTAGCTTTTTAAATCATTCCCGTTTACACAAATTTAAATCACATAATATACAGTTACATATATGCATACTTTTAAATTATTGGGTTGTCAAGAAAATAATTTCGTTTTTAGTGTGAAATAAAACTCAATTAAATTAAATTTAATCAGTGAAATATCTTCCATTCTATTCGATGACTTTTTGCCATCTTTCTGGTCACTTCATGATTCCTCGCTTATAGAATTTCTTGTCTTTATCAGGAAAAAAACTCAAACAAGTTCGATTTGAAGTCATCATTATTACTGAAATTTTTACTATTTGAGTAGTTTTTATATTTCGAAATAAGTGATAATCTGGTGGTGCAAGGGCCTATCGGGTATGTTAACATATCTTCCCAAACGAAGCTCCAATAATTTCGTATGTGTTGCTAAAGATATATGTGAATCCTCGCATTATCGTAGAGTGGAACGCATGTCCTTTGCCTATTTGCCAAATTATGGCCTATTCTCTTTGATTCCTTTCTCGAGTTTCCTAAGTTGTTTTCAGTAAACATCTGAGTTGGTCGTTCGGTCGCTTGGAAGCAGGTCAGAATACACATTGTGACCTGCTTCCAAGCGACAGAACGACCTTTGCAATCGCCGAATCACAGCCTTCGCAATCGACGAATTAACAGCATGATCTTTTTCTGATGCAATCAAATTTCGATATGATGTGTGTTAATTTATCGTGATAGGATCATGAGATTTTTCAATTAATGTTATTATAGACGATCCCTTTTCATCACCAGAGGATAATAAATCGTTTAAAAAAAGGGTCGATTACGTTACGTTTGAAACGCATATCGGAAATATTGATTCTTTAAGTGACTTTCTTTCAATTCATGCGGAACCCAAATATCGAGCTTCTTAACGAGTCCAAGGCATCTTATGTGATTTTGAATTATAGTGTGAGATGCATTTAGCTTTTCTGAAATCTCTCGCACAGTTATAGGACGATTCGATTCAATTATGACATAATTTCGTCATTATCAGCTTCAGAAGGTCGGACAGAACGTTGGTAATTTTCAAGTGAGAAACGTCTAAAACGAAATTTTTTAATCCAATTCTGACACATGCATTCTGTTAAACAATCAACACCATTAACTTCACATATCCATTTATGAGCCTCAGCCGCTTTTTTGTCTTTGATAATATAAAAGTAAGATGTGTCGAAAATGTTTATTTTTGCACTCTTTATTAAATATGACCGTAAATTTACATTTGCAAGCAAAAATACACAGGATTTGTTTCTATAACAACCTAAAAGTCGCAACTGCTATATCTGAAACTAAAATTGAAACTATTATTTGCCAAAACTAAACCATTGGTGTGCTGGGAAAATCTTATAATTATAGTGACTGGTAATACAAAGATACATTGGCATAGCTTGTGTTTAAAATTAATGTATTTGTGCCAAGCTGCACTCTCGCGCACTCTGAGATACTACATGCTCAGCCGAAAAGCAATGCATAATAATATGTGCTACATTATTAAAGGGATTTAAAAGCGCCACCTATTTATATCTTGAGTTAAGTTGCTCTTGAATGACAACATTGTTAATATATCTTTAGAATAAGTTTGTTTTGAAATTATTTTAATTCTATTGTTAACAGTAAAAAACGAAGTTCTTAAAAGAAATAGTTTGGATTTCTCATCCAACAACGTGTTTGAGTTACCATGGCAGGTTGTTAGAAAATAAAGGAAAATGGAAGTTCAGGTGATTTTTTTTTTTTTTTTTTTTTTGTGTGTGTGTTTTTGATTATTTGTATTAGACAAAATTTCGTGTCATTTATTGGTGCGTCGGCTGGGAGTGTTGGTCTTTGGAATCGTATGGAAGTGTTTTGCTGAAAATAGCAGTCAAGTAGTATTTAACTAATTCTCAAGCAATTTTTTGCTCTTCAAGGATTATTGAGGAAAGAACTTTACCCAATACCATGATAACAAAGTCCTTTAAATCTGGAAAAAAGATAAGTTGGTCTAAAGGAACAATTACCTCAGAACGATGATTGGCTGACAACAGTAGAAGCCATTGATCGTGCAACTGTGATAAGCACTCTGGGCCGTATTTTAGAGGTCTAGACACTTAAAAAATTGGTGCTCCCATATGTATTTCCGCTAATTTTCCCCCCTTTTATTTTCTGTCAGTCTTGGTTTAGCTGCATCTAAGTACCTGTTTATGGTGCCTCTTTTCCTTGAGGCCTCAAACATGTGCTTATTTTGCTTAGTGGATAATTAATCCAGCTCTGCAAGAACTGTTCAGGCAGGTAGAGTTAAATTCACAGTCTATGAAACATTTATGTCTGTGCATTTTTCATGTTTTAGAGGAAAACACTTACGGCTTTCCGCACTTACGAAGGGATTCTTAAAGCTTCCTATAAGTAAGTAATAATTAAATAATTAAACAAATTTCAAGAATTAATATCTTCCACGCATGTAAACAAATTCTCGTGGCATAAGAAATTGTCTCACATAGCTTCTATGCGTTAGTGGTAAACTTACTTTAGTACGGTCATTTATGCACAACAACACATACTCCGCAACCTTCTTATTTGATTTTGCTAATCTGTACTTAGTTTTACGATCATGGCTCCTGTGAGAATCTAATTATGAATCTCTAACATTCCTTCTGTCCTCTGCAGTTCCATCGTAATTATGATCATCTTGTAGAGACGTTAGGTTATTTCGAAGCAGGAGACGTGAAAAATGTCCTCACCGGAACTCCAACCTCAGACCTCTCGAATACGCTCCGAGCGTGCTGACCATTACACCACGAAGGCACGCTAAGAAGGCGGGAGAATTACCTAAAAATTTTATCAATGTTAGTATTATCTTTTCGCCTGATAAACGGCATCAAGTTAAGAAAGTTAGGCAACTTTCGATTAATGTCAATATTTTTTTATTTCTCCCATGTGTCCTAACGGAATTTTCTATAAAATATTTATTCCTATTTGCAACTAAAGGAGCACAAATTTTTTTTTTGTAATTTAATATTACGCTTACATAATTATTACAACATTGCTCTCTCTTATTACAGCACTGCATATAAGCCATTTTATATTTTAGCCCAAAGGGGCGTTATCCCCGAAATATTATCGCCGTGTATTATATTTAAAAAATTTAAATAATGAAGCATCTGCATAAATATATGTATGTTTCTCGCATCGTGAAAAAACAATGATACCTAGAGCCATAAAATTTTGAATAACGTAGTCCTCCACCCGACTATAAGCACCTGCAAGCCTTAATTTGGAATTTGTTTTATTGTCTGTTTTATATTTTGTATGATTTTAATGAATTTTTGATGAAATTGTCTATCGGAAATTCTAAAGATTTGCTGTTTATCTTTAGTGCAAAAGGACATTAGCCCAAATGCTAAATGGGGGAAAAAATCCCCTTTGGACGTAATATAAAATCTGAAAGCTTTTAAATTTTATTGTAACCGAAATATAAATTGCATATAAATCCTTTCTAAGACATTCTCAGGGATATATCCCGTCCCGTTACAGATTTCTGAACGGACCTTTGGCTTCTGCAACGCTCGATCAGTTCTCGTTTATGTGTACAGTCTTGTAAGATGAATGATTGTAGGGCCGCCTTGCTATTTAAAGTTTATTTATTGCCTATCTATTTGTTATTTATGTGTTGATGTTAACGCAAGTTTTACCCGTTATCAAGTTAGAAGTTTCAGTTACTTAACTGCACTTCAGTGATAATTCAATATGTATTAATTTTGCTGCACTATCTAATTAAACCTTGTAGTGGCCGTACACCATACGTCAGTTTTTACACTTTTGCTGGATCAACGATTCATAAAAAGCAATTTGCAGCATACAATTATTAAAAAATTAGCAGCCCTCAAATTCTGAAATTGTAAATATTGTTTGAAAAGAACTCTTAAAACATAAAGAATTCATTGAAAAGATTACACACAAACATAAACAGTTGGTTATATGATATATATGTTGAAAAGTTATACGTAACTGTACCTTTTCCTGCTGTTCTGGTCTTAACCATGACCTCAAATGACAAATCACGTGAGCAACCAATATTTTCTTATTTGATTTGTGGAAACGTTTTCTTCAAATATTCCTTTTTCTCTTCGGTACCTGTAAAATACAATTACGGCTTTAGTTTGGTCATAGTTTACAATAATACATGATGTATAACAGCAGATTTAAAATTTCGTTCGCTGCAATTTTGCATGCATCTTGCTTCTTAATTATGTAACGTTTTGTTTCTGAAATTGATTTGATTAAAGAAAATGCATGTGAAGATTATCTATCCTAGAAAGAAATGATTTCGAGGAAATCTCGTAGAGTCATTAGGTTTTATTGAATGCAAGGGTTGTAAAATATATGCAATGCCCTCTCGAGGACGTCGAGTGTGCTACCGTTACACCACTAAGGCATGCGGAAAGGAGGAAGAAAATATTCCCGCTTTTAAAAGGCGACTGGGAATTAGGAGACCCAGTCACCGAATCCTGATGGTGGTTCAAGCGCCATTGTAGAGACATTAGTTGTTTTTTTTTTTTTTTTTTTTTTGTTTTTGTTTTTTTGAATGCAGGAGACGTGAACTTCAGTCTAGACAGCGTTTAGATATAATATTAATGTCACTGCCGATGATACTGTCATGTATCTGGCTGCGGTCAGCCAATAAGCTGCCTACCTCGCGGTAAGAATCCGGCAAGTGAGATAGACGAGAGTTGTATGGTCAATGTGTGGTAGGGCGTTTACGCTTGAGTTGAAATTTCAAGTTTAGCCAGTGGGGCTGATTTAATTTGTAAGGTATTGAACACCTGTGTTTCATTGGAGTTATTTTCTTAAATAATATAATATCAAACTCGTTTAAATAGTTGTACATAAAAGTCGTGCTTCTATATAATAAAGGATTAAAATTCCAAAAATGTATCGTGTCACGTCTCTGCAATCCCGACAAGCATGACAAATACCTAGTACAGTAAACATGAAAATGCTTTATTTCATTATAATGCAGGGTTGTTGTTATCTTGAGATATGGCACACGCCGATTATTAAAGTTTTAGTTTAATTTAAAGACTTTTAGTTTAATAGTACGTAAATTTAGCTTTTAAAGATTTCATACACTTTCTGGTTTTACATAAGTAGAATAATATGTGAACAGTTAAATAAGATCTCAAAAAGAACTTAAATGATATATTTGAAATACAATAGGTGAAACCGAGCATGGTGTGACAAATGACTAATATTACATAATTCTACGATTAACTTTTGATATGATTGGTTTACATTCTAGATACATGTCTATTAGTTATTAGCAGTTTAAAATAAAAAAAAATTATGTATACTTTCACTATTTATATTGATTGTTAAGTAATAATTCCAGATTTTTATATAATTTAAAATTAAATGTTTTTCAACTTTATTCTAGAACACGTTATAAAATCTGAAGGAAAAAAAGATATCTGTGCAGCTATGCCATTATCCAAAAATTCAGTTTCCTACTTCTTCATTTTGTGCTAGAAATGTATGAAAGATAAAATGGCTAATGTAAGGAATGCTGAGTGAAAAGAAAATCTTGACCGCCTGTTCAGTGGAGGAAAATTAAGTGTAAAAACTATCTTTTCTTTTTGTGTTTGTATCCTTTGAAAAAAGCTGAGTTTATAGAAGTAATAAAATCAATAACTTACCCACTGTGGTAAATATCTCGCACTGCATGCTCAATGCAATACAAATTGCGGCAAAACCTATACCTCCTGTTCCCGAGTGAATTAAAATGCTTTCCCCTGGCTGAAGTCTTGCACGTGTTATCAGGGCATAATAACATGTCATGTAGACCACTGGGATAGTGGCAGCCTCTTCTAAAGTCCAGTTATCTGGCACTTCAAGTGAAATTAAACTTTCTACTTTATTCGCTGTTCCGATACCTCGGTTTCGGACAAGGCCAGCCAATCTGCGGCCGTCTGAATCTTTTCCAGAGCACTCGATACCTACTACAACGTCATCTCTACCATCTGGATCTGTAAAAATAACAATAAAATTAGTATTAAAATGCAATTGATTTGTTAATAAAAAACATTTAAATAAAGAAAAAGTCTATATGAATAAAAAAGAACTTAATGGTACTAACTGGAGCTATTAAAGCCCAGCTACCAACAGGGAATCTCATTTTCTAAACGCAAACAAATTGAAAAGAAACTTTCTAATATGCGCAGCGAATTTCATTTCGTCTGCCAGTATACAAAATCACAATTCAATTTTTTCACACTGCGCTCAAAACTTCATCACTAGAAAAAATACTTCCAAACCGCTGATAGATTTAGGTGCGCATGCACCAGCTCGTTGCACCCAGATGCCTACAGCTCATAGATTTTGCAAGTATGGTTTCTCTGCTGTTGCTGTCAGACTCATTCTCGCGCATGTCAGCAGCAAAAGAGGCATTTAAAGCACTATGACTGTAGTGCTTCTTAAAAACATACACCCAAATACAGAATAGTTATGCAAGAAATCAACAGACTCATATCTCCGTAAAAAACTGCTTTCGAAGAGAGCAAGAGTAAGGTGTTTTGCAAAACATTATAACTTACACTGAAGTGACAAAAGTCATGGGATACCTCCTAATATTTTGTCGGTCCTCCTTTTGCCCGACGAAGGGCAGCAGCTCGACGTGGCATGGACTCAACAAGTCGTTGGAAGTCCCCTGCAGAAATATTGAGCCATGCTGCCTCTACAGACGTCCATAATTATGAAAGTGTTAACGGTGCAGGGTTTGGCCACGAACTGACCTCTCGATGATGTCCCATAAATGTTCGATGGGATTCATGTCGGGCGATCTAGGTGGCCAGATCATTCGCTGGAATTGTCCAGAATGTTCTTCTAACCAATCGCGAACAATTGTGGCCCGGTGACATGGCGCATTGTCATCCATAAAAATCCCATCGTTGTTTGAGTACGTGAAGTCCATGAATGACCGTAAGTGATCTCCAAGTAGCTGAAGATATCCATTTCCAGTCAATTATCAGTTCAGTTGTACCAGAGGACCGAGTCCATGCCATGTAAAAACAGCCCAGACCATTATGGAACCACCACCAGCTTGAACAGTGCCTTGTTGACAACTTGGGTCCATGGCTTCGTGGGGTCTGCGCCACACTCGAACCCTACCATCAGCTCTTACCAACTGAAATCGTAACTCATCCGACCAAGCCACGGTTTTCCATTCGTTTAGGGACCAACCGATATGCTCACGAGCCCACGAGGCAGGCGATGTCGTGCTGTCAGTAAAGGCACTCGAGTCGGTCTTCTGCTGGCATAGCCCAAGGAAGACAAATTTCGCCGCACTGTCCTATCGGACACGTCCCTCGTACGTCCCACATTGATTTCTGTGATTATTTGACGCAGTGTTGCTTGTTTGTGAACATTGACAACTCTACGCAGACGTCGCTGGTCTCGGTCGTTAAGCGCAGGTGGTCGGCCACTGCGCTGTCCATGGTGGGATGTTATGCCTAAAATTAGATACTCTCGGCACACTCTTGACACTGTAGATCTCGGAATGTTGAATTCCCTAACGATATCCGAAATGGAATGACCCATGCTTCTAGCTCCAACTGCGATTCCGCGTTCCAAGTCTGTTAATTCTCGTCGAGCGGCCATAATCACGTCAAAGCCTCTTCACATGAATAACTTGAACACAAATGGAAGCCCTACCAAAGCACTTCGCATTTATACATTTTATACGCGATACTACTGCCATCTGTATATTTGCATATTGCTATCCCATGACTTTTGTCACTTCAGTGTATACTCCTTTGGACCTCTACTGAAAATTGTTTGAGAAACGCTGACCTATACAGTTTATTTTGAATGTCAGCATAGAATATAATATGTCTTACTACTCGCATAATTTTCCCCCTTATTTTTTCCACAAATGATTTAGAAACTTCTGATTTATGGTAACAACGTTAAATGTATGCGCAAATAGGAAAGTATCTTATGCGAGTAAACGGAATGTTATTGAAATTAATAAGCCTTTGAACGACATAATATAATAATTTTATAATGCGTCTTTATGTGTGCTTTTTTAATGTGCTATGTTTATCGTTAAAGCCTTGTTCAGAAATAGTATACATCGCGCAAAATTCCCTTCTTGGCTTTTAAGCATTAAAATTAGTAAAAAAAAGGAGGGGCAAATATGGTAACTGGCTTATTTCAATCGAAAGCATTTTTGTTTATAATATCATTAAAAATATAATGAAGGAGGTACAAAATCCATAAAGGATTTCCAAGCTCGTTTATGCTTTTTATTCAGTGTATAGAGAAAATAATCATTACCCTTTCCAATTTCAGTAGAAAGTTTTCCAGAAGCGATCATGATATCTCGGAAATTCAAAGCAGAGTAGTACACGTGAAACGTTTGATCTGGGCGAAGCTTAGTGTATTTTATATGAGATTCCCTCCATTCAAATGAAGAAAGATCCCCTGTTTTGGCACATATGGCGAAGCTGTGTTCGACAGGGTCCAGTGGTTTTCCTAAATAAATAAATAATACAAAAAACCCTTAAAATTTATTTTAAAATGGTTAAACCTATTTCTCTGTAGCTGATAGATGTAAACAGAGCGTTTATTATAATATGCACCAAGCCCACAAAAGTCATTACCCAGCTTTTATTTTCTCAACCGTTGGTTGTAGACATAAAGGAGTTACGCAAATGGTTAAACACGTACTTGAGGTTAGCGTCGTCGACTGCGGTGCCGAAGGGTTCAGGTTCGAATCCCGAAGAAGGCATGGATGTTTTTAAATGTATAATGTCCGAGAGTTTATAATGTCCGAGAATGTATAATGTCCAAGTGTTTTTAAATGTACCCTCATCAACCTTTTCTCCTACCATCGACCTCTCGAGAGGTCGATGGTAGGGGAAAGGGGTGTGAGACACTCGAATCTATATCCCACGGAGGTAGAAATGAGCAAAGTCGCACTGTCCCCTGTAAGGTGTTCAAGGCTGTTGCCAACGACAGGCGTAATCTTGCAATCCTTACCATGAGGGAATTCGTGGGCTTGGGCTGACTGTAGGTCAGACAAGTGAGCATTGGTTTACAACAACAACAATGAAAATGTTTTAAATGACACAAAGATTCATGCTTTTTTAATTTTAGATAAAAAAAATAATATTGCTGTTGCTATTATGATGAATTTCGCTTGTCTGATATCAGAGCAATCCCACGAAATTCACATTTTCGTAATTTTTGCAAATTTTCATAATTTTTACAAAACTGATTTTATTTTTTAAATTTTAGAATGCTAAAATAGGAATCATTGCGTCATTTAAAACAATTTTGTAACTGCGTAGAGTCATTTTTTTAAAATTCAGTTTTGTTCGCCGAAATTCTGTCTTCCTGCCCGCTGGCTGAATTGCTTGTTTTGGCTTATAAAGTGTAATTTGAATTGTGAAATTTTTTTAATTGTTTTTTTACTGTATTTGGTGTTTTATCTTCTTCTATATTTTGTAAGTTTTAATGAAGATGTTTTGAATTTTTATGTATTTTTGCCTTGCTGCGAAGTGAGAACTGGATTCATTGAATGATAGATTAGAATTAACAGAATGGTTCATTAGAGATACATTTCTCGTTCAGCGATTTCAATTCTCACTTCGCGGCAAGGCAAAAGTACATAAAAGCTCAAAGCATCTTCATTAAAAATTATAAAATACAGAAAAAACATAAAACACGAAATACAGTTAAAAACAATTAAAAAAAAATCTGAAATTTTTCAGATTTTAAATTACGTCCAAAGGGGCGTTTTTTTAACGTTTTGAGTGTTACCTTTATTTATTAAATATCATGTTCTTTGCACTTAAACCATAAAATTCAGTTCAAGAGCAATATCGCAAAATAATGTCAAATTAAGCATATCTTTAGAATTTCTGATATACACAGTCTCGCGAGCTGGAGATAAAAGTATTTTTTTTTCTATATAACGTTGCCATTTCTCGCTTTTAAAGCATTGAGTTTGTAAATCAAAAATTCGTTTAAAGTTTTACAAAAATATAAAATCTATATAAAAAACAAATTCCAAATTTGGGGATTTCAGATGCCCATATTCGCAGTAGTAGGATTTCTTCATTCAAAATTCGATGGCTCTATGTACCATTGTTTTATCACAATGCGAGAAATAGACAATCATTTATGCAGATTTTTCATTATTTAATTTCTTCAAATATAATGCAGGACTCTAACATTTTGTGGCAACAGTTTGAAAAGTGAACCGACGTTTATGAGTCCGACGCAAAATGCCAAAACGAAAGTAATAGTCCTTCGGGACTGAAATCCCTTTGGACTAAAAAACAATTTTGCAATTAAAATTAGAGTTTCTACGCAAAAATAAGCAATTCGGCCAGTTCGAAGAATTTTGTGTGCATAAAACTGAAAGTTTATTTTTGTTCTCACTGGGCAAAAAGACACGCAAGTTGATGCACCAACTGAATTCACTATTCTACTAAGAGTTTCAAATGTAAACAATAGCGACTTTGTTAAGCTATGTAGCGGCGTTTTAAATTGTTTTTGATAATTCTACACTGCATGAAGATTAACTAAAAGCATACAAACCTTAACCAGAATATAAGAATAACATAATTCAATCACTTTTAAAGCAAAAAATGCACAATTTACCAAAATATAAGAATAAAAACTTGAACTCACCAAGCCGGGTAACAGATTGGGTATGTTTAGTTTTAATTAAGTCTTTTCATTAAAGTTTAATAATTTCACTTAATTTTAAACACTTTGGATTATATGCTATTTGTTTAAAGATAAAATTTTGATTTGAATTTTTCACTGAAATAATTTATTATTTCACTGACGTTTTCATTCCTTAACTAGAATTCTCTTTATTTAAGATACAAGATTCTAATTAGAATTTACTTTTTTCCCTTGCTTTGGGAAGAGGCAAGAATTTTCAGGTGAACTGTTATAATTAAAATATATTGAAATGGGAATACAATATTTTTAAAGTAACAAAAATAAATAGAAATTATTTTGTATTGCTGATTGATAATAATGTGGTCTCGTATTTTGATTTTTTTAATAAAAAATATGATGTGGACATTACATGACCTCCTTTTACAGAATATTAAATTATATACAGTTTTCCTGCATTTCATTTAAACTTATTTCCCCGAACTTCATTAGATATATTTCTCATTTAATTAATTCATTTCTCACTTCGCGGCAAGGCAAAAATACATAAAACCTCAATATATCTTCATTAAAAATCGAAAAACATAAAACACCAAACACATTTAAAACAATTTAAAAATATTATACAATTAAAACTAGAGGTTCTACGCAAAAAAGGAACAATTCAGCTAATGGGAAAGAAGGCAGATTTTTCGGTGTACAAAACTGAAAGTTTACTTTTGTTTCCACGAGGCAAAAAGACGCTAAAAGTGCAGAAACTGACTTAATTCACTGTTCTGTTAAGTTTCAAATGTAAACGAATAAGGCTGCTATGGTAAAAAAAGGTGTCCGCCGATAACATCGCGGCAAAAACATCGCGAACGAAAACGTCGCGGAGAAAACAACGCAAGGCGAAAACGTCGTGCTGCAAAACATCGTGGGAGAAAACATCGCAAAGAGAAAACATCGCAGTTCTAAAACATCGTGGTACAAAATATCGTCGTCGAAAATAAAGCGGTTCAAAAACTTCGCAATTTAAAAACATCGTTGTCGAAAATATCGCGGTAAAAAATGAAGTATCGACAAATCATCGCAGGACGATAACTTCGCAGACATGCTTTTTTCAGGCTTTAGTAATTGTAAATGGATATTTTCATAATGTTTTATGAGCGCAAGATGGAAAGAAGGATAATTTTTACTTTTATATTTTTTATTAACTAATAATTTTTTGCTGAAAAGTAAGAAGTAAATTTAAGCATAGAAAATTAAGGCAACTTATAGCACCTAATTAGAATTTTAAACTGACATAGTTAACTAACAAAGGTCATTAATAAATAATTTTTGATAAAGTTTTTACTGGTAATTTTTCATTAAAAAGTATAATCTAAAAAAGATTAGAAAAAGGAAGATAAGTAATTGCATGATCTTATCTATATTAAAAAATTGCGAAGTTAATTATGAGATTATTTCTTCACTTTTGTTAAATCTAATACTCTTATAATGAAAATTATTTCTTGTTCTGCTTCAGTTTATTCTTAAGTATTAAGTTTCCTTCTTCGTTTTTTTCAACAAAAATTACAAAAAAAACTAAAGGGAAGGTCCTTAGGAAAAGATAATATAGAAACAGAAGAGATAAAGTTATCCGACAAATAACAATCAGTCTGTGAGATTATTATATTACCTAAGGAAATAATGTTTATTGTACTGTTTATCAGAAGAACGATAAAGAAATCCTTTAAAAATTAATATTCAACATGTTGCAGGAAATATCTCATGTCATGTTTTCGAAAAAAAACTGAACCTAAAAGTGACTACAGATTCATTCAAACATCTGTATTTAATAAATGTATAGCACAACATTTTATTTATTTAGATGCGTTTGTTCTCAGTTCTACCTAACTTTGAAGTTAGCTAATTCCTTCTCCTTAAACGCTGAAAAAAGTTGTATTTAATAAATAACTATTATACAATTTTCAAAAAACATACAATGCAGTAGTAATTTAAAAAAAATACTCATTATTTTAGACATTTTAATCAATATCATAAATAAAACAAAGTTTAGAAGTTTAGAAGAAAAAACTTACAAAAATATACTAGAAATTTTACCTCCATGAATTCGTAAGTGCCTGAAAGATCCCCATGATCCATTCTTCCATACATTCATGAGCAAGTTCTTTTTTACAATATGATCGTAAAAGGGTTCGTCTAAGCTGAACGGGGGCAGCTGTGGCCCCTTAGCTGGCTGCTCTATGAAAACACATCTTGAAAAGAAAAATAATATTTTTTATAGTTTTAAATTTAAAAAAACTTGTTATAATTCAAAATAGAAGTGCGATATGAAAAAAAATATTTACATAAAATTATCCCCAGTTTTACGAAAATTTGCTTTACTCTTTTCACAATATGTGTTGACTACTGGTTATTGATGATTATGAAACATTCTTTGAAAATAGAGCATTTAGGAATATCGACTTTCAACTCGAACCAGACATATGTAGAATGTACAGGTGATGGTAACGTGTCAGCTTGATAAATTCAGAAATCGTTGAATTACTCAATTGCCCTCTTCAGTCTTCTCATGCCGCACCACCAATGTATCGGACACTTAATAGAATATTATATTTCTGAGGCAGTTTCACTATTATGAAGTTATATTTATAAGAATTATCTTCCCATCAAATATGATTTCAGTAAAACATTTATTATTCATTTCTGCGGTGATAATGAACCCAGCGATACTGGCTTTTTGCAGACAGGTAAGTCTTTAGAGAAACTACTTACCTTGTTGATAATCAAATAGGAGAAGTAATAGAAGAAAATAAAAAGAAGTTATAAAAACGTTTCTGTCAAATTGGTAATTTAACGAACGAAAAATAATGCATCTTCTATTTAATTCATGGGATATCTTGGATTTAATGAAACTTAAAGACTCTAATATTGGTTCATGCAGAACTAGTTCATTCAGCGTCAAAGTTATGGTACCGAAAACTAATGCACCTTCTATTTAATTCAAGACAGATCATGGAACTAATGAAACTCAGGACTCCAGTATTGATTCATTCCGAACTGGTTCATTCACGAAAAATAATGCATCTTCTATTAAATTCATGACAGATCATGGAAATAATGAAACTCCATTCCAGTATTAATTCATGCGGAACTGGTTCATTCTGTGTGAAAGATCTGGGACCAAAAAATAATGCATCTTCTATTTAGTTTTTGACAGATATTGGAACTAATGAAGCTCAAGACTCAGCACTGATTCATGTGGAACTGGTGCATTCCGCGTGAAAAAGATGAGACTAGAAAACAGTGCACTTTCTATTTAATTCACGAGATATCACGCAATTAGTGAACCTCAGAACTCTAATACTGATTCACGAGGAACTGGTTCATTCAGTGTGAAAGATGTGGTAGTGAAAATAGCGCACCTTCTATTTCATTCATGATAGATCACAGAATTAATGAAACTCAAGACTCCAATAGTGTTTCATGCGAAACTAGTTCATCTAATGACAAAGATATGGGAGAGAAAAGTTGTAAGTTCGCTGAGAATTAGTCATCTGGTCATCACTTGCATTTGCGTTAATTTATTTAGATATATGATTTTGAAGTTAATTACGAATTCAAGATATTGACAGATATTACTGGTCAGCGCTTGCATTTGTTTTCCTGCCGCAAGTAAACTCGCGAATTTGCTTTTCATGGCGTAATTTATAAGTGGGTGTGATAAAACACGCGAGCGCTCTCCGTCCCTAATTCTGTTGTCTCAAAGTGGCGCCCCGAGGGTCGTATGTTGCCATTGAAGCAGTTTTATGCGTCTCGCGAAGATATTTCAATTATGAATTTCTTGAAAATACAGTGTTACAAAGATTTTAACTATTTGAAGAGTGAACTTATATTAGTTTTATTACCACTAAAAACTAACGTGCACAATGCACCAGAAAATCTATAATTGGAGCCAAACAATTCACAGTGTGATATGAAACTTATTTCAAAGATTTGAAGATACAAATTTTATCAACTAATATTCATACATTTCAAAAATAAATTAGTTACGAATTTTTGCACTACGAGTGCATTTATTATGTTCATTAGGCATTTATTATTTATTATACACTTGTTCGAGAATGCATTTGTTATGAATAGCTTTTTCCCCAGTGGGAAAAGTTAATTAAAAAAAGTTGATATGGACACATGCTTTCCTTGTATTCTCTATTAAATTGTACACATTTTTTGCTGCATTTAAATTTATTTCATTTAAATTTACTTCCTCAAATTTCATTAGATATACATTTCTCGTTCATTTGAGTTCTCACTTCGCGGCAACGCTAAAATACATAAAAACTTTACACAACTTCATTAGAAATTGTAAGATGGAGGGGGAAAAAAAAACCTAATACACTTGAAAAAAGTTTTTAGAATTAAAATTAGCGTTTCTACGCAAAAACAAGTAATTCGGCCAGGGGGCAAGAAGGCAGAATGTTTCGGTGCACAAAACTGAAAGTTTATTTTTGTTTGCCACTCCGCAAAAAGACATTGAAGGTGCAGAATCTGTCTTAATTCATTATTCTACTGAGTTTCAAATGTAAATAAATGGCGGTTCCTTAGGCTTAACTATTCAATTAAAGTTTTAAGTTGGTGATAATTCAATAACTGTTGCATGCAGATTAACTAAAGACAAAAAGCTTTAACCGGAATATAAAAACTTAATTCAATCACTTTTAAAGCAAACATCCACAATTTACCAACACATAAAAATAAAGAACTAAGCTCAGGTAATAGAGTGGAAATGTACATATATATTTATATACTATTGGCACAACCGATTGCAAAGAAAAAGTTAGGAGCACAACTATATGTTATAGCAGTCCCATATACAAAATTTCAACATTCTACGGCTATTGGTTCTTGAGTTAAGCGGGATACATTGTAAGGATTATGTTAATTTTATTAACAGTTAAATTTTAAGTTCCTTTCAAATTCTTAAAGTCAACTTACTACTTCCGGGCAGAACGTAGTTTTGGAATCTTGCTGAATATTTAATGAGGAGGAGCGGTATTTAAACCACGAAGTTACTTACTGAGTCAGAGAGAATCCAGAGTTTCTGATTTACGCCGCGTTCTGCCTTTTTTGGCTACTCTTCTCTCTCAAAGCTGTTAATTACGCTTCGGCCGTACTCAGGCCCGTTGCTAAGCTTTCGTAGTCAAATAAGTTAAGGTGGCCAACTCGATTTGAACCTTGATGGTTTCGGCTATACTTCTTTAGTTAATCATAGTGCTTTAGTTTAATTCTTAGTCTCTTTAGTTCAAACCCAAGTGCGGGCTTTGTTTGTACACTCCCAGGCGGAGTTTTGTTAAATCTTATTGGAATAATAAAGGGTTAGTTACCCTTCTATCTTGTTGTTTCTTGTCACCGAACTCAAGCGATTATTCGCTTATCAGTTTTTAGATTCTTCACTTCCAACATTAACTTAGAATTCCGAAGTGAGGAACTCTACAACATATATACATACGTAAGTATGTACGTATAGATGTCAAGAAGAAATCTCTTCTGAATCCATTTTAAATCCATTTACATTTCCATCCTTTTAGGCAAAAGCAGTTCTTTATTCTGTCCGTACGTACAGATGTCACGCAAAAACATTGTTCAAATGGTTTCGAAATCGGTTGAAATGGATATTTTCGTTCGAAAGTTTTGGTGAATACAATAGTTCCTTTTATGTTTATAATTATTATTTACGCATGATTATTCTCGTTTAGATATTTTATGTTTCATTTTTTCCTTTGTTGAAATGGGCGTGGCCTGTCATGACCATAGATACAATAGTTCCTTTACTTCGTACAAGGAAGTAAAAAAAATGGAGGGGATTGACCGATAAGCATCTACGGCCCGTGATAAAGATAATTTCTAGTAATTTCTATCTAGGCGACAAACATTATCAAAATCGAAACGCCATCAAGTGTCAAGCTGTAGGGAGAAATAAAAAAAAGATAATTATTTTACATATAACATATTTATTTTTATTTATGCCTCGAAGACACACTTAATAATAGCAAGAAACAATATTATCATTATTTAGTCTGAAGTTTTGTACTACTTGGAAAATTTCCTCTCAAAAGTTAAAATTTTCATAACTTCTTTCAGTTTAAATTTAGTTATTTAAGGCTTAATTTTTTAGAATTATTTGAATTATTATGTTAGAATTATTTGAAATAAACATTTGTCTGGAAATTTAATATTTATTAGTCAATATATTTCTATTATAAAGTGTAACTAATAGAAATGCCTTACAGGTACCAAACTTTAAATTTCAGAAAAAAATAAATGTAAGTTTGAATTCTTTTCATTTGCTAAATTATTATTGTTTATGTACGTTTTGAAAAGTACTTAGTAAGAAAAATTTTAAATTATTTTAAATATTTTTTATATCGTTAATAATTTTTTTAAATCTTGTTTAAAAAAAATTTGGTCCGTCAGCAGTTCTCAGATCGTGCTTGCGGCTGGCGAGTAATTTGAGTCCGAGAGCACTGCTTTGATTTATTTTGTAAAATGTGCATCTTAACATCTTATCATCTTATCAGCAACATACTCAGTTTTCAAAATATGCGAAATCAACGATACGACTGTTCAAAATTGTAATATCTTTGATTGGAGTAAACTGTTTTCTCTATTTTCTGTTGAAAAGAAAATAACGATTGAGGTACTGTATGAAGAATAAATTAACATTTACTATAACTGTAAGGAATTTATATTATAGAGAAGTTCTCCATAATTTTAATAATAAGAGTTCAAGCGAAACAGTTTACGAAAATAAACTGTGTTTTCGTCAGAAGGACATAGTGTATTTTCATATGGTATACTAGGCGAGATTTCTGGACCCTAAACGTCCTCAAAATACTGTATTTTGTGTTCGTCGAAACATACTAAACGTTTCACCACAAACACTTGGGAAAAATGCCTCAAATCTTTATAATTAATTTTTAAAATGGCAATTTGTTTTACTGTAAACATGAAAGAGAAAGATATTATCATGTAATACTAATTATTAAAATTCTGAAACGCATTACTGATAGCAACTTTGGAGTGCGGAGAAAATTCATATCTTCGTTAAAAATAATAATACTACAATCTCAGTTATAATGGAATACGTTACAACGGTAGAAACAGAATTGGAAATGCAACTAAAGGCTGTTTTCTAAACAAGAATATTTGAAAATACATTACGATAGAAAAAACATTGAAAGGAATAGAGACAGTTCTTACAGATTAATAAGAAGCTGGACTATAGTAATCAGAAAGATCTTAAAAGATACACGACTTTTGTCGACGCAGAATCAAGAAGAAAAAAGGAATTCACGAGCATTTTGTTTTCGGAAAAAAAAGCAACATAACATATGAATCAAATAATATCTATTTCATAATATGGCTTGCAGAATCAGTTGCAAAGAATGAAAGAAAAGCGAAACAAACCTGACTCGCTCTCCACCTGGTTCATGCTTCAAGCAATTTACCATGCCGATTGTGCCGCTTGTGGCATATTCTTCACATGCTAACCATATTGTGCCTGAATTATCGTCAGCCAGATGTAACTTCAGTTCTTCAACCCACTGAAAATTGCTGTTTTCTGAGATGGTCAAAATTTTATGTTCATTAGCATTTGATGGATGGCGAAGTAAATACAGTGATCCACATAAAGAATACGAAATTTTACTTATGATCACCAAGTTATTTTCTAACAAGATTTTATTAAGTTCTACCTCCGATTGTGTTTGGATTTCTTGGCCGCATAAAGTGGAAAGGAACTTTTCTGGTGCTGAAAATTCTGTCTTATGATAAAGGAAGATAAATCCATTAGGTTTCAGAACAGAAGATAAAGAACTGATGAGATCTTGAAGATCTTGTTGTGAACCTTTCAAGAATGAACCGATCACGACATCGTGGCTCTTTTCATTCGAGAAATTTGCTAAGGCTCCAATGTCGTAAACTTGAATCTGATGACTTTCTATAAAATCAGAATCCATTTTTACTGGGAATGGGGATACAATACTACTTTTAAATCTGACATCAGGATAGTCTTTGGTGAGTTCTATTATAATAGGTAACACACAAGCTGTTCCGAAATTCACTTCTAACAGATTTATTCTCCTGAAACTATTCTCCGAAATGATATCAAACATGATTCTCATCGAGCATTGATTCAACAATATTTTGTTTAAGAAATCTTCTCCAAGACCTTTCAAATATGATGAAATAAATTCTGCTCTTTTTTCAATCAGATTATTTATTTTATCACTTTCTGAAATTTGTTGAAGAATTGTTAATAACTGTTGTTCTTCCTGAGGAATTTCCGAAAGATCATTTTCACTGTCTTTGTTTATATTATTTATGGTATCATTTTCTTGTGAAATTTGGAATAAGATACATTTACTTCTAAAACTTCGCCTAATTTATCGATGACAGCATTGCAGGAATTTTTATATTGCAGTATTTGTTTCCGGTGTTCTTCAGAAGGAGTGTAGACATTTACATAAGGAATAAATCTATATTGTTCTAGAATGGGTTCAATTATATTCAGACGACGTGTGGCCATATCAGCAGAGAGTTCTGTAATTTCGATTCCAGCACAGCGGCATCTCCTCATATTTGCATCGTATGTAACAGAAACACCTGGAAGTAACAGAAATGTTATGATAATATACACATAAAATCCACACATAAAGTAATAGACAAATATCTCTAAATAACTGTAATAATAATGTAATTATATTATACGAAGAATTTCTGAATGGTAAGCTGAAAGCGTAACACTTGCAGTGTATAACTCCATTTTACACACATTAATTAAATTAATATTAAAAATCTGAAAGCTTTGAGATTTTATATTAAGCCTAAAGGGGCGTTTTCTTAACGTTTTGTGTGTGACTTCAGTTTCACCGAGGATTCTGCTTTGAAACAGATGAAGTATAAAACCTAAGCTTGAGCAGTTTCAATGCTACTCGTATATTGTACAGAGGGACGCAGACTTGTGTCTCATCACAAAAAACACACGTGTATCCTTTCGTCGACACCATGATGTTCTCTCTATCTAGGGAACCCATTGGTAGTAGAGTGGTTAAGATCACTGAATGCTTGAACCTCAGCCACATGCTTTGCCATTTTGCTTTACCATTTTTAGTTCGAATAGACTCTCACTATCATTTATAGTCAAGCAGTGGCTTGACTACATTAATGAACAATTAGTTGCTTTTGTTTATTTAAAGTATTTTAGGGCTTTATTAAAGTTTATTTAAAGTATTTTTGAGATTTATTAAAGTTTATTTAAAGTATTTTTGGGCTTTATTAAATTTTTCATTGTGTCATTCAGAAACATGGTTATCCTGTTGCATTTTCTCGCGGCATCGATATCCTGATGAAATAATATGACAAATGAAACACTGCTTTTATCTTAACTTTTTTATGTTATTCTTCTTTCCAGCTTGTTACTTTACTGCATTAAGTTCTCGCCACTTTGATACGTAATTTATTCATTTTGTATATATTATTATTGCTATTAAATTCAATGTTGCCTTTAGCTGATTGACCTTTTCTTTTTGTCGTTAGTAAGGTTTTATTTGAACTATCTGTCATTTCATCGAAGTAGTAGGCTATAAAAATAAAATTCTGTGAAAATCATACAAACGTCACATAATGCATAAAACAAAAACCTGAGGTTTTTACAAAAGAGGCTTAACAAATATAAGAGACAAGTGAAGAAAATTTCTAGGCTAAATTTTAAGTTAATCATTTTCTATGACGTCCACGTATAATACATTTATAAATAAATACATTTTATAAACCAAAATAATATGGCTCAGATGTCGTTCCTGAATTATAAGAATGATGTAAAATCAGTACATTTTAATATTTTGAAAGGTTTCTGAAGTTTCTAATGTATAACGAAATTTAAACATAATCAGATATGTTAATAAACTAACTATCAACTTTGGGAAAAGTATACAGTGCTGAGTTTTATACAGAATATATTAAATCAAATATCGAACTTGGAAATCCCGAATTAAAATTGTAGCTAGTATTATATCTCAGCTACATGCTTTCGTTTCCTGTTTAAAACACTTATGTTTACTTAGGGTGTCAGTTTGAATTTGAACTTACCTTTGATTTCATTCTCTTTGTTTTCAGCGATTTTTTCTTTGAAAAAATTTGGATTAATTTTAAAGGACAAAATAGCAGTTGGTAGACAGAATGCTTCGTTCTGCGTTAATACTCCAGAGAAAAGAAGGAGTGAATCTAAGAAAGGAATCCATTTTTCATTCCAAGATGCAAGACCTCCAGTTCCTAAAATTATTCAATAGAAGAATTACTCTGTAATTAAAAAAATTGCTAAATATTGAAACAAAAATGAAAATTTTACAGAAGTAAAACAATTGGTTTCCTGAAATTCTTATCCTGAAATCTTTGTATAGTTTTTTGAGATTGTGGAGAAAAATGAACAGAAATATACAGAAACAAATAATAATAAATTATCACATATTCTAAATCCATTGTACAGTTTTAAGTATTCCAACATTCAATTACAGTTAAAAAAAGATACTGAGATGCTGATAGCGTTACAAAACCAGCTTCGCGTGTTTAAATTTAGTAGTCTTTAAAGCATGCTAAGAAAGCGTAGTAGGCATGCAGTAGGCAAGAAAGCGGGAGAAATACCTTATGTATTCACCATTTTAAAGAGCGGTTGGGTATTAGGGGACCCAATCGCCAAATCCTGGTGATGGAGAATCATCATCCACCTTTTTTTAGTTCGGTCGCCGGGACTCGAACCTTGGACCTCTCGATACGCGCCGAGTTTGCTGACCACTACACCACGAAGGCATGCTAAGAAGGCGGGAGAAATACCTTATATACTCTCGAAATACGTGCCGAGGGTGCTGACCGTTACACCACGAAGGCATGCTGAGAAAGTGGAAGAAATACCCTTTATAATCTAAATATAAACATTACCATAATAAAATCACACATTTTTATATGCGACTTTTTCACCAAGGACGTCAGTTAAAAATAAGAAAGAAATAAGAAAGTCTGAAAGATCATCTAAAAATTCAAATAAAAACTAAGCTGAAATATCAGTGAAGTAGAAATATCAAACTTAAATCATGCTAAACTCCACAATTCTATATTAGAATTATTGGATTTTTTTTCAATTCAAAATTAGTAAGAGATAATAAATATTCCAGACGGTCTTGAGCCACCTTTTTAGCAAGTAATCAGTCGAAAATAACTACTATAATTTCTTAAGTAGATATATCAAATAAGCAAACATATATTAATATGGATACTGATTTATAATCGATATGAATTTATATTTACAATCGATATGAATAATACCAATATCACCTCCACAATTTTGGAAGGACAGAGCGAATCTGGTTCAATACTTATGCCATTAAAAGTGTGACAGATACTGGAACCTTGGCAACAGCTGCTTTCCCAGTTAACTCTACAGTCATGAGTACAGAAGTATCTAAAAACATCAGCTAGCCCTATTTAACTATTAACATCAAGGTTTAAATCAATTGATATAAACAAGACAGGAGAAATATAGAACTATAACATCTCTGTAACGTCGGAGGTTCTCAACACATTAGCATAAGAACAACGACAGCTTAGTGAGAATATCATCGTATTAATAAGAGACTCAGATGATCAGCAAGCCGAAGAAACCTACAGTCCCACCTACTGGAAAAGTGAACAGCCTAACAGATAATATTCTTGAGCATATGGAACGAAACACAGACAGGCAAGATTCGGCAATTGTCAGAAATTTCTTTGTCGAAATTAGAGTTATCCTCAACTAGCGAGAGATGACAGTAGAAAGGCAAGAGGGAGACTTTCAAGAACTCAGCTTGTTCAGAAAAGGCAAATTTTCAACTTTCAGCCGGTGCAAATTTAGAATATATTATTCCAGTACCACGTTTACAATCAGCAGAGAAAGACTCATCGAACCATATATACGAATTGAAAACCCTTTTCTGCGTGGAATACTAGATCGTCTCGGAGCTTAGACACCAACCTTCCATTATTGTGAAAATGACGAGACGCCATTCACTTTGAGACAAGTAGGAAGAAAAGCTCTACTTAAAGTAAAGTTGTCAGAACACGTAATCAAAGCAAAAAACACAGACCATCCACCTAACAGCTCGCAGTTGCAAGTGGCCAATGAATTAGCCTGCGAACACCTCACAAACCCAATGCTACAAATCAGCTCTACTCATACAAGCATATTCTTCGTTCAACACTCAAGAGAAACAAACCGACGTAAAAAACAAAACAGGCAAATTGATAACCTTCTGATTATACACTTTCCTTCCTTGATATTCTTACAATCCGCAATGGATCTAATTTCAGTACAACTGTTTACCGTAAACCCGTTTCTGTTTGTTTATCTCCCCATAATAAGTCATGTCACCCGGCTAAGCAAAAAGTATTTCGAGCTCTCAAAGTTTGTTCCACAGAATCTTTTCTTGATAATGAATTTAATTATTTAAGATCTGTTACCCTTGACCGAAGATTTTCTCCCTTAGTCATTGATAAAGCTGTTCTAAAGTTCTCATCGTGCCATCTAAGAAAACATTCTGATGTTAGAAATAACATTCATAACTTTGTTGTGCTTCCATTTCATCCTTCTATCAGTTACAAAATCACATGGATTTTACACAAATTTAATTTTCAAGTTGTTTTCTCGCCTATAAATAAAATCCGAGGCTTGGTTCTTAAAGATTCTATTTCTGACTTTAATTCTTGGGTAATTTATAGCATATCGTGTCAGTGTGGCTTAAGTTATATTGTCGAAACAAAAAAGCATTAAAGTTTCGCATAAAAGAACGTGAATCTTACGTCCGAAAAGGCGAAATTAACAAATCTTCAATAGTTAATCATAGTTAGAAATTCAATCACAATTTTGATTTGGGTTCTGCTAAAAGTATCCAGAAAGCTGGTTCAATTAGGGAATTGGATTTTCTTGAAGTTTTTCACATTCCCAAAAATTTATCCTGTTTAGCCAATGACTTTAATTCCAATCCAGTCTTGCCTAATGCTTTTAAATTCTATTAACTTAACTCTTCATTTTTCGTTACTATTTCTGCGGACAGATAAGCGCTATTGGCTCTTCAACTGGTCGCCTGTAGGGTATAAATATAATCGACATTCGCTTTCTAGCTTTTGCAGAATTATTTGCTCCTGATGAAGGGGGAACCCATTTTGACCTCGAAATCGATAGGGATTTTACAAAATCTACGCCGAATACTAGGTTGTCGATTTGCCTGTTTCATATTCTTAGTTCTCTTCGAAAACAGAGGCCACGTGTAATCTCTGGGAAATATCATTGAAGAAAAGAAAAATCTTAAAGAGGAACTATTGATACGTGAATCAAGAATTATTAAAGGGCAGATATAATAATACTCAGCGGACTATTAACTATTATCCTCTGAAGAAAACAGATTGTAGTCTTTGGAGTCCAGGATTACTTGCAAACACAAGAATATATGCAGGCGTTCAGTAACTACAACCCATTTCCCTCTTTAGATGTAATTCATCCAATTCACAGGTTAGACGGAAAGAAGAATTGAATCATTAAATTGAATACAAATCATACTGAGGCAAATGGTCGTGAGGTTCGTAACATATAAATTGTAACTCCAGCATCTACCAAACTATGTAAAGATAACACAGTGTTACAACTGCCAGGATATTGGAAATATACTAAGTCGTAATTTAAACCATCATCTATCTGCGTGCAGTGCTTAGGTTGTCAATCATACAAATCATGCCAGTAAGCATCCAAATACCTCAACTATTTACGTTGAAATAATCAGGAAGGAACTACTTACGCCATTGATCATCTAGCCAGCTCACGACACTGTCACACATACAAAGCAAAGCAGCAAAACTGTAATAGAGAATACTAGTACATGTTTGGCACTATAATACTTTGGAGAACTATTTATTATTATTATTATTATTATTATTATTATTATTATTATTAGACGAAAGCCATAATACTCTCTATCAATAAGTATTTAGACACCCAAGTAAATGATGATATCTGTGGTATTGGTATACGTCACGCCTTCTGCCATAAAATATCGTGTAAGGAACAATATTCGCATTAGTCGCATACAAGATGCTACGAAGTGCAGAGTTATCTGATTTTGAGAAAGGTGTAACCGTCAAGATCACAGAAATGGCCGAACCTTAAGGGGTATATTTAGCAAGCTGAATTACCCAAAATTGAAAGTGGCGTTTCCGATTCGGAAGTGGAAAATGATCGTTGATTGACGGAATGTGCCTCGAAGAGGAAGACCGACGAAGCTGAGAGATAGATACCGACGTGTTCTATCTAGATAAATTCGAAAGAATCGCACCCAGCCGGCCCGCATACTCAAGGAGTTTCAACAGGCATTTGGGAATATTGTCTCGATGAATACCATTTGTAAGGAAGCACATTTGTATGGTTTTCATGGTCGTGCTGCCGCCCATAAGCCCTTCTGGTATGGACTGAGACTCTTGGTCTGAATTCAGGGTAAGTTTGACGCCGACATCTACTGCACTATTTTGGATGAAAATATGCTTCTTATGTTGTGCCAGTTTTCCGTGTTGGAGCCATGTTACCTAATTCGCACTATACGAATCCACCGTGGATTCGCATAGTGCCAATTGGTTTAACCGAATGAACTGGCCTGTCCAAAGCCCAGAACTGAACCCTATCGAGAACATCTGGGACGGATTGGATTGCAGAATTAAGGGGAGCAACAGCCGTCCAACATCGGTGAAGGAATTTACATGTCTTCTCAAAAGCCGAATGGAAGAAAATACCATACAAAGACTGGTGGAAAGCATGTCCTGAAGCGTTGAGGTTGCAATTTCCGCTCGTGGAGCTCTATCGACTATTGAATATTAATAAATTTTGTTTTTGTTTTCTATCACAGGTGCCCAAATACTTATTGGTAGATAGTGTAGATTAACATTAAAAACAATGTTTTAATGCCAAATAACTCAAAATCCCTAAAATTATTAAAGTGCAACATGCTAAAATCTAAGCCTGGAACCTACTAACATCATTCAAACTTTTCAACAGCCATCTACAGACTTATCATTACTTCAGGAACCTTATATTCACTATAGCAAATTAAATGCCAGCATTAAGGAACTCGAGCTTCTATTCTCCAAAACAATATTCCAGTGCAAGTTCAAGTGGAGATACCAAAGCTTCGTGTCTTCTTTTCGTATTCCACTTCAGAGAAAAAGAGAGCAAAACCCAGTATTAAGCGTTCATTATCTAATGTCTATGGACTATTAACTAATTATATACACTACTGACTACGTTAAATATCAATGTAAAAATTACACATTTTGTTCGAAGCAATAAAAATGTAACTTGTTCCAAGGAATGTAATAAAATGATTAACTAAATTTATTTCTTTCAAAGATTCAATAAAAATACTCGAATCGGATGACTTATGTTTGGGCTATAAAAAGATCTTAGGTCGGATGTCATCCCAATAGAAACTAGAGTTGAATAAGACATTTTTTAGTTTTCTTTTATAGTTTCTTTGAGAAGCTGATTTGAGCGTGCGGTAGATTTCCTTGGAAGAGAGTTTCGGGCTAATGATGCTAGTATTTTGAATGTGAGGTTTTTTCTTCTTATGATCTTTTGAAATAATTTATCTGAGGGTGAGGGAAGGTTTACTGACCATTAATTTGGGGTTGGAAGGTTCCTTCATTTTCTTTGTGAAAATATCTGCGGTGAACTCTCTCCTATTTATGAGCTCGTAATGAATTGCTAAAAATGTTCGTAAAATAGAGAACTTGCAAATGGTAACGGTACTAAATAAACACTTTTATTCTAGTGGGAGCAGTTTAGTGCTGCATATCTCTATGCAGTTTTTACTTATGTTTAAAGACGGCTTAATGTGTAGTATTGAATATGATTGCGAAAACAAAAAATGTTGTAAATTTGAATAATTTGGATAGAAGTTAAGAATTTAACCAATGCTTAAGTCTCATAAGCAATAGCAATTTATACTGTGGGTCAAAATTCTAATTCCAATTATAATGTAAATTCACGCCAACCAGTCCATTAGAAAGTCTTATAGGTAGACATTCCTCGAATCTCGAATGAAATCGAATGAATAGCAAAATCGACACTTTAAGAATGTTATTTATTTTAAATTAAAAACGTGAATTTACATCTTAAATTATCAAAGAGCTAATTAATTTACTTTAATTTACTTGATAAAGTCAAACTTACCAAGAAAATAATGGGATATACGAAATATTACCGTCAATATTCATTTCCATAACTCCTCTGAATTCAGGGCCGTTTCGTATCCACGCAGTTTGAGCTCGTTGTATACTTGTTCTCCTGGAAGACGAGATGTCTCTCCAAGATCCGGTGAAACATCAATTATTTCTGGATTTGGAGGAACATATACCTTACCGAAAGCAACAAGAGATTGGCCTTCCATGATTTCGAAATTGCCGCTTATATCCAGCAAGTTAATTTCGAAATTCAGAATCTCTGAAATAAAAGTAAAATTGATTCAAAAATTGTTCTGTTATTTGCTTAAAATTCAAACTAGCTATTCTTTCCTTGGTGGACCTTAGGAATGTCCAGCATTTCGAATGCATTTAAAAATACATAATTGACTTTCTCACTAGTTTAAGAGGCGTAATTAAGATATATATAATTTTCAGCACAATATGCAATTCTAGTGTATTATCAGCTTATGTCGTGGAGATAAGAGATTTTTATCTTCACAGCTTACGTATCAATACTAAGTGCACAAGACAGTAATTATCTGATAATGTAATAAATTATAACTATCCAATTCACATTTAAATATTAACCGCATTGTCATCAGATTGCAATCTTGATTTCCTTACTCAACATAATAGCTTCATTTTTTTAAAATAGTTAAAACAACAAATTGATCTAAACATAGCATAATATTTTTGCTAAAATCTGTATTTTTGTATTTCAACAGCTTAGAATTTTATAAAACAAATTCATAATCAAAATCGCTGTTGTTAGTTATCGAAAAATAACCAAGATGGGATTTTTGCGTAAATATCACTAAACTGTACAAACTGCTATTATCCATCAGACAATGAATGTTTCTATGTGGAAATGTCCCGTTTTTCGAGTTGTATGGAGCCGTCGTGTGTCGAAATACTGCCGAAGCGCTGTCAAGGGAGTTTCTGAATGTAAAGAAAAAACACCCCATTTAGAGACCGGAGCTTCGGACCAGTGCTTCACTCTTAGTGCCGAGCTATCCACTCCTTCTTTTCTTACTTCCATGGTGTCATAAGACGAGCTTCGCGCGTTAGAAGGGCCGGACTACGTCCTAAACGAGCAAAAGACGTGAAAATGTGCAGTGTCTTTGAAGTATTAGATTCCCAGAACTCCCGACTGCTAGCCGGACCTGCTTTCCAGTTACATCAGAAGGTCACAAATTAAATTTGTGTATCACATTTTAATATTTTTTGTTTCATACAAGAAGAGATGTTTTAATACTTTGGATTAGGTATTCTTTATCTAGGAATTAATTAATTTATTTAGTAAATTTCAGAAAACACTTGATATTTTTTGTGTTTTTGTGTATTTTCTTATAAAAGGCAAGAAAAAGTAATTAAAAAATGTAAGTAAGTAGATTTGAGAAAGCTAAAATGAAGTTCAGAAAGTAGAAGTTGAAATGGTCCCCAAATATCCATGCTGCAAAGCAACAATTTTCGTTACATACATGATAGATATTAATACAGGGAATATTCCTTATTTAGAAGGGAAATAAGCCCAGATCTCACGTACACTGCACACACACACAATGGTATGTTGTTTCAGAAAAAGTGCAATTTTGTGTCAAAATGCCTATGTTAGAACAAAACTGTATATAAATCAAAAATATATCCGAAGTTGCGCTTTCGAGATATGGAAAACGTAATTTGAATTTCGTCAATTGACCCAGTAGAAGGGCGATATACTGTCTGTCTACGAGAATCTCCTGCCACAGTGTCTCGCGGGTAGCGGTCGCTATAGCAACAGGGACTATTTCAAATAGGGCCGAACCAAGGGTTGCTAGTTTTTCTTTAAATGCGCCAAGATGCAAGCTGGAAAGTAAATTTTCAACTCACCCCTACGGAAAGTAGGTCAAGGCTCGTTTCTACGGCAACAGAGAGCTGCAGACTAACTGGAGAGAGCTTTTCTTATGATAGAGAGACTATAGAACTGTCCCATGTTTTTCGCAGTGTATCATTCTTTGCAAAATACAATACGTGCGTTCCTCTAAAATTCATATTAAATATGTTGTGGGTGATATTTGCATTTGGTTAGTTTATGTTCGTTACTGTATTGAATAACTGGGGGCTTACCTATCATGTTTTCTCAAACTGTGTTATGGGCTATGCTTAAAATTCGTATCTATTATTTTAATTGGATTAGACTGGTCAAAACTACACTGAATATTTTAATAAAAACATTCACTTGAAACTTATGAAAAGTATGAATGCTACATCATCGAGTGATATAGTTTAGTACGGTAAGACTGGAACAATGTCAGTAAATTAACATTAAACATGACGCGAATGAATGTCAGATAATAATAATAATAATAATTAAAATATATATATATATAGAAGGTTGACTATACTTACTTGATGGATTCAAAACTGTGGCTCTTCTAATTTTAAAATTTTCATTACGACTGGGATCTCGTCTATTGATTTTTTATGCTTCTCCGCTAAAGCTTTCCAGGCCAAGTATATGTAACCCGTAGCCAGAAACAAAGATCTTCCATCCAGCTTGTGATCCATCAGATAGCTATCTGCATTCTGTAAATCAAATCTATGAATAAAAGTTGTAGATGAAGGCGCCCACTTCGGTACAGAGAAAGAATGAGAATGGTCCACTTGATTAAATCTGAAAGCATTGAGTACATCTCGGCACAGGAAATTTCACACAGGAGGATAAAGTCTCTCGATTTTGGGATCTAGACCTTTAGATAAATCTGCAGCATAAAAAATTACAAATGGCTGTAGTCTTGCGAAGAAACATTTAAAATAAAATATTAAGCTTCTATAAAACATTTTTACAAAACATTTTACTTTTAAGGGATCAGTTGTCGAGAAATTTAATATTTTCATAATTGGAATAGAGAACCTGTTTAATTTTTCTGCTTGTCTTTTGTTCTAACGAAGTTTTTTCTGTAATGCTGAAGAAGACACAAAAGACCCACAAAGAAGTCAAAATAACCCAATAAAATGTTTTATTTCTCAGCCGTTCTCTCGGTTTTATTTATTTACTAACTGATACACGCCAGCTTTGCTGCGCATATACTATCTATTTGAATGGGAACCTAAACTCCTTATATGGACGAAATGTCTAATTTTGAATTGATAATTAATGTAAATTTTTTGAATTTAAAGTCGGGAAATATAGTGCCAATCAGTGAATCTGTCATACACAGATTTCCACATCACCCATCAGGTACTGTGTATTGGAATGCGTCCCCAATATTTTAACGTGATGGGATTCTCAGTAGGCCTACACCACGAAAAATTGCCAACATAAAACTAAGATTTATACATGTTCAACTGTTATCATAAGTTTCATGAAAAAAAATGTTATTGTCTTTGTTATCAAATTTTTTAATCAATTATAACCATTTGTCCTTGATTTTTTTATGTATGACAATTTTTATAAATAAGAACATTTTTATTTTTCATCACAATAATTTTATTTCTCTTAATAATAACATTTATTTTAATGAAACTTACGATAACAATTAAATATAAATGTTATTAGTAACCTTATAATTTAAATGTTGTTTGTATTCTTTGGATAGATGCAAGTTATTTACCAATTTAACAATTTTAAAGGAAAATGCATTGATCGGCAACATTATATTTCATATCTAGTTTTGGCAACAATAAAAGAAAATTCCGAGAATGGATTTGAAAAGCAAATGTAGAAGAAACTTCTACTGTATAACAAAAATCCATTTTGGACAGGATTTACGTAAAACCCATTCTTAGTGAGCGTCTACATCGTGGAATGAGTAACTATGCAAAATTTCAAGTCAATCGGATGTATAGTTTCGGAGATCTCGTGATGAGTCAGTGATATTTCGTTTATATATATAGATATATATATATATATATAATATATTCTATATATATTATCAAATATTAGTTATAAAAGTATTCCTCTTCTTTATAATTCATTACTTAAAACGTGAACCTTTGCTTTAAAATAAGTAGACCTTAAAAGATATCCGACTACGTTTTTTAATTGTCAATTTTGACGGTATTTTTCAAAAAACCTTTTATTATTTTATTTTAAAAGTTTCCATAAACTACTTTTATTTTGTCTCTTCGGTCGTTAGAAGCAGAATTATGGCTGTTCTTGTTCTGCGCCCTGAGCCGGAAGTTTATGTTTAAGAATCCCGAAGCTAATGTCTAAAGGTAGAAGACTATTACTTTAAAAGGATATTTTTTCATTTGAAAAAATTTTGGTGATATTGCAAAGCTGATTTTTTAAACCTTTCTATTTGTTATTACGTGCTCGAATGCAAGATAAGTTCTGCAATTTAATTATCATACTTGGCAGCGTTTTCTTTTCCTTTACTTGTGTTTGCATTACATTAAACCTATTTTTCGAAAAACTTGATTTTTTCAACTTTCGGTTACGAAAAAATCTTAACAAACGAACTTAAATATTACTATAATAATTTTACGAAACTTTGCAAAAATATTATATGAAATATTATGAATTAAATGGCTTAAAAGTTTAGGTTTATCTACCTATCTAAAATTTTTTCAGACAATTTTGTGAATGAAAAGAGAGAAATTTCTCAAAAAATAGCTAGTGCACATACTCAACTAGTTATATTTCATAGACATTTTACTTCGATCTTAGTCTCTTTAATTCAAAAACTTAACTCAAAATGTAAGAACAAAATTATAATTTGGTAATGCGTTTATCACCTGTTTTATCACTTTTAAGTTGTACAATGCTAAATAACGCCGATAATAGATTTATTTGTATTATTATCCAACATTTGGATACCGGACATACTAGGATACTTTAAATGTTTAAAAAATAATTTTTTTTTTATATTGGAAAGTGTATTTGTACTATTCTGTTTACTACTCGAAAATTTTGCTACATTTTTAGTAAGCTTTTCTAAAAGGATATTTTTATAAATGGAATCTCAGTGTCAGTTGAAGGAATTTTTTAATTATCACAAATTATGTTGCTTAAATACTAAATAAACAACATAGATAACGTATATATAAATTGCATAGCTATCAATAATTGCTATAGCCGAATCTGGCTGAACTAGTTTCATTTAGATCTGCATCCACTATACTGGTCGTCGGCACGCCTGAAGACAAATAGGCAACAGAGTATCCATAACTTTTACTAACTTTTCTTTGCATATAATAATAGTAAAATATTGCGTTTGATTCAATACCTTACCTTTCATTCTAATTAGAATCATTGCTGCTATCGTCAAATATAAGTTTTTTGTTTCAAAATTGGCCACTTGGACGGAAATGTGGCTAATCATTCTGACTGCCGTACCGGAGGTCTCGGGTTCGAATCCCGGAGAAAGCATGGTTGTAATTTGTCCATTCCTTCATAGGAGGCTATGTCGGCCCACTTATTAGGTTGCTGTTGTCTTGACCATGAATTTCTTGGAAGAATGGTTTGCCAGAGACTCAAGGAATTTGGAGTATTTCTACACCAATTTTTGAGTGATAGACCTCGGAGGGTCTCTCTGCCACCCATCCACATGAGAGGACTTTCGACTCGCCTGTATTTAGAGGGTCCCCATGTCGCAAAGACACTATACATTTACAAACATCAGGGTCTTCTCCGGAATTCGAACCCACGCTCTTTGGTACCGTTAGTGGCTCCCCTAACCACTATACCGTCTGTGCTGCCACTTATTAGATACCTCCAAAATAAAGAGAACAACGCTTCCGGCCTTAGTGGTGGCCCACGCCTATAAACTGCTAGAGTCCACCATTGAAAAAAAGTGTTTCAAAATTTATCCTAAAATATAGGGAAGATATTACATTCGAAAGTATCTTATTTTCGAGTAAACGCAGTATTTATTGCATATTTTGCTGCGGCTAAAAACAATTTAAAATATTTAATAAATATATCATATTTTATATAATTCAAGATGATATTTCTTTATAAGGCATTCTCACACATATAAATAAAAAATAACAGCATAAAAAGTAATAATTTCAGTCACATACTTTCCCAGTGATTCTAAGAAAAAGTTCAGGTTGTTTTCTTCTTTTCGTTTCATCAAACCGATATAAGCAGCATTAGAGCCAATAGCCCTTTTAAGTATAGCTTGAAGTAAGAAATGTGGTCCGATTTCGATAGTGATGGCATCGGAAGGTATCTTGCTTAATGCATCTTTGAAACGCACACTGGAAGTGAGGTTATGAATAAAATATTCCGGACCCGCCATCTTGCATTCTGGTAAGTCCCACTCTTCTTCTGAAAAACTAGAACTAATCCACCGCTCTGTTCGGGGTTTCGGATCAGGAATAAGCTGTAAATATAATAGAATTGTTTAAGTTTGGTGCTTAGAATAATCTTATGTTAGAAAAGGGGAAGAGAAAAAAATGTCTATGGCGTCGAAGCAATCAACTGATCACGTTTACAGTGTTAGAGTTGCCATACTTTTTAATATTTGCTACATTATTTACATTACGGATGTGAATTAATGAAAGCATATGGATGAGGACGATACCTGGATTTGATCCGGATATATATTCGCATGAAAAAATTGTTACTGCTTTAAAGTTGTAAAAATTGTTTCCAAATTTTTAGTCCAAAGGGGTGTTAGCCCCGAAGGGCTATGAAACAGAATTTTGCGTCGTATCACTCACTATAAACGGCTGTTTCACTTTTCAAATTGTTGCCACCAAACGTTATCACCCTATATTATATTTAAATAAATGAAATAATGAAGAATCTGCATGAATGTATGTATATTTCTCAAAACGGTACCTAGAGCCTTGGTTATTATTGATTTAGTCATTATTTCCATTATTAACATGTTGGGTAATATGATTGAGAAAAGCGAAACTAAAAAAAGGGCACAGAAAAAAAGAAGGGTGGAGACAAAAAGGTCTGTATGGCGTGAACGCATTTAGCTAATGAATGTTTAAGTTTATATGTAATGTTTTCGGAACTCAGAGTAATCAAAAACAATCTGAGAGAGATTATTGAATAGTCATCACCTGAAACAAGGATTGAACGTTGGAAAGAACCCAGGTACTTGGCTGGTGATTTTAATTTGAAGCATTATTTGATTCGATAAAGAATCGGGGGGATGCTTACTAATATAAAATATAAGCAGTTTAAAAATATTGTTAGCGTTATTAAATTGTAAAAGAATTAGACATAGATGCACAATTTCTTAATATTTTAACAGCTTTTTTGACAATACATTTTACTTAAAAAATAATTTACTCAAACCATTTATTAAGTTAAATATGTATCATAAGAATGACAATTATTATCTCATGCTATATTACGTAATTGATTTTCTAAACCTACCACTTCATATTAACGCAGAGTGATACAGCAATTTAAAGCATTTCTGCAACTATACTGAATGATATCGAGAATGTTGTACCCTGTGAAACGTGCATACGTTTTTTATCAAAGTAAACTTTCACGACGAAATAGCGTAAGCAGAAATTGTGCACAAGCATTTTCTCCCTCCTTTTCGCATGCCTTTATGGTGTAACTGGAAGCACGTCCGACATGTAATCGGGAGGTCCGGTATTCGATTCCCGGGATGGACACTGCACATTTTTCCCTGTCTCCTGCATCCATAAATCTAATGACTATAAGTGGCGCCCGCACTAAAAGGTGATGACTGCGCCGGACCCACAAAAATAAGAGATTGATACTTGCGGTCTCCCATAGGTCGCAGTGTTTGACTGTTACCAGGTGTGATACGATAGGGTCTCATATTCCAGAAGAAATAATTCGTTCAGTTACGGTTCCATTTGACATTACAAGCATCATAACTTCATGGTCAGTGCCAAGGGATTTTTAGCGATTTGCAATGTGTCTGTCACCAAATCCTCTCGATTTCAGAGAAGCTGACGGACCAATAATCCTGTTGTTCTTCTAATATCGTTTCAACTATAACGAATCAGAGGACGTAAAATATAACCGAAAAAATAGGAGGGAGCGACTAATTCAGTTTCATTCGAACTATTTTAGACAAGACAAGAACCCAGAATGCTCTTAAACTCTCGACTAGAGAGACTGTTACCGCTAAGAAGATCCTCACATTATGGGAATAAAAACCTATAATAATCGTTTCCATGCCTTCATGGTTGTCATGTATTGTAATAGAACTTCTCCCTCACTTCATGGTTGTTATGTATTGTAATAGAACTCAGATTTATTTTGTACGTATTTTTGTTTTCTATGCAGTAAGTAATACGTAACCTTAATAAACGCAACCAACACCAGTTACCACATGGAGTCGCGCCATTATGCAGTGTACCGCAAGCACCCTAGTGGTGACCGAGGACTGGCAACTGCATTTAGGAACTATTCCGGCAGCTAAACGACAAATCCTTACACCTGCATCTTAAGATAATTGCTGAATCACCTGCATAGAGATAAAAACCTCTTGCTACCCCAAAACACCTTTTATACAGTTTGACGTAACGCAGCGGATAATAAAGGAAATGCAAGGCAACTGTCAAATCCACATTTACCAGCCAATTCCCAGACGGAATATCTGAAATTCTTTTTTTTTCCCTGCTGGATCGACGCCATTTTCAGGCTTCCCTAAATAATCCGAAAAAAGATATCCGTCTTGGCTAAAGGGGTTTTTCAGTATAGTAATTCTCACATCCGGAACTCTTGTGACTGTTTGACAACAGTATGATTGTGTATACAGCAGCGTAAGAAGAAAATATTTTGGAATCAGAGAAACTCAAAACCTTTAAAAGTAAATTTGATTCTTTATCGTGAATATTTTATATAATCAATTGTTATCTTAAATATTTTATATAATCAATTGTTATCTTGAATATTTTATATAATCAATTGTTTTATATAATCAATTGTCAATTGCTAATAATTAGTATTACGGATATATGACAGTATTAAAGATTATGGTTCGTAATGACGTAATTCTCCAGTGATCAAGATAGGCGATAAGTACGACGCTTCCCGTCGAGTGGACTAGCTGCCTGAGGTTTAGGCGATTTTTTCCGCATGGACACGTGTTAGATTACTTTAAGAAATCTTTCCTGTCCTTAAGCAGATAGCCAACGAGTACTTTGCTATAATGGGTTAAAAGCAACATGCGATAACGATGTCACATATACTAGGCAAAAAGCAACATGCGATTATGATGCGAGTATTCTTTCGGTCGATTATTTAATACCATGTTTCTGAAAATTCTGCTACGCTCACTGAAAAGATTAACTTTGTACGAACTTATGTATTTGAAAGCTAAAATCTGGCTACGGGTAGACAATCAGGTGAATTTGTAGTCATTAGGTTATTTTTAAAGGAGGAGTGATGAAACATGAGCAACGCCCTCGCCGGGAATCGAACTACGGACCTCTGGAATATGCACCCAGCGTGCAGACCACTACACTACGAAGGCATGCTAAGAAGGCGGGAGAAATACCTTATAACTTATCAAGCAGTCTTAATCTTCAAGTGAGTAATTAGTTCCGAATTCAGAAGAAGGTTTAAAATAAGCTTTGTTATTGAAACTTAACAATTTGCACAGCTTGTGTAACTAACAGAACAAAATTACTGCTTCTTGCAGATTTAACAGAAAAGGAGAGTTAGTATAAAACTGAAATAATTAAATTATGCAAATTCACATGGCGACTGACTCTCCAGTCATGCAAGCAAACACAGCTAGCAAAAACCTAGCAAAGACTAAAGCCAGATAAAGCTAGGCGAAAGTGGTTTGAAAGGAGGTCAGTGGTAGCTGTGAAAAGCTCTTCTTTTTCTGTGACAGCGTTGTTCGTATATACATTAACCAAAGAAATTCGGTTAATAAATTCGATTAGCCCCAAAGAAAGTAGAGCTGAAAGTAAAAATAAGAAATTAAAATAATAATTAAAAAAAAAAGCTGTTAGATTTTTATATTATGCCCTAAGAGGCGTTATTTCCATTTACACACACACGCACGTTTCGAGAGCATTTGAGCTAATGATCCTTCGGGTTGCAAATATTTAAAAACAGCCTATCTTTAGAATTTTCGACAGACAGTCTCGCGCGCTGGAAATAATTTTTCCCCGTACAGTATTGCCATTGCTCGCTTTGAAATCGTTGAGTTTGTTAATCGAAAGTTCGTCAAAGTTTTACAAAGTACGATCTATGCACTGTAACCTTTTTCACAAAGCAGAAAACACACGTACATTCATGCGAGTTCTTCATTACTTTATTTCTTTAAATATAATACAGGGAGTGGTGGCTACAGTTTGAAAAGTGATATAATGCTTTAATGATTCAACGCAAAATGCCGTTTCAGACCAATTCTGGTCTGGCGCCCCATTGGACTAAAAATAATAAGATAATATCTTGATAAGCATAAATACTCTGCAACGTAAATGAACAAATGAAATTTGATTCTTAGTAAATTATATTTTCCGCCTATGTCGGTTAACGTCTTAAATTACAGGGAAACCTTGGAAGACAAATGTCTCATGTCACGAACAAATTACCTAAACAGAAAAAGCCTCTGATGACGAACAGTGCCTCTATTAACAAACGTTTAAGTTGGCAACATATGTTTCCAAGGTATTTTGAAATAATACATGTCACAAAATTAACACTCAGGAACTTTTGGAAGCAGTATTTGAATATTTTCTATTTCTTAACTACATTAACAAAACCGATCAGCAAGAACACTGAATTCATCCTGAAGGAAATGATGGCCAGATTATTTGGTTGCAGGCAGAGACTTTGAGTGCCTTGACACTGAGACCTATCCCCTTATTTAAAAAAAATAAAAAATAAAAAAAATTCTTTGTTATCTTTGATATTGGGTCTCTAGGTAAAACTTAAAACCATGGTCGTGGAAGTTAATATTGAAGAGTGGAGGAGTTATCAAAAGATCATAAAAATGAGCTCAACAAGAAAGAATTACAGCAACTTAAAAAGCACCAACAGAAGGCGATTACAGAAAAAATGGTTAAAAAAAAAGTAAGAAAAATCTGATGTGTGCACCACATGACTTTCTTGTACGGAATATTAAATTATACGCATTTTTATTGCATTTCGTTTAAACTTATTGGATTGAATTAGATGTACTTCGTAAAGTGCGCATAAACCACAATAGAATAAATGCTCTCTTTAAAATTCACTATATTTGTTTACCATAGCCCTACTCTGGCCCTAGGTTCACTTAACAGCTTTACATTTCGTTCATATTATAACTCAGAATGAATATAAATTTATATCATTTGAAGAATTATCTAATCGTTGCCACATGTTCTATTCAAATACTATAATAAATCTATTATCTTTGTTGTTGCGAAGCTTAGTCTCTCTAGATTGGCAACAAATCTACTGTTCTGCTGTTTCAAATGTAAACAAATATGTCCGCCATGTTATTTAAAAATTAGGATTAACCGCACTTAAACAGCTTTTAAATTGTTGATAATTGTACAATAAGTTGTTGCCAGAAAGTTTTATTCCAAAACATTTACTTTTTTAAAATTATTTATTTATTCTTTAAAATTTAAAATTATTGAAGTCGTTCTAAAAATAAGCAAACATCCTCTGCAATATTTGCGTTTATGGAACAAATAAATTCTAAATATTTCTAAACTCAGAAACGCATAATAAGCTCAAGATAGTGAAAATATGTAAAATGAAATTTTCCAGACAGTGAAATTGTACGTCAATTTATAGCCTTTTGAAAATGAGCTTACTTTCTCCAAGGCAGCATATAAAATTGTCTTTGCTGGACACACCAATTTGCAATGGAAAGCATAGCCATAGGCATCGACGACACGAGCGAAAATGTTTTCACTTTTTAACTGCTCAACAAACTTCTCCACGGGTTCTTTCAATCCAGAAATAGTGACAGAATCTGAAGCGTTATCACATGCAGGATACACATTTTCTGGACACTTATTTACGGCCTCGTCCCATGTTAAACCTGGAAGAAATATGACGGGCATTTAAACTTTTAAAATAAAACTGTTTTGACTAGAAACTTTCGAATATAGAGCTACATGTCTTTCTTTATGTTACGTAATTACCAAACAGTATATGAAATATTACTGAGAACTAAAAAAAATTCGATTGAATATTTCATTTTTTGACATGCTATTTAAGTATTGCTGATTTAATGACTTCTAAAATGAGATGATACACTTTAATGACTTTTGAAATAAGACAGCATTCTACAGATGCATTGACGGGTGAACAAAGACTGTTGTCATTGTTTTCAGATAATATTACAAACTTATAAATCAATAGAAAAAATATTGTTACATTTGCTAGTTAACGTCAATTAATGGTAAGACAGAATCATGGAAAGTAAAACAATTTTTCTCATTTACGTTAAGTTATAACGTTTCATGAACTGGAAAATTTATATATTTATAACGTTTTAATGAAAAATTTATATATTTTGTATAAAACTAATAAGTTACGTCGACGTACCTTTTAAGAACTAACAGCTGTATTTTCATGCTCGAATTTTCAGCTAGCACTTAGTTTCTATTTAGAGTCATATTATGAGAGATATTAAAATAATATCACCAGACTATTTCGTACTATATTACCTCTGCTTAGGTACGAAAACAGATTATTTCGTACTATATTACCGGTGCTTAGGTACGAAAAGAGAAGCAGGGGCGAGTAAATAATTGTCATCCTATTCTTTGTTTTCGAGTGATTTGTAAACTAAACCCGTCTTTGATAGTGACTGAAAAAATTTACATAATTTCTATAACTTCTTGAAGAAAATAGATATATATTTTTATAACTAATTAGAAGTATTAAAACACATCTTTGTAGTTATTGACTTTGTTTGATCCTAAAGAAGAGAGACCTGTGTTAGTTCCCCTTCGAAATCAATAGAATTTACATAAATCTGCCCTAATCTAAGATTTTTTCGTTCCTAATTTCATAAATGTCGAATTATTTTTTGATCTTGTTTATTATCTATATGTTATCTCGAAATTATTGTGTTGTTTACTGAAATTTCAGGAATGAAGAATTAGTTCGAGTTTCAGTTAAATATATGTCTTACATAAGTTCATTTCTTTAAACCATTTCTCAAAGATTCACAGGGTACGATTGCAGCATGAAATAAAATGTTTTCAAACAGTGGCCAAATATTTCTTGAATTTTTCAGCCATACGATGTGTACTAGATTTTAAAATCAGCAAGATTACTTTTAACGCTGTAATTCCTTCAAAGTTTGTTGGAATAATTGTTGCCATTGCTGGTAATGTAACTTTAATTTACTGTCAAAGTATACATACATGCAATATATTTAAAATGCAATTCATATTTAGTAAGAAATAGTTTACTGCATGCAATTTAATTTCCCTCCCAAATTAATTATTCATAAAATGTATTGTTGCAAATTTTGTATTTAGGTAGCTAATGCTAGTAGAATTATAATTAAAATTATTTTATTTCTGCGTTAGCGACTCCAACTCCGACTCCTTTTTACCCAAAAATCTATCCGACTCCATGGCTCCAACTCCGACTCCACAGCCCTGAATGTAACTGAATTAGTTAATGCTAAAGCGCCATAATGTTGCGCGACCATGCAATTGTGACTATAACTGAGGCAGACGAGACGTTAACGATGATATTACGATGATTATTCTTTTTTTTCCTTTTAATTTATGTAAATAAATCGTAGTTTCGTAGTAACTCGATGAGTTTTTGTTTGTGATTCTTAGTGATCTTTATTAGTGATATTTTAGCTACACAAATTGTAAGTTATTTTTAATTACTTCTAAACGAGTTATCAAACGTTAATTTTGTGGAGTTTGCACACTAATATCTGAATATGTGGAAAATCATAAAAGACGTTTTCATAATGTGTTTTTAAAGTGTTTACCTCTACAGTGGGAGAGGATTGAAAGAAAAGATATACAACTACTCAAAATGACATAAAAGATTGTTTATCTTTTTAAATGATGAAAGAAATATATAGAAATATTTTCTGTTAAAAGTGTTGATATCAGTGAAGCTATAGAGACATTAGGAGTTTTTTAGAAGCAGGAAAGATGAAAAATATGCAACGCCTTCCTCGGAAATCGAACCGCGGACCTCTGGAATACGCTCCCAGCATGCAAACCACCACACCACGAAGGCATACCAAGGAAGCGGGAGAAATACCTTATAAAGCGTAATGTTGAGTTATTGCAAAAGAAGCTAAACATACAAATTCTGTACGAGATACAAATATACGTACCAACAGCAGCCATTGCACCTGTTGGAAGGCTTGATCTCTCGACAGCGATGCCTCTCCAATAAGCAGAAAGAATTGTCTGCTTAGCTGTGCAACAGCCATCAGCATATGCACATACTAACTCTCCTGTACTGTGTCCAACAATTCCATCCGGGTGGATATCAAGAGATTTGAGCACATCGATAAGGGCGATCTTTGAATATCACAATATGTTATTTATAAGTAAAAAAAATAAGTTTTACTATCACTATTGCATTCATTGTTATTTTTTTCCATCTAAAGTATACCTAAGAATTTAACATGCAGCATATGTTTAGGAAATAAGATTAGGAATTTAAAATGTATCTAAGAAGTATATTTAAGAAATTCAACACATCGATAAATGCTATCTATAAAAACCAACATCTAATACTTGTTTAAGGATGAGGAATATTATTTTTTTAATATTGCATTTACTGCTAATATTCCAAAACTCACATTACGCTTCAAAATGCCATTAGGTGTTTGAGAAAGCAAATAATAATCCTGCAAGATATTGCCTGCAAGTTTCGGAATAGCATATAGTAAAATTAAATTATAACAATTACACAAAATATCGAATTTAAAACTTCTGAGGTTTATAACATCGACCTGTATAAAAATAGAAATTATTATACCTCCAAATTAACGAATGCCCTGTAATAAACACTGGTTTATTCTATAAAATTTTTAGCATAATTTTTAAGAACATAATATTTAAAATTATAACTCTCAACTAAAAAAATAGAAAATGTTCGGATAATGTCGTGTTTTGAGATTAATGTATTTAATAATACGTTGAATACAAATCATAAAAGGAATATTTTAGTAATTTATAACTGTAAAATTATCAAAATAAATCCATTTATATGCCTCTGACTGCTGTAATAAATTAAAAAAATATTTTTGAGCTTAAGTTTGGTAAACAGAAAAACAGTATTAGCTGAAACATGAAATGAAATGTTTAAATGTTCAAATGAAACATTCGGAAGTTGTGCATCAATACGTCTTCTGTCAGACGATGCTTAATCACTGATAATGATTTTAAAGTGGTTCAAATTATTCTATTAATGAAACAGCAAAACATTTGAGAAGCACATATTTTTAAGAATATAGAAAGCTTTATGCAGTTTATCTAATTTCTCGTTAATCAATCTTTTTATACAAAGTATTAGTGGATATTGTCTCATAAAAATGCTAAAGAAGATTATAAATTCAAAAAAAAAAAAAAAAATTAACAAGTCACGTGAACAGAACTGTGAGTTTTTTAAATATATAGTAAATAAGTTAATTGTTATTAAATATATATTAATGCTCAATTTTCAATAGCAAATTTTGGAGAGTCTTTCCTACTGTTTAGTTCAATATATCAGTTTAAATTTTCCAGTGCTTTTTGATTTATTATAATTTCAAAGAGATTTCATTCATAGTGAAACAGAGATGTAAGATCTAAAGAGCTTAACGGTTTTAATTGGGAAGTAATTAATATTTTTTTGGAGTTTTTTTTATAAACGTTTTTGAAAGTAGTTTTATGTACATTTTCTGATCGTTCTAATTGCATATTAGAATTACCTTAATGTTAATAATTTCTCTTTCAATACATTTCTTTCACAGTATTTGTTTATTTAAAAATTTTTTTCCAGTTTGATGCAATTTATAAAAATTTGTAAGCACACTATGTTTACTAATAAAAAAAAAAAATAAAAAAATAAAAAAATTAAATTAATCGACTTAAATCTTCAGATTTAACATTGCGCCCAAAGAGGCGTTTTTTTAACGTTTTCTGTGCTACCTTTTTTTATTTAATATCATGTTCTTCGCATTTAACTGTAAAATTGAGTTCAGCAGCAATATCGCAAAATAATTTTAAAATGAGCATATCCTTAGAATTTCCCTTACGCAGTCTCGGGCACTGGTGATAAAAATGCCTTTTTTTTTTTTCGTACAGTGTTGCCATTGCTCCCTTTGAAATCGTTAAATTTGTTAATCAAAAATCCGTTAAAGTTGTACGAAACATGAAATCGATAATAAAACAAATTTCAAATTTGGGCTTCCAGATGCCTATATTCGAGTGGAAACATATGTTATTCAAAATTTGATGGCTCTAGGAAACGTCGTTTTATCCCAATGAGAGAAATGTACATTCTTTTATGCAAATTCTTCATTATTTAATTTCTTTAATTTAATACAGGGCTCTAATATGTGTGTGTGGGGGGGGGGGAACAATCTAAAAAGTGAAGCGACATTTATAATGAACCACCGCAAAGTGTCAAAACGAAATTAATAGCCCTTCTGGGCTAACGCACTTTGGGCTAATTATGCAATTTTAAAATAATTTCACCGCCTAAAAATTTTATATTTAAAATAAGCGAAGTGTAAGGAAACATGTTTTATTAAAACAGAAATGCGCAGATGGTTCTTTGACTTAAACTTTCATCGAATATTATAAAGAAGCATAATTCTTAATAAAAATGCATAAATGGTTGTTTGATTTTTATCGAACGTTACAAAAAAGCGTCATTTTTTTTTAATCAAAAATGCATAAATGTTTGTTTAGCTTAAACTTTCATCTAACATTACAAAGAAACATAATTCTTTATTTCACAGCTCGAGAAAAAAGCTTCATTTTTGGTATGTCAAAAATATGAGCACAATCTTAAACTAGTTGTAATAAATGGAGTAAACAAAGAAGGAATTTTATCCTTAGATAATTCACTAAATACAACAAATACATCACCTTATAGCTGCAAGCGGTATTTTAAAATCGATCGTTTCAATTAAAAAGATCTAGCAGTTATCTAAACAGCGTTGGATATGTGAGGTGCTTTAACTCTCTCGTGAAATTTTAACGCTTTCAAGAAAGAGGTTAGTATCAAGAAAGAGGTAATTATATGTATTTTTGTCAGAAAAGTAGCTGCAGCATAGAAGAAGGTTTAAAATAAACGTTTCTACTAGTTCGCTAGCATAAGAGTTACACATCCTATGTAATAACACAGATCAAATTTCGCAGATTGTGTGAATAACAGAACAAAACTTGAATAAAAATTATATTTCAATACAAAGTTCAAATATAAAATTTCTATAAAAGGTTGGGCTCAGTCTTCAAACACTTGCGAGCAATTACGGTTAGCAAGGTTAAAGTTGATTCAAATAATTCATTAGATTCAAATAATAATAATTCACGTGCTGGGAGAAATACCAGGGAGATGTTCATTATAGCTGTCACAAGCTCTTTTATGGACTGATTCTGTGCTTAAATACGTTAACTATTTGCATTCAGGTAGGAGCTGATCAAAGCAGAAGTGAAAGTAAAGACAGAATGGTAAGATTATTATGGCTATCAAATATAAAATGCCTAAAGTATATTAAATTTCTAAATTCAGTGAAATCATCAAAGTCGAAGATTGCTATTTATATTTCTGGCCCTGGCAACAGTAACTGCTGCTAGGCGACTCCAGACCATTCCAACCGAAAGTTTGATATTTTTAACCATAACTTCTTCAGAACGTTTTTGCCATTTTAGCGTGATTTGTGTTGTTTACAGTAAACTGAAAAATTCACCTCGGGAAAAAATGGATTTGACTCTTGAACATTTTCGTACGATTATTTTTCATAACTTTCGATGTGGATTATCAAGACAAGAGTGCTTCGATGAACTTTATACAGAAATTAAGCACCATCCTACAGCACTGTAAAAAACTGGTATAACGAATTCAATCGTGAAAGACATTCGCTTCAGGACGAACTTCGTGAAAGTCGTCCTAAATCGGTTGTTGTGCCAGAAAATATTGATGTTGTGCGTTAACTGATTAAACAAGATCATCATGTGACATGCCGTGAGATTGAAGCATCTTTGCGCATTAGTATGACGAACATGAATAAAATATTACATGAGCATTTGGCCGTAAAATCATCGATAAGATATTACATGAGCATTTTGCCGTAAAAAAGATTTGTTCACGTTGGACATAATCTGACAAACGCTCAAAAGAAGACTCGTGTCGATTGGTGCAAGAAAATGTTGGAAAAATACCTTCAAGTTGTATCAAGGGCTCTGTATAACATCTATACGGGTGAGGAATTATGGATATACACATGTGAGCCCGAAACAAAACAGAAGTGGACTGCATGGGTCTTCCTGCACGACCCAAATCCAACAAAAGTTATTCGCGAAAGAAGCACATAGAAGAAAATGGTTGCCTGATTTTTCGGCATTACCGGTCACGAGGCGACAGTGGCGTTAGAGCAACGCTCGACGGTCAATTCCGAATGGTAGAGGACCATTGTTTTTGCCAGAAGTCATCGTAGAAATTAGAAAAAAGCAGAAGTAGAGGCGAATCATTCTTCATCATGACAATGCGAGCTCTGACACATCGACCCAGACGAAGGAATTTTTGACGGGCAAACATCGAATTAATGGTTCATCCGCTGTAGAGCCCTGATTTGGTACCCAATGACTTTTTTATTACCTCACATCAAAAATAAATTACGTGGTCAGCGACTTGCGACACCCGTAAAAGCGGCTGATGCATTCAAAACGCATGTTTTGGAGTTACCTCAATCGGAGTGGAAAAAGTGCTTCGAAAATTGGTTCAAACGCATGAAAAAGTGTATTGATCTTCATGGAGAATATTTGAAAAAAAAAAAAAAAAAAAAAAAAAAAAAAAAAAACAATAAAACCAGTTTTGACCATAAATGTTTGGATTTCATAATTGGACCAGGAACATAAATAGCAACTCTCATATTAATCATTATCCTAAAACTGTATGGATAAATCATATGGTGAATCTATATAGATATTCTTCGTTGATGAGCTTACCTGAATGGCAACTATCGAAACGAAAGCTGGTGTAATAGATCTTTCAACTAGCAAATCATTTTTATCTGGCCTTAGGAATTCGAAAACATCGACAACCATAAGGTTTCAGTACAGCAGCAGCCGATTTCTTCATCGATTCAGCAAAGGCACTGATTCCCATTAGCTGGAGACCCATGCCTGGCCATTGGCATCCCATACCAGTCAACACAAACCATACTTGTCTCTTTTCGCTCAATGCATTCTGTAAATAAAAGAAAAAACTTTATATTGCATCTTTATAATATAACAAAGCTATATCGATTACACGCATGCGTATTACGTTATGTTAAGCCATGTGGTACTAGCCAACTTAGTATAAGTATCTTCTGCAGAGATTCATCATATGTTTTGTGTTTATGTTGTGTTAGTGTAGGTAAAGGTTAGCCGAAGAAGATAGCTATAGTATTTATTTTCTTAAATACAGTAGAACACCAGTTATCCGAATCAATAGGAACCGGACCCCATTGGGATAATAAAAAATGACGATAATTGTATTTTATAAAATACACTTTAATTAATTACTATATGTTGAAAATAGGAGGAAAACGACTATTTTTAAAGGAAAAGAGGTTTTAGTTAATTAAAATGAAAAGGCAACACTTTTACGTACATGTTAGATAATGTGCTGTACAGTACTTATAAGTGCTGAAAGTCATTGCTTGCTGAACATCTCGGTCAAAGTAAGCTGTTTGACGGACACCGTTCCTGTTCATTTCGCGCAGCTGTTAAATAATGATATCATCGAGAATGGAAAGAAGCAATTTCCCGCTCTTTTTTATTTTATATGTAATTAGCAATCAATATATTTGCTTTGCTCAACTTGTAAGCAAACTAGTGAGCTTTTATAATGAAGTAAGTAATTTATTTTTTACAGTTTTATAAGTTTTTGTATAAGTTGTTAATTTACTTTAATTTTAAGAATTATTCTTTACTATCCTTTAATTTTGAGTGTCAGTGTAAGTAAAGACGTGCAGTTCTGTTTTCCAAGTTTTGGATATCTGCTTCTTTTCGTCTCAAATTAAGATCCCTTTTTCAGTTTGAAAAAAGCATTTTAAAACTTTTAATATATAATTTCTAAAATTTTACAAACACTTTGCATTACTAATAAAAAATTAATAAATACTAGCAATAAAAAACTTACTTTTACTTGTATAATTGGTTCCTTTTCATTTTCGTAAAGTGCATATCCACGGAAAGGTTTCACTAAAGTTGGTGTGAAAGACAGTTTATTCAGTAAAGCAAAAAATTCAGCATTGAGATTTGGATTTTCTTTTATGTAATTGAACATGAAAAGCACTCCTTCCTCTGTGGTTGCTGGATAGAGCACTAGGCTGGGCAAAACTCGCTTTTCTGGTCTTCTAGTGGATTCGATGGGGTTCTGCTTCAGTATAGTTTGTACTATAGATCCACCGAAGCCAAAGCAGTTGACGGGAATATATGGTTTCGTAAGGGGAACTGGTTCAGTCACAACTACAATTCGACCGTCAACTAAAGCTGGACAGTGCGGGTTGGGAGTATTATATTCATAATTTGGAGGAATCAAACCAGTTTCAAAACTTATGATACCTTTCAAGATGCCACAAATACCTAAGAAAATAATAATTTCATTTAAAAACTATTTTAATATATCTAGCTTATTCTTAAAAAACGTTCACTGAAACTAACTAGGTTTTATATATATGAATGAATTTAAAACTTCAGTTGTACACCTCACTTAAGCGAAAAGTTTGACACGCTAAATTAAAGCATAGATTATATCATTAACTGTTCTCATTAAAAGTTTTACATTTCACATTTAATTTGATACTGATGATTATAATCTGACATTATATATATTTATTTATTTTTGAATAAGTATGAATCTGATTTAAAAAAATCTAATATGGACACACAAAATGACTTCCTTGTACGGCCTGTTAAATTATACCTAGTTTTTTGCTGCATTTAATTTATAATGATATAGCAACTTAATTGCTCTAATTGCATTAATGATATATTTCTCATTCAATTAATTCATTTCTCACTTCGCTGAAGGCAACAGTAGATAAAAGCTCAAAACATTATTAAAAATCGTAAAATACAGAAAAACGTAAAACACCAAATACAGTTAAAAAAAGTTAAAAAAATTTACAATCCAAAATAGTTTCTACAAAAACAAGCAATTCGGCAAGCAGACAAGAAGGTAGATTTTTTGGTGAGCAAAACTGAAAATTTACTTTTAGTTCCACTCGGCAGAAAGACACAGAAGGTGCAGAAACTGACTTAATTCACTATTCTACTAAAGGATCAAACGTAATCAAATGGCGGCAAGTTAGACTTAGTGGCACTTAAAGAACTTTTAAATTGTTGACAATGCCACAAGTATTGCATGCAGGTGAACCAAAGGCATAAAAACCTTAACCGGAACATACAACATAATTCAATCACTTTTAAAGAAAAAATGCACAATTTACCAACATATAAGAATAAGAAAACTGAGCCCACCGAGCTGTGTAACAGAGTAACAGAGTAGGTGTATATATAAATATTATATATATCCATAAAGAAACATACTAAGAGGCTAAAAATTCAAAAGAAATATTTTATACCCCTCCTGCGCTATAGCTGCAGGACTTACGTAAGATAAAGCAACTAAAGATAAAAGTAAATTGGAGTCAAAGCAAGGTAATTTCTCAGCAATATTAATAATTGCAACCATGTATAAGAGTTTTAACACAATATCAAAACAAAGCAAAATGAAAAAAACACATTAGTAGTACAAACTCGTAACTTAAAAATACAAAAGGGAAAAAATATAACGTTTTGAGGTTACTCGTTTTTGAGTTATAAGAGATGCATACGTACGTACGTACAGACGTTACGAAAAAAAAATCTTCTGAATCCATTTTGAACACATTTTAGAATCCGTGTAGTGAAAAAGAGTCCTTTATTCTGTCCTTACGTACAGATGTCAAGCAAAAACATCGTTAAAATGGATATTTTCATTGAAGCATTATTCCCGAAATTTTTCACAATAACAACACTTACTTACTTCGTACAAAGAATTAAAAACAGTATTCTGACAAGCTGTCATATTTGCAAAATTTCAAATACTTCAACAACCACCGGATGGAAGTACGTATTTAAGTCAGTTCTTTAAGAATTTTTTCATGTAAAACGTTTTCTTTTCTATGGCGTTCTGTATTAGTATAGAAGGAGGGAAGTAGCAATTAAATAAAAAAAATTAATAAAAAGCTTTTTGGTAAGCATAAACTACGTATAATAATTTGATTTTGTACTAGCAGCACATAGTAAATAATCAATTAATTGGAAAATAGCGGCACTGTCATTCTCTCTCCTCCTTCTCAGCTCTGTTAATAATTAAAAATGAATTCAACAACTAATCCTGAAAAGGGTTAAATAGATTTCATAGAAAACTAAACTGAAATGATAGTAAAATCTACATCGAACATGAAATTTAGTATTATAGATAAATAAATTTGTACCTTAAAAATGATAGATAGATTTTTAACACTGCCATTTTTGTTCTTCGAAAAACACAAATGCTACGTGAAAGAATATTGATTTAGCGCTAAAACTGCTTAAGTGGCAACAGTGGTGGAATCCAATTTCATTTGTTTTTAATTACCAAATTTCTCCCACTTCAGATTAAATAGCATTCTGGTCTTAATTTTAAAATTAACTTGTGGAATGTTATCCAATACGAAATTTGCGCATTTTGTTAAGCATTGTAACTGAATTATCAAATGGGAAATATAAACATAATGGAAGTAAATAAGGATTACTGCCTGAAGTTAAAGCACACAGGTTTTTCTAAAATGAAGGAAAGTTAATCTATTGAATAAAATTCGTTTACAGCATAAGAACTAAATAAAAATTTATACTGTATTTATGTTCTAAAGTTCGCTGTCAAATATAAAAATTTTTTCGCTGTTTGTAGTTCATCTTCGGCTTACTAGTAGCGGTGTGATTAAGAGAACTAACAGTATTTCTTGTATTGATACATTTCTATGCAAAATGATTGTTAGCGGTCTTCCATATTGTTTTCTCAAATCATTCTCTTGTGAAATATACTTTTCTGCGAAGCAAGCACACCCACATATATTTCTTCATTACATATTAATTTATCCGAATGACATTATATTATTAATACAGCATGCATATAACTGTGTTGCACTTTTGAAGTAGCTAAAGTATTTAGTTAGTATTCTCTTCAAATATTGGGCAAAATACGGTTATTTTGTTATTAAGATGCTAAAGCGGAATTACTACTTAAAACTAAGTCAAACTCTGGTAGGACATGCACTTGAACTTGAGATTATAAAAGTCATACTTTATTAATTAACTGAACAAAAAACGCCTCTGATGACGAATTGTGTCTCGAGTTACGAACGCTCCTGTCGAAAACAAGTGGTTTTTCAATGTGTTGAAGTAATCTATGCCACATAATTAACATTTATGGACTTCTGAAAACATAGTTTGCTTAAGACGCATTAGCAAAGTCTGCAGCAAGTGCCTTACAGGAGTATGAATTCCTGGATAAAATTATGTCCAGAATGAGTTGCAGGCAGAGACTTTGAAGGCTTTGACACATAGGACTTGTCTTTTTATTTATGCTATCGTGTCTCTAGGCAAAACCATGGGTTAGGATGTTAATGAAAATGTGGAAAAGTTACTACCACTTAGATAGATGAACTCAACAACAACAAAAAAAGAAAAAAAAAAAAAACGCAGTAACTTTTGAAACAGCAACAAAGAGCGATTATGGAAGAAATGGGCTCAGAAGATGAGAATTCTAGTTCTCTGATCAGTGAAATATGGGCGGAATGGGGTAAGGTTCAAAGTTTTTACGTAACGATATCACCAAAATAAAGCAGTAGCAAGTTACAACATAGCAGTTCCAATGACATTGCTGTGTCTCACTCATAGAAACATTTGAAAACGTAAATAAAATCAAGCCATACTGCACAATCTCTGAAACAAACACAGGCCCAGTTAGTCTCAAGCAGAGTCTAGTAGCGCTTACAGACAAAAAAATATATATAGAAGAAAATGTCCCCTAAAAAGAGTTTCAAGGTACTTTTATGGAAGATAATTTTGCATCCAAACAAAATATCTTCCTAATCCTTTTCTACTTATACTTGTCCACTCCGCTTAGTAGAAGAACAGTAAAATTAAGTCATCATCTAATTTTATCTGTTTAATAGTGTTCGTATTCTTCCATGGTAAATTTAAAGATTTCCTTTGGTTTTGCCTTATGAACGTATGTACAGCGTTGCGTGTATACGGGTTTATGAGAGACTGAATGCACACAGGTCCCATGATAGGTTGGTAAAATCTATTTTATTACCATTTCATCTCTTTGAGACACGTGAACACAGACATGGAATTAAAAATAGACAAAGCTATTCTTCAAAAAAGCACTAGTACCAAATATCTAGGTGTAACACTGGACAACAAATTAAACTTTTACTAATCATACTGTTATAGAAAAAGTAGAGAAGCGATCCCTAATTTAAAAAAGATTAGCCAGTACCAAAACGAGAAGTTCACAGACTACCCTAAATTAAACTTACAACCGTTATATTAAACCCATTTTCAAATAGGGAAGTGAGATGTTAATCTCTACCATGCAAGGGAAGATTGGTTCTTTGGAGAGACCCAAAGCAAAGCTCTTTGGATCATCACAGGAGCGGTGAAAACTTCCTCGATTAAAGCTATGCAAAGCTATACTTCCAACCCACCAATTGCTACTGAAGTTGGTACAAGCAGTTGGTACATTCGTTTAAAATGAAGGCATCGCATAGAGCGCAATGGATGCCAAAACCATGAACGAAGTACCATGAAGACCCGAATGTTTCAACTAGAAGCTTGTGAGGAATTATTACTATAAATAGATGAAAACAAATGAATGAATTGTAAAAAGGTCATGGTTAATTTCTTAGAATATATTAATATCAAATACCAGGTATATTAATTTAGAAGTCAAACAACAAAAATCAGCGTTATAGCATTTGCAAATTTTCACGGGACTAGTTTCGATGGTTTTTAGAGCCCTCATCCTCAGGCTGCCAAAGTGAAAATGAATAAGATAAGATATAGTGATAAGATAAGATAAGAATAGCTGGATAGGAGTTAAGCAAATAGCGCCATCTATTGATGATACAAGAAGACTAAAACATAATTTCCTAAAGGCTGAAATTAAGGATGGATTGGAATTAGGGTCGTTAACTAGAACGGAAAGATTTTTTCGAATGTGAAACGCCTCTAGGAAATCCAATTAATCAATGGAAGCTGTTTTTTGAATAAGTTTGGCTGCAAAAAGTAGAAAATGATTTCCAACCAACAATGCTGACAACAGAGGACTTCTGTGTTTCCTTTTTCCTAACGTATTCCTTTATGTTACTTAACGGGAAATTTTAAGGCTCTCTTAGTTTGATCAATGTAAACCAAACCAAACTGGCAAGGCATACGACCCAGAAGTTAAATTTCTGTAAAATACGTGCAGTTTTATAGCTAATTGATGGAAAGAAAGGAATGACAACATAATTCTTATAATCTCCTAAAACAAGAGTGTGCCTTTTTGGTGAGTTTGAGATGAGCACTTTTTTGGATTCTCATCTCAAACACACCAAACATGCTTGGTAGCATGATGAGAACATGCTTGCATAATAATGTTGGGTTAAAAGCCCCTGTCAATAGCAACTGCTTTTAAATAATCTAATTCTTGATCAAGAGCCAATTCGGAGGAGCAAACTTCGAGTGCATGGAAAACAAAGAAATAAATGAAGTTAACTTGTTTAGTCGGATGACATGACTTGAAGTGTCGTGGAAGGCAAACCGATGAAAGTGTATGGTAAACCGTAATACTGAAATTGGATGTATTACGGGTGACCAAAATGCCGAGGAACGGAAGAGAATTGCATTTCTCGTTCAAAAGTGAACTGAATAGCAGGATCAATGGAATTCATTATTAAAAGAACTTTACTTAAATCATCTTTATTTCCGTCAAACAGGGTAAAAGTATCGTCTACGTAGCGGAACCATACCGGGAAGTTTAAAGTTTCAAATAATTTTTAATCATAATAATAAGAGAACCTTAAAATTTTGCGATAAGGAATATGAGGCATATGTTAGGAAAAAAGGAAACACAGAAATCCTCTTTTTCCCGGCATTATTGGTCCAAAAATCACAATTCCATTTTTCTGCAGGCAAAATTATTCAAAAAAAAAAAAAAAAAAAAAAAAAAGTATCTTCCATTGGTGAAGTAGATTTTCTAGAAGCGTTTCACATTCAAAAAATCTTTCCGTTATATTTAACGACCCTCATTCCAATTCATCTTTAACTTCAGCCTTTAAGAAAATTATGTTTTAGTTTTCTTGTTACACCAATAGATGGCGCTAGTAGCTTAACTCCTGTCCAGCCATTCTTATCTTATCTTTTCACTATATCTTATCTCGTTCATTTGCACTTTGGCAACTGAGGAGAATGATTCGGTAAAACCATCGAAAGTACTCATGTGAAAATTTGCAAATATAACGATTGTTTGACTTCTAAATTAATATTTATTTGAGCCACAAGACAGCAAACCACTTCCTCCAGAGTCACTTAGAAAGCATATTTTTGAGAAATTAATGGATACTGACAAGACAGCAAAATCAACAGGCAAATCCTGGGCTAACGTTCAAGACACTTTTGTAAAACGTTTTGTAAAAAAGCCACGTAAAGAGGCTGTGGCAAATTGCAGACTGCAAACAGATTACGATTGCATGGCACATCATCATAATAAAATTGCCATCCTTCCATCTAGTATATGCCAAATTTGTAATTCGGGCATCATGAATGCAGAGCATCTTATATGCTCACAACTGAAACGTGGTAAGATAAAAAAAACTATACTGGAATACCAGAACTTTCATGAACTCCTTGTGAAGACTACATATCTTATGATCCTTTCCTTGTTATTTTAACTTTTTACTTTTGTCCCCATGTTCATTTGTTATGGTTCTTACTTTCAATGTTTGTTCTTTTTTATTATATGTTCTTGTGTGATTCTTGAGCTGTTTTAGTAGTTTGGATTGATCCTTCCGAAAAAGACGTATGTAACAACAACAACAACAACAAATTTATTTTAGCTGAAGAAACACTTCAGAGTTCTGGAACTTTCCACAGAAATAGTCCTACAGCTCTTCAAACAGTATCACAGAGTACAACAAATAGTTACTTTTCAAACCATTGAGAACGTTAAACAGAAAGCAGTGCAAAGCGCATCTAAAGAGCGAAGCTAACCCGGAGATATCTCCGTACTCCGAACACTGAACTAGGGACTAAAAACAATTGAGAGCAGATGCTCTCCTCGGTCTTGTGTAGCTTTCACCCGGCTGCTGAAAAATACTTCTTGAAATTACTGGAAGGCATATGAGAGCCTTGTACAGTTAGAGCTACATAGAGGATCAATTAAAGTTATTCTGTTACAATACTCATTATAGTTATACAGGGACCGGACCGAAATATCGCCAAATTTAGAGACTATTGTCTATTTCTTGCCAAATTCGGCGAAGAAAATTAGTCGCCTAAGCCGTTGCGAGCTTGGCGATATCTCGCCAAATCAGAGAGATAATCATTTACTCAGTGTTAAATAGACTTGCCCCTGTATTTCTTAACTTCTCCTGCAGTGCATCGTGTCTGTAGATTTTCATGATGCATTATACAGAAAAATACAACAGTTTCACATATAATCGCACTAAAATCACTTATCTATGTGCAAAATTCGTAATAATATTATTAAAAAGCTTAAAAAAGCAACCATTTAGTAGTCCAGGAACGAATTAAATAATTGTTTTACTAATTCCTATGGGGAAAAGTATTTCGATTTACGAATATTTTAGAACGGCCTTTAGGAACGAATTAAATTGGTAAAATGTTAGCTGTACTAAATATCAGCGTACCTTTTATGTATTTGAAACACTTATGCAATAATGAAAAGGGTAAGCTGATGTTAAAAAGACATATTTAATCTATTCAGTTAATATTATTACGGAAAGGGTAAGCTAGTGTCTAAAAGATATACTTAATCTATTCAGTTAATATTATTGCAGAATGAATAAGCTAATAAATTAATACACATAAATTACGAAACACAAATGCGAGCGAGTGAAGTATGAAAAAATATTCTAAAATTCGATCACCTGAAGAAGCCTCTGTATGACCAACGTTCCCCTTTATAGTTCCAATGAGAAGAGGCTTTTGTCTTCCTTCGCAATAAACTGATGAAATCGCATTCAATTCGATGGGATCACCGACTACTGTTCCAGTTCCGTGAGCTTCTACGAAATCTACATCCTGAGGAGTAATTCCAGCACCTTTCAAACAATCTTGAAAAAGTTGTACCTCCTCTTTATAGGAAGGCACGGAAATACCTGGAATACAAAATGCACGTATATACTGATGCCAGAACGTAAAAGGTCACTCAGGCAATTCAGTATGATTTGTAATGTATGAAAAAAATTTTTATAGTTTTAGAAGAACTTCAGAAATAAAATATGTTATTTGCAGGCTATAAAATTTCACATAAAAAATTTGAATAAAATATTATTATTATTATTATTAAAAGTTCAAACAATGTCTCCAATGTCCTCTAAGACCAGTATTATTTAAAAAACTAACATATAGGTATTGCATCATCCTTTCATAAACTTGATTAAATTGAGAACTAAATCCTACTAGTTAAAAATGCAACATTGCTCTCACTTTCCTAAGGGGTCTACTTTGAACGCCTTGAGAGTTAGGGGAGGATCGAAATGTGCTGCATCTACGAGGTTATAAGACATTTCTGGTATATTTCATGAAATTAAGCGCAGAGTTATGTGTTTGCTTATATTATCGAGCTAATTCGCCATATTCAAGTTAACTCATACACTAGAGAAATAGAAGTCTGGAATTAACATTGATCAGGAAACACTCTGGAGCTGCAGATCTCTAAACAGCCTTACTTGGTGATGCAAGACTTTACTATACATCGATTTGCTGTCATAAAATTACATACTGTTTCCTCCATGTATAATTCCTTTTCAGACAAGCAAACAATCGTTATGGGAATTAAATCTTCCATGTGCACTCGCATGTGCATTTAAACTGAATTTTGACTCATCAGTGAAGAGAAAACGAACACTATCATTTGGATCCGACTGAAAGTGCAGGAGACATCATCTTAAAACTCTTCTCTCTGGGAAGAAGAAAATGGAGATCAGTAGCATATTGATTGCCCTATTCGTTTCGCTAATAAGATGTCAACTTTGGTTTGTCTTCCATTTTAAGAGTTTGATCCACCAGTAGTGAGAAATACCAGATTTTGTATCCGGTGATATTTCTGTGAGCGCTAATATTCATTTCTACCTCGTTGATTTATGCTGTAGGGTACTAACTGTGTGATAGGAGCTTGAAAGCACTTTATACACTATTCGACACCCGGGGGTCGACGAAGAGTACTCTGCGAAGTATTGGCTAGGATTTGTACCTAGGCAGTCTCGGCCACGGGGGTATAATATTTATGAACTTTGGGGTTGCCGATGGTCCATGGGGTGGGTCCTATACTCACTCTTCATGGGCCGGGAGGTGGTAAGTCCTCATCCACCAGTGTATTGGTAGCCAAATAGCAAACTGGACTATTGAGAGTCTCGTCACTGCTGTCCTTGGTATTCCATGTAAAGCCTAAGGAGAGGGGCATCCGTGTAGTGCTGGCAGGTAGCCATAATGAATGGCCAGTCATCGCTCCAAGTTGTCATGCCCGCCGCACTGTGATCTCGGTCTAGCCCGGACGGTGCTTCTGACTGATGGCCCGTGTGTAACGGTGGGAAAGAGGGAGCCTAGAAATTGTTGGTGTCAAGGGGTTGTGTAATCCCTGGGCCCAGCAGGATTGTTTGTGTGACTATCCTAAACTAAAGTAATCTTTTGTGTGACTCCAACTGGTATTTTGTGCCAGCCCCTGAATGTGATTTAGTTGACGGACGGCGGTATAAATGCAGTTGCAGCTCATACACTATTAGACGGAAAGGCAACGTGTCGCACTGTCTTTACAAATCTTCTATAAGTTTTAAATTACATTTTGATTTAAGCTTGAATTGAATTGAATAGAAAGCATAACTCGCGCGCACATTCAAAATTCTTCCACTAGCGGGTAGTAAAATAATATAAATTTGAATTTACACTTTAAAAGTATTGTAACCGGAGATAACACAAATCTGTCCAAACTAAATTCGCTTAACTTTAATGGCACGATTTGGCGTCAGCTAACAAATGGTTAATGCTGGAATGGCATTAACTGGCAGGCAAGCGTCGTTGCCAAAAGACGAGTTTTTGAGTTTTATAAAAAAACTCAAAAGCCCTCGACTTAAATACTTTACAATCTCATTTGCAACCTGATGAGAGGTTAATGGAAAAGTGAAGTTATAATAAAGCTTAAAATGATAAAAATAGTTTCATTAGCATAAAATACTTTATAATGCTTCGTTTGCTCTGCCAGTGACATTTTTTTGTTTCCTTTATTTTTGAAATGTCCTACTATATGAAATTGAACAATAAACCTAGATCATTTAAATTATTTGCATTTAGCATTAAATGAGTTTTAACTCTCTAAAAATGTTATTTTCAGTTCGATAAAAATTATATAAATTCTTAAATTACGCATTTAGTTTATGTTATTTCAGAACCAAACGTATATCTATGTGCTAAAGAATAATATATATAAGTACATATTATAATTTATTTACCTTCAGCAACAGCTCCTGTTGTTCTAGTTGATACATATGACACTGTGGCGTACACCCTTCGAGCAACTGATGCTTTCTGCAAGAACAATGCACAGATGCTTTCGCAACGGACAATGCCTTCAGCTAAAAGGAATAACATGCTTCTTGAAACTGGGGTGTAATGCATCCAAATGGATGAAATATTTATAAGTCTATTTATAGTAGCTAAGTAGTTATCACGTATCAGGTAATTTAATAATTATTCATTACCGGCTAACTCTAAGCTTTCATAATGACCATGGAGGTAGGAAGTAAGATGGAGTTGCCCTAAACAAGTTTCTTCTATACCCTGCTCTGAAGCACCGGCGATCCCTACGTGGTGACCAAAACATTGGGTCATTTACCATTGAGTTCAATGGGATTTGATGCGTTCGGATGTAAATATTTTGTAATTACGTCGTAAATATACATATAAATGTATATATTTTCTTTTTCTACAACACTTCAGAGTCCTAAGTATATGAAAACAACATATTTTTAAACGGCATTTCATTCTGAACGGAATTAAATGCTATACTTTTCACAGGACAGTTTTCTCAGAATGGTTTAATTTGAATGACATATTTTCACAAGTTTTCGTTAATTACATTAGAAAAAAAAATTAAGGTGATTCGATTTTATTCGGTTAAGGTACAAAAATTAAGATCAAAGTTTATTGTATTATTAATATTTAAAATTATGCATTATTTTTTCTATTTATAGAGCTTCTTCCTAAAATACTTTCTTAAATATGACATGATTTTTTGGCTTCTGAGGCATCTTTTAAATCAAAAAATGTAAGTCAATTTATAATTAATGCTCTATTCGGTTCATTTAAATTAGAGAATTATTAGGAATTAGCGAAATACTTTAAATAGTACTTGACTTTCTCTGAACATTTCTGAAAGGAATAAAAAAGTTTTTTTTTTAGTCCAAAGGGATTTGAATCCCGAAGGACTATTAGTTTCGTTTTGGCATTTTGCGTCGGACTCATAAATGTCGGTTCACTTTTCAAACTGTTGCCACAAAATGTTAGAGTCCTGCATTATATTTGAAGAAATTAAATAATGATGAAAATCTGCATAAATGTATGTATATTTCTCGTATTGTGTGATAAAAACAACGGTACATAGAGTCATCGAATTTTGAATAACGTAATCCTCCAACGAATATGAGCATGTGGAAGACCAAATTTGAAATTTGAAATTTGTTTTATGATCGATTTCCTATTTTTTAAAACTTTGACGAATTTTTGATTAACAAACTCAAGGATTTCAAAGCGAGCAATGGCAACGTTGTGCAGAAAAAAACATTTTTATCTCCAGCGCGTGAGTCTCTGTATCGGAAATTCTAAAGATATGCTCGTTTTTTTTAAAACTATTTTGCGATATTGCTGTTGCACTGGATCTTATGGTTTAAGTGCGAGGAACATGATATTTAATAAAGAAAGGTAACACACAAATGTTTAAAAAACGCCCCTTTGGACGTAATTTAAAATCTGAAACATTTCAGATTTTTTTTTTTTTAAGTATATTTAACCTTGTAATTGAGTTATTATAAAATGTAAGGTGAATAATTTTTTAATTATACTTATCAGATTTTTTACTTCATTTCAACAATACATATTCCAAACTCTTTATTACTTCTTAAGTGCGCATCTCATAGCATTTGCTTTACAATACCTTTTAACAGATTGCTTTCCAATCGAACAATTCTTGCTTAAATAGTTTTATAAACGTATTTGTCAACAGGATTTCAATTTATGTTTACAATTCAATATTAAGGTTATTATATATTTAGATAACATTTATAATCATAAATTAGATACATTTAATTATTAGATTTCTTCACAGTACTTTCACAGTTGTTTATAAGTGAATAAATTCTTCATTTCAAATACATTTATAAATAATTTAATGAATATTTATGTATTTTGCAATAATATGCAACAATAATATATGGATGTGAAAAAAATTTGTTTTATTTAAAACATTTTGGCGTTTGGAAAATAAAATAAAAGTAGCGAATACTCTATCAAGGGTATCGAAAGACGTATACAATTTTAAATGTACCGTAAGGTGTTTTTCATTCTTTAAGCATAACATTTTTCTTAAAATCTATATTTTTGTAGTTCAACAGCTTAGAATTTTATAAAACAAATTCATAATCAAAATCGCGCTGTTGTTAGTTATCGAAAAATACCAAGATATGATTTTTGCGTAAATGTCACTAAACTATACAAATTGCTATTATCCATCACACTATGAATGTTTCTTTCATGCGAAAGTGTCCCTTTTTCGATTTGTATGGAACTGTCGTGTGTCGAAATACTATCAGAACCGTGTCAAGCGAGCTTCTGAATGTAAACAAAGAGAACACCCCATCTGGTGACCCAAGCTTCAAAGTAGTGCTTCACTTCTAGTGCCGACTGGCCCCTCCTTCCTTTCCTACCTCCATGATAATAACAGAAAAAAGACACTTGATTAAAATTAAAGTATATTTTAATAAAAAAATATGCTTTAAAAGATTAAACAGTCGTGGTGTGAACTAAAGTGGCTATTCTGCATTAGATATTTAAAAAAATAAAAAAAGTACTGTACTAATTCTCAGATCGTTGAAAATAAAATTCAGTGATAATTTGGACTAAATGATAATAAGGTACCTTGCAGAAAGCTTTTATTTATTTATTTATTTTAAAAAAAGTTTTCTTAAGAAAGAATAAAGTAATAAAAAATTATTTTCCCAGCTGTAACTTATTTCTTCATAATGTTCTAATGCACTTAGCGAGATTAAGTCCTAGGGGCATGCAAGCTGGTCGAATCGAAAAACATCCTCATTACTCAAAACTGGGGTGGAAAGTAAAAGTCCAGTCTTTTTGAGGTTTTGGCAATTAATCTTTCATAAAATGTGGACTCTAAAAGAACAACTTATTATCCATAAAAGGAAATGTTTCACCAGAAGCACTACGGAACAAGGGAACATGACTATATGCAAATTTTTTGCAATAGCATTTGCCTGTAATGATACCTTTAGCTGACTAGTTATTATCTCGCCTTATACCACCATTCCAGAACAACCACAACGATACCTTTCTTTATGTTCTCTTTTAGTGCATCCTGCCCATTTCACGCCAGATGAACTGATGTCTGGAATTTATTAAAGACTGAATCGTCTTTAGTGAATGAACAAGACTTTGGCCCACTACTACGTCATCTGATTTTGATGAATCTGGGCACCGGCATAAGCGTTTTTTACGGCAGTCCTTGAATAGTAAGTACCACATAGAAGAACACAGTCTTTCAGCATATAAGCCTTATCTAATTCAAATGCTTAGCAACCCCTTTATGAGATATGCTTACTTTTGTGCCTTTAAGACGTTTAGATCTCGCTGCTGAATATTTCTTTCTCTTTTCCTTTTACACAGTTATAGAAAAGGAGAGATCTTCTCGACTGCGTCTGAAATACATTTCTATATCTGAAACGATAGCTAGAACCTTTAAGCCATTCCAGACTCCTTTATAAATTATTATGATTACTGCAATTATTATGTTACTATGCGTTATTATGATTATTATGTTACAATTTCCTTTTTCCACTTAATGTAAATAGGTCATCAAAATAACATTTTTGTGTGAAAAAAGTCACATTTGGGGAAACACTTCACGTTCAAAATTATTGACAAACGCAATTCGTCGTCAGTATTAATTTCCTTCTCGTCTGCTTTCGAATCCCCAAATGAATTCTGAACGCAAGAATTGGAATAGCATAAAAACATACTCTAACGACTCCTAAGATCTGCATAATTTTAGCACGTGACTTTTGTTCTTTAAGAATATGAAAAAGAAATCTTGTTAGTCCAAATGGGCTTTGTCCCTGAAGGACTATTGTTTTCGTTTTGCGATTTTGCGTTGAATCATTCTAAACGGCGAATCACTTTTCAAACTGTTGCCACCAAATGTTAGAGTCCTGCATTATATTTGAAGAAATTAAATAATGAAAAATCTGCATAAAAGTATGTATATTTCTCGCATTGTGATAAAACAATGGTACATAGAGCCATCGAATTTTGGATGACATAATCCTCCTACGAATATGGGCATGTGACCAAATTTTAAAATTTAAGACCAAATTTGAAATTTGGAATTCGTTTTATTATCGATTTCATATTTTGTAAAACTTTAACGAATTTTTGAGTAACAAACTCATCGTGTTAAAAGCGAGCAATGGCAACACTCTACGGAAAAAAAACTTTTCATCTCCATATGCTCATTTTAAAATTATTTTGCGACATTGCTATTGAACTGAATTTTTTGGTTTAAGTGCAAGTAACATGATATTTAATAAATAAAGATAACACACAGAACTTTAAAAAAACGCCCCTTTCGACGTAATTTAAAATCTGAAACCTTTCATATTTTTTGTTCTTTTTTTTGTTTTATCATCATTCCTTGACTTGGATGAACTCGGAAACAGATTAACAACTGCAGTAAATTCTGCGCAAGAAGACATTCTTAGACGCGGTCTCAGAAGTACCAAAATTAAAATAGTAGAATTAAAAGCAATATCTTACATTGTACGCTTTAAGTTTTGCGACCGAAGAAAAACTAAGAAAAGCGCACCCTATGCTGTTGTTGTGGCTTATCTCATTTATCTCATAGTAACACCGGAACAAGCCCATAAATTTTATCGTAACAAGGAGTCCAGGATTGTGTCTGGCTTGGATACCATATAGGTTACAACACGACATTGGCCAATTCCTTCCTAGTTCTGAAAAAGGATATTTCCTAGGAAAAAGGTCGTCTGAAGGACTCTCACTCCTGTTCCTCTACCACCAAGCCACTTGAGATTGTGTATTTTATTGAGACTGCTCACTGTGTATTTTAAGTAACCATTTACCGCAAAAACACTACATTTACAGAAATCTAAATCTTTTTTGGCCTCGAAACCTGCCACAACAATCGGGCGGCCAACTAACGCTAATCACTCTACCGGTTACTGCAGATGAGTAATGAGACTATGCCCTCAATGAGACGACACCCTATCTAAATCTAGTACAGAAAATCCCTTAACACCAAATCAATTAAGAAGAAAGGGCAATTTCTCCATTAAGATTTCTAGTAGATATGATTATAGGGTTACCTTTTGCATCAAAAGGTATACATTTAGCATTTTCAGAGCACATTCCACTCTTCATATACCCAATGGACATAATAGGCGATAAACATAACTGGCATCCATTCACGATAGCAGCATCAATACGACCATTCCGAATGTCATGGAATGCATTCCAGAGGGCAAGTGCAGAGGAAGCACAAGCGGCATCTATCGAAAAACTTGGCCCTGTCGAATGAGAAAAATAGTTTTTTAGCTATTGATGAAGAAATTAATTTTAAAACATTTATATAATACAAATATAAAAATCATTTTAAAAAGAACATACAAATTAAAATCATTTGAAAAAGAACACCAGGTTAGTATTCATTATGGTATTTAATCTACAGTGAAACAGGACTACATGTGTATAAAATGAGAACTAATATCCTATGTGTAGCTGAAATTCAAGTCAATTTGTTTCATAGTTTTAACGTTTTAAAACCAAACGGAGAAATAAAAATAATACTGCCACAGACATCTAATAAAGTACCTCTTAATTGAGATCCATCTATAAAACAAGCAACGTTTGATAAATGCGGCCAAAATCTAGCCATGTTCAATAATAACGCTTTTTTAAGTCTCATTATATATCCTATGTAGCAGTTTGGCTTCACGGAACTTCATGGGGCTCATTAAATATGTTATGTACTAGTTTGCAATGAACAGAATTTTAATTCTGTTTGTTTGAACTACATAAAAGGAAAGGTAAATAATTTTGGTTGTTAAAGGGAAAAATCTATAAAAAAATCTTGTTTTAGCTGATCACTCCACTTTACAAATCAAGCAAAACTGGCATTTTATTAGATATAAATATATTTTAAACTTTATTAAATAGAGAAATTATAAAATTCTTTTTCTTTGAGTTCATAGGATTAGATCATTTCACTACCACAAATACCTGTGCTCTGAAACCAAGTGTCTATGAACCATTTAAGTGTAAATACTGAGAAACATGCTCTGGTAGATGGACAGCATCTCGCATCCTTGACCTCTAACAGCAGAAGGAAACTATAGGAGATTCTATAAGGTTCCAACCTCTTCTCTTAAGCTATGTGTGTGGAATCTCGAGACTGGTAAGCGAATAATCGCTTTAGCTCAGGAAACAGAAACTTAAACCCAAAAAGAGTTAATTACCCTTTATTTCTCAAAATAAGAATTAAACAGTCGGCTCCTTTTGCAGAGCATACAACAAAGCCTGCACTTGGGCTTGAACTCAAATAATAAGAAATAAAACTTCACTAATGCTTAAATAAAAAGATATAGTCTTAGCTATCAAAATTTAAGTAGTTGGCCCCTAAATATCAACTAAACCGGCGAAGCTATCAAGGGCCTGAAATACGGGCCGAGTATAGTATAATACCTTAGACAGAGTGTAGCCAAATAGTAAACGCGCACTAGTCAGAATCAGTGTATCTAACGAAGTCAGTGGAACTTAAGTACCGCTTTCCTCATTTGCATTAACCACGATTCTAAAAGCGGACACTGGAAGGAATTTGAATCTGAAATTAGAAGAGACAGAAGAGTAGCTTTAACTAACGATAACTGTTGAAAACTTAGAATAAACCTTACATTTCAATTTGAAAAATTTCATTCTGGAGATAAACAGGGAAGATATATAGTAGGGTTTGGTTTTAATCTCACAAATTTTCGGTGACTGTCGAGAAATAGTTTATTGAAACTTTTTTTATTTAAAAAAATGAACAGATATTTCATGCAAGAATATTTGTTGTTGTATCACATGGAACTGATTTCATCAATGAATCGTAAAGCTAACGACACAAAAATAACAGTTGTTGTAAAATGTTATTAAGAATTATAGGTAAAATTAATGTATAATGACCTATTTGTTTCTGCTGATGAATAATAAATTAAATTTAAAATAAGGAAAGTAAATGAAAGATTTTGGACCTCGTCAATCAAAAGTGAGTTTAGTCTGGTAGATGGAAACTGCTATGAAATAGTAAGACACCTTTGAGGTGTCGATTAAGTTCACGCAATCTAGAGAATTCACATCTTCTTTCAGCAACAAAATTCTTCTCGCTGCCCTTCTTTAGGATACTTGGTAATAAACCTGCATTATTAGAAGACGTTTACTTACCGCATCTTTCAAGCAATTAAACTTTGGAAAGATTTCCATTAAAAGTCCAATAATCTGGCATCCTTTGTTTTAACACGTCCAATAATCTGGGTCACCTGTCACTGCTTTATGAATAGCGCTTTTAGCACTTCATTCGGTAAGACGGTTTCATATATTCTTTGCTACTTTCAGTTAGTTCTTTGTTTAAAACTTTCTCTTTATGTATCGTGATTTATTTTAAATGTTTTAAAAATTTTTATAAAGATAATGATAACGGAATAAAACGGAAACAAGTGACTTTAAAATTTACCAAAAATTGGCTGTTAATAATTGATTGTTAAAAAGTGAGAATAGAAATATTGTGAAAAGGAAATACTGGATATTGTGTTATTCAAGAAAGAAAAACTAAAAAACTATATATTTTTAAGCTTAAAAGTATCAATACTTGGTGACGCTCGACCAGCTGAATATTAGTGCGTTGTTTAGATGATTCAGTGCAGACAAATCTGAAGGTAAGCCTATAAAGTCACCTTAGCTAAAAGAAGAAGCTAAGTAATTTTACCAACAAGCGAATTCGCCAAAAGGTTATAAGGTATTTTCTCCCTCCTTCCACCATGCCTTCGTGGTGTAACGGTAGCACACTCGGCGCGTATTCGAGAGGTCGAGGTTCGAGTCTTTAGGAAGAGAAATGCTCATTTTTCATGTCCTCTGCTTCAAAATAACCTAATGGCTGTACAATGTCCCCCGAATAGAGATTAGAACCAGGACCTCTCGAATACGCGCTGAGTGTGCTACCGTTGCACCCCGAAGGCATGTGGAAGAAGGTAGAAAATAGCTTATAAAATATCTGTTTGTTTTCAGATGAAGGTTTCACAAGTTTGAAATAAGGCATGGCTTCGATAAACAAAACATTCCAGGTGAACTAAAATCTACCGATAAAGACGTTCCTGTGAATACCAGCTAATGTTCAATGCTATTGTACCAAGAATATCTCATTCCCTTGTCGAGTACAGAATACGGATGAGACCGGCTTTATGCGGCGTAGTTTACAAATTCTACGTTAACAGGGTACGAAAATAAATAAATGTATAATATTTTTAAATTGAATAAGGACAGGCTGAATATTTTATTTTATGGAAATGCTGAAACTTCTAGTTATTATTGAGAAATATTAAGCCTAGGCATTTTAAAGTCTTGTTGATTTGCTCTTCCATATTCAACTCGATGTAAAAGATGCCCTTTTCACGGCTGCTATTGCTTGGAACTGATCCAAAATAACTTGCAAATAACCCAAAATTACGAAACGCTTGGTAGGAATTGTTGCCAAGCAGCAAAGAAAGCAAAAATATTTATGGTTAAATGTGCAGCCATTCTGAAGTATTAAAAACTGTTCGAAACTCAAACAAATAATTTATTACGCTTCCAGGAATCAAAATTATTGAATAGATTGAAGGTGGTAAAATGAACCACTTGCAATTAGATGACGACGTTACTAGTCGAAATATGTTGAATCCGAAGGTAGCAAAAGAAATGGAAAGTGAGGGAGAAAATTTAATAAGGATTACTTGGCGTGAGATTGGTGAAGCGTTTAATTTACAGGATGTCCATAATTTATTTACCAAATAAAGCTATGTTTAATAATACAGAATAAGAGATAGGGAAAAAAAGACTACCTGAATTTTATTTAGCACTTTAAAGAATTTTACATTAATGCATTGCATCATGAGCACCATTAGTTGCTCGGCGAATATAAAATCTGTTTTCGATTTCCCTCCAGACGTTATTAAAGCATTTTTGGAATCTCAAAAGCTGCTTCTTGATGCTTTGATCTTTTAATTCTTCCATGCTGCGCTCTCTATAGCATAAATTCAGTTTTTCAAGTATCCCCTGAAAAAGAAGTCGAGAGATGTGACATGCAGAAAACGGGATGGCTAGGAAATGAGTCCATCCGTATCAATCCAACGATCTGGAAGTGCTTCATCAGGGAACATGTACATGTGTAACCCAATGACAAGAGGCCCTATCCATTTGGAATAACTTAGTTAGTGCCTATCAAACGTTAACTTAAGGACACAATTTCCGTTACAAAATGCGTATTTTCTGACCTCAAGTTCTGCATTTACGTCGATTAACCTTTCCTCAAACATAAAATGTTGCTTCATCACCGAATACTGTTTTCCAAACGAATTGATCATCATTATTGATATGGTCAAGAATGCCTATAGAAAATTCCTCACGAACGACTCGATCATTAGGTTTAATTTGTTGATGAATTTGCAATTTATATGCAGGCAGTTTCAACCGTTTATGAATAACTTCATGAACAGTTGACCGGAGTTTCCTTTATGCAAAATACTGCATCGGGCTCTGTAAAACAATTGATCCAAAGTTTAATTGGTTTTTCCGGTTCGTGGAAGTTTATTAAATTTATGTCGTAATTACTTCTTTTCGATGATTTCGTTTCTCTTAAACACAGAATGCACATTACTTTTCCAATGTATATACCATTTTGTCTGTAAACGAATATGCTCCCTGTTGCCATTCCCATAATTTAGAAGAAACAAAACTCCTTGATCTATAGATTATATCGATATAAGTTATTTCTGGTACTTAGTAAATTTAATTTTGTTATTCGGTGATTAAATTATGGACACCTTGTATATTTTCGAAATTCGCCGAAAAAAATTTAAAGTAGAATTGTGATGAAATAATGAATATTCATACTGCATGGAATGGCATTTTAAAAAGAAATCGAGATCTGTAAAGCAGGCAAACATTCTAACTTATTTATATTATTTATTTTTATTATTTATTCCAAATACTTCATACACTGGTAATAAAACGGTTTGAAAGCAAAACCTGTTTAAATATGTAATTAAACTATGAATAAATGTATTTACTAATAAATTTTTCTCATTAAATATATTTGCAGAATTACAGTACGTGACATTTTTCATATCATAATATATTCAATAAAGTGGGAAAAGAGCTTTCGCGATAGTATGCAGTTTTAGATCATAATTCAGCATATTTGATAACTGCGCATCGCCTAAAATCCAGAAAATGATGAATTAATAAGCTTTTTTTAATAAAATCTTTTATAAATTTAGAAGTCTGTTTTTGCTGTTCTAAATCTCCTTTTTTCTAAATTTCAAATTTGGAAAGTCAAAAAAATTCACAAAATAAGCTAAAGAAACCGAATATTCATTTGATATTCATGCGAAGCATATCGCAAAAGAGTCAGTAGTCGGAAAGCATTTGATAATGGCCGTATATAGTAAAAAAGGAAAAGTATAACGTTGGAGAACTAAAGACCTCTCATACTCTATCAAATAACTCATACTATCATAAAGTCTTGGAGGACACAATCATTCAGTAGTGACCAAACTCTTGGTAGACGTTAAGCGAATTATAACTAAGTTTAAAATAACAACTAAAACTAAACAGGGATGTAAAACACCCTTTTATGTGAAAAATAAGAAGAACGGAAATCACACTTGGTGCTTACAAGCTTAGTCAGCACTTATGGCGAGATAATTTAAATGAGGAATCAAATATCAATTTAAATTCAAGTACACTATCAGCCGAAGGCTGCACAAATTAATTTAACGTGAAGTTGGCTTAACCAGCGTGGAGATTTAATATCGGCGATTATAATACAAAGTCGAAGATTAGATATTTTATCTTAGATGATAACCTAGTGATATATATTTTAAACATGTAACGGATATAATATTTTAAACATGTAACACTTACCATGAAAGTCAAAGGCGAATGAAATTCTGTTCGCATTCATGTATCGTCCTATACTTATACATATATGTTTTTTTAGAACCCTTTCATCCTTCATGATTTCTTTTTGCATCATCACAGGTCGTCGCATTGTAAACACCGATATTGGCTCCTCTCAAATACGCAGCATCATAGCCTGATTAAAAAAAATTCAAAAAGAAAACATTTACATAAATATAAAAATCTGATGTCTACACCACATGACTTCCTTGTACGAAATGTTAAATTATACGCCTTTTTTCTTGCATTTCGTTTAAACTTATTGGATTGAATTAAATCTACTTTGCCGGCAGCGTATAAACCACAAAAGAATAAATGCATTCTTTGTTTACCATAGCGACACTGTGGCGCTAGGTAACATCATATTTCGTTCATAATAGTATTACATTTCGTTCATATTATAACTCAAAATGCATAAAATTTATTTCATTTAAAGAATCATCTAATCGTTGCCACATGTTCTATTCAAATACGATAATAAAGCTAGACCGATGTATAAAAAGAAATTAAGCAAACAAAACAAAAAAAGAAACAGTTTTTTACAGACGATTGAGTATTTCTCATTCAATTAATTCAGTTCTCACTTCGCGACAAGGCAAAAATACATAAAAACTCAAATTATCTGTATTAAAAATTACGAAATAAATCTTAAACACTTATTTCCTCGAAAAAATTTCAGAAAGGATTAAGAATGATTTAATTCGCAATAATAAATGAAGGCGTTATCTTTGTTGTTGCGAAGCTAAGTTTCTGTAGATTGGCAACAAATCCACTAGTCTCCTGTTTCAAATGTAAACACCAATAGCCGCCATTAAAAACAGGCTTAGCGGCAATTAAACAACTTTAAAATTGCTGATAATTCTAAAAATATTGCACACAGGTTTACTAAAGGTATAAAATCCTTAACCGGAAGATAAAAACAGCATAATTCAATCATTTTTAAAGCAAAAAATGTACAATTTACAAACATATAAGAGTAAAGAAACTGAGATCACTGAGCCGGGTAACAGAGTGGATATATATATAAATATATTTATATACGTTTGGTTGCAACCAAAATACGAGGTGCACATCTACATGTTATAGCAGTCCTATATACACAAAATTTCAACGTTCTGAGGCTACTCGTTTTTGAGTTACGCGAGATACGTACGTACGCACGTACGTACATACGTTCGTACAGACGCCACGAAAGATTCTCTTTAAAATTCATTTTAAATGAGTTTTATAATTTTTTTGGAGGTAAAGAGTCTTTTATTCTGTCCTTACGTACAGATATCACGGAAAAACATCGTTAAATTGCATTCGAAAGTGGTCAAAATGGATATTTTCGTTGAAATATGCTGCCTGAAACTTTTCGCGATTACAATACTTCCTTTTTACTTCGTACAATTGGTGTATTTTTTCAGAAAAAGTCCGATTTTGTGTCAAAATACCTATGTTAGAACAATGATAGCTATAAATCTAATATATATCCTATGTCGTGCTTTCAAGACATGAAAAACGAAGTTTGAATTTTGTCAATCGGCCCAGTAGAACAGGAGATATAGAGATGCCCCCCTTTTTTTAACGTACACTGCACAGTGTTCGTTAAAATTGCACATATTATAATCTTTTCCAGAATTCTTAAATTGCCAAAGTTTCTATTAACATTTCTCAGAAGGTAAAGATGTAAAAATCAGGAAGTAAAAATGGCATCATTTAAGTATCAAAGGTATAATTTGATAATTAAAAATTTCCATAAGAACCTTAAAATTAAGTTGTTTGTGTACAACATGCTATATTGTTAAACGTAGACATAAAACAGTTGAAATCTCAATACCAAGAAAGAATTTCTCCAAAATTGCATGGATGTAGTATAACATACCTCCTCGTGGACCACTTTGGCAAAACTAAATCTAAAATTTCTTATTAGCTGCTCTCCAACCATCCTTTCCGAAATGAAGTTTAATATTTTGAACCTTTTTTTAAACATAAGAGGCAAACTGTTCCAGTAGAACGCCTGATTCTATCTCAGAAAATGCGGGCTCAACTTCAATTGCTTTCAGTACTGAAGATATGGATTTCTTTATAATTTTTAAATTAAACTTCATTTTTAAAAGTTTTTTAAATTTTATTGTTTCTCTCCACCTGGCTTTTGTTTGAAAATTCTTCTCAAGTCTAAAAGAAATGCGAGTGAGCTCTTCATTGGCATAAAAAGCAACTTTTCCCCAATTTTTGATAAAGTGATTTATCAAAAATAGCAATTGAATTAGTATGTTAAATGTGCGGAAGTATGAGAATCATTTTTGAATCTTTACCTTCTAAGAAATGTTAATAGAAACTTTGGCAATTTAAGAATTCTGAAAAACATTATAATATGTGCAATTTTAACGTACAGTGTGCAGTGTACGTTAAAAAAAGGGGGGCATCTCTATATCTCCCGTTCTACTGGGCCGATTGACAAAATTCAAACTGCGTTTTTCATGTCTTGAAAGCACGACTTAGGATATATATTAGATTTATAGCTATCGTTGTTCTAACATAGGTATTTTGACACAAAATCGGGCTTTTTCTGAAAAATCACACCAATTTCGGGTTTTCATCAGCAGAGAACCAGTTGGCGCTTCGGGAAAGAACCCGTTGGCGCCATTGCATTTTTACTCGCCAAGCTCGCGGCTCATCGCGATGAACCGAGCCGTAAACGTTCTATTTTGTAAACGTGATTTTTAGTGTATGTAAATTCAATAGCAGACAAAACAATATATAACAAAGAGAAGTAAAAATTCATTCACAGCTTAAAGCATTTTACGTTGAAACAAATACCTGTCTTTTTCATAATATATTTCGCAATACAAATAACCTTCAACGATATTCAAATTTTCTTCAGTAGCATTGTTAATAAAACTAGAACTTTATACATTTTATTTTTCAAGAGTTATTTGAACTGTATTCCTTACACCAGCAGTGGCTTACTAATTTTGATGACCATGGGGATGCATCAAACTATTCTGTCATCTTAGATAATGAATATTTTTTATTTCGATTTAATCAGCTACTTATGTTACAACTGCCATCCTCTGAAAGGTTATTGGTAGAAAAATATTCGCAATGTAGTATCTTGTTAAAATTTTACGCCATAAAAATTGATTTACTCTCATAATTTTAGATGACAATAAACAATAATAAAAGTAAAAGCATTACTTATTTAAAATGCACATGCACATTTTTGCGGCCTAGGAAAGCAAATTATTTTTAAGGGTTGGAAACCTCATGGTTCTGCGTGCTTACAGCGGTTAATAATTAAGAACATAACGTGAACGGCCGTGTTACAAATTAGCATTTGCTCCTCTTGCCATATTTTCTTCCTTTGATCCCGAACTGACGAGCCTAGAACCGGCATCTATCGACGAAAACTTCTTTAATTATACGAAAATATTTCTATCTATTCTTGTTAAAAAACTCAGAAAAATGACGTGGAAATCAGAAAAAATAATAATAAATAAGAGAAGAATAATAGAAGAATAATAGAAATCTCCAAATGCGAACAACGACAGTGATAATTCAACAAAATGAACGCAGGAGGAATGGTTGCAACCTTCGAACAAGCGGATAAGATGAATCCGCTAGGTTACCAGGTTTGAACTATTACCGCCAAAGTTGGTGATGTTTACATTTACCGGGTTCTTTGCGGAAGTGCTACCCCATTTTTGTTTCCATATTTGGCCTACGTATTAAATTTTGTAATATTTGGTGCGAAATTTACGGAAAAATTAAAAAATTTATCTTGGCAAAATTTTTCAGTTTGACAATGAATAATTCACTTGGCGAATTTATTTATATATGGCAACCAATTTTAATTTCCCTTCCATTATGCCGGAGCGGAAAAAAAAGTACCTCGTTCCAACCTTTTTACATTGTGCTTGAGCGGGGTAAAAATTACGTCGTTTCTACTTCCAAATAATTTTTGCCCACCAGCGGCCGAGCGGTAAAGACGCTGAGTAGTTCGGTTCGAATCCCGCGAACGGGCTGACTGCATGGGCTTTTCGTGGTTTTCCTGATATGTAACGTGTATACGAGCCAGTTTCTCTTAGAAAGTCCTCCACGAAGGCATCCATCCCTTTAGGCAGATAGCCCTCGTGTGCTTTGCTATAATTGAGTAATCCAATCCAAATAATTTTAGCAAAGTGCTTAAACTACATCTGATGTTTTATCGCTTTCAACAAATATGCCAAAATTTCAAAACGCGCCAATATATAAATTCACGTATATCTTCGGAAATTTTCAATAAAAAATTGTAATTTTTTGCAGGTTTGCTTAGAAATACGTCTACTTTTAAGATGATGGTAAAAATTTTATAGATTATAATTTAAATTTTTACCATATTTTTTTTATAGATTATAATTTTAATTTGTATTTAAAAATACAAATTTTAAAAATAAATCGCAAAAAATGGTTGAATTTTATTTGGAGTGAACCTGAATTTCGAAATGTGAAAGGAAGAAACAAATATGTTCAATAAAAAAAAAGAGAGATTAATAAATATAGACCAAACTCAATTAACACTGAGGCGCTAAAATTTTGAGAGCTAATTTTTTAAAAATTACTCGTGCGATTTTTACAAAACTTGATAGTTTGACGTAATTTGAATCGTAGAATCGAAATATGGGAAAAAAATTGGTGTGTTATTTCAGAAAAAGGTCCGATTGTGTGTCAAAATACCTATATTGGAACAATGCTATATACAAATTTAATACATATCCTAAGTCGCGCTTTCGAGACATGAAAAACGCAAGTTGAATTTCGTCAATCGGCCCAGTAGAACGGAAGACATGGAACTGTCCTGCCTTTTTTTTTTGCGCAGTGTCCGCAGCATTCGCTAGATTTGCAATAGCATTAATGATGCTAGCAAGAGGAACTGAAAATCTTAACTGACAATGGCTACATTCTTGAATCAATATACAAAAGATGTCATATGTAAGCATATGTTGGTCTAGATTTAAACATTTCAAATCTGCTTATAGTATTGAGAATACTGATACTAAAGCTACTAAATAGTATACTAAACACACTAAATGATAATATTGATACTAAAGATGATGAGTACTAAGAAATTTAATATAAAGCGTTAAGGTATTTTAATATAAAATGTTAAAATACCTTAACATTTTCTTAAGATATCTTAACATTTTATCTTTAAATTTATGATAAACACATATGAACTGCTAGCTGTAGGAGCTTAATTTTGGAACGCAGTCAAAATATTGCTAAATCTCCGTTTCTTACTTTTCTAATACAAGGCTATTTCTTCTGTTTTAAGATAGCCCAACATTGAGTTAGAGAGTGAAAACTGGTTAATAGGATATAGGATAAAACACGGGTAATACATATTAAATTATATGTTACCTGAGTCAAAAATAGCTTCGTAAGTAACTTCTAAAACTTTCCTTTGCTGAGGTTCCACATAATCGGCTGTTGAATTAGTCAAATGAAAAAACTGAGCATCGAATTTGTCCAGATTTTTTACAAGGCCTACTGAAGAGTGTGGCATAGCACAAGCCCCTGTGAAAATGTAATAAATGTGTTCACTAAATTTATTGATAAAAATAATAAATACACCAGTTATAAAATCCCCTTTTTTCCCCAAGGTCCTAAAATAAATTTAAAAAAAAAAAAAAAAAAAAAAAAAAAAAACGAAATTTAAATGATTATGTAAATATATCTATTTTCGTACACAGTTAATATGAGACGCAAATATCAAATTACTTATTTCAGCAATTATAATATTTTAGTTTAATACAAAAGTAGTTTCTGGTAAAGGATACATTTAAATTCATCACAGTTGTCTTAATATCGGGTTAAATTACCCAGAATTATTATTGGAGTCAAAGAATTGTAGAGTCATTACGATGCAGGAGATGCATTATAGATGCAGGAGACGTGAAAATATGTGCAATGCCTTCGCTGGAATTCGAATTTCAGACCTCGCAATAATACGCCATACGTTCTTTCAATTACACTACGAAGGCACGCAGAAAGGAGGAAGAAAATACCTTCTACAGGGCGACTGGGCTGAGAAAGCGCAGTTGCCAAATCTTGATGGTGACGAATTATCGTCCACCATCTTTTAGTTCGAGAGCCATTTGTAGAGCCTTTTAGAATTTTTCAATGCAAGGAAATCGAAGAAATCCGCAAACATATATTTCGCTAATTCTATAAATTTTGTTGCCACTTCCAAGAAGCTAAAGCAAAAATAATTATTAGTGGCCAACCGACATTAAATAATAAAATAAATTAAACGAAAGTAAGTAGAATTAAATTGAAGTATGTATAAAATAAAAACTTCATTCATTTGAAATCCAACAAAGAGGCCGGATTCGAATCCCAGAGAAGGCATGGGAGTTTGTAATGTCTCAAAACATGAGGCGAGCCGAAAGTCCTCTCTAGAGGTTGGTGACAAAGAGAGAGAGGTGGAAGACCCTCGGACCCTTCCTCCTGGGAAGCTCTCTTTCAAAATTGGGATGAAAGTGAGCAGAGTCGTATTGTCACCTGTATGGTGCCATGGCTCTTGCCAACGACAGGCGCAATATTGCCAGCTTGACACGATGAATTTCATGGGCCTGTTCTGATATCAGACAAGCGAGATTAATCACAAAAACAACAACAACGTATGTGTTTCCTTTTCAAGCTGCATTAATAGAATATATTAGAATGAGTAGAATAAGATACATATTTAAAAGAATAAGATACATATTTAAAAGAATAAGATACACATTTAAAAGAGCTCTTCATATGTACATATTTGAGAGCCCATGAGGACCTAATGATGATATCAAAATTGCATGATTATATGAGGTGCCATCGGATACATGATCATTTCCCGAAGACTTTTGTTAAGTTAGCAGCACTGATGAACTTTAGATACGCTTCTTCGTTGCCGTATGAAACTGTTTGGTCTCTGAACATATAACATAACTATGGGAATTGACTCCGCACTGCGTTGTCTGCTTGAACTATTTTGCTGGCATATGTCACAGAATTTTAGTCGAAAGGGGCAATTTGCCCAGGACTATTAATTTCGTTTTCGCATTTTGCGTTGATTCACTATAAACGTTGATTATGTTCCTCCATGTTATTCTGTGAAAAGGACAAATTGTGACTCTTTTGCCAGTTACGGAAAAGCTTACATCTTTGCAACTACAAAACATAAATTCGTTTAATAGAGAAAGGTGTACGCTGAAAAATGCAAAAAGAATTTTGGAATTTGGAATTATGGTTCAACCACAGCTGAATGACAAAAATTAATGAAAATCCCGGGAATTTTGATGACGTCATATAGTGTGCACATGCACAGTGAATTGGCTGTACATCCCCACTTCTTCACATTTTTGTCTGGTGAGCGGATAAGTCTGATTGCACATTATAACGATCTTATAACAGATGAAGTAATAAAGCAATCCGATTTTAAGGCGATGGCTGAGATCTGGATGTTTGAGAATGAACCTATTCAGGTGGAGGGTTTCGAATTGAAAACGTTTATGAGCACAATACTGAAAATTCGCTCTAGAAACAGACATTAAAAAAAGCCAGTGATGTGATTACCTACAGGAATCTAAATAGCATTACCGATTGTGATTAAATTCAGTTTACCTTAAACCTTAGAAAAAACAGGGACCGGTGATATATATATATATATATATAGTCGATATTACAATTAACGGACAGTCGCGTTTTATGGCATCTATATGCATTCATCCATTAATTCAGTCGATTTAAAATTGTTTCTCTTTAGTGCGCTTATGAGATACTGAGAGTCAAGTCTGTTAATCGTTGAAGAGTTCAATATATATGCAGATGTATTGATTACTGGTGGAAGATTTTAATGTAGATTCGAAAAGAAATGGAAAGGCATTCGATTTCTTAAAAGAATACTTCAATCTGGACACGGTACCTTCGAATTATCCAAGGACACTTACCAACTTTTATACAAGGTGGCTAAAAATTATCTTAACACGTGCAGTTATTTCATTGTAACTTTAATAATACTTACAGTTATTTGTCCAAAACGCAAGTGCACAGCTTGATACACCTAAACGCCCTCCTTTTCACCCGCTGCGGTATCACATGGTGACAGGCATCGAGTACACTTGCCCCCATAGCATCACTCTCCACATATCACTTCTTTCTGACATACGATTTGAGGATTTCCCACACTGCATTGTCTGATGTCATAACGTCTACACTTCGAGGTGGCCAAAGATAAGGGACTGATGTATTTTGGGACTCAACGTCCTATCAACCAACCAGGGAATCGTTCATTCAAGCATTCCCGAACAGCAAGTGCAAAGTGGACAGGAGTTCCATCGTATTGGCAAACAACCTTGTCATTGATGCCCAAATTCTGGAGCTATGGAAGAAGCCAGTCATTCAACATCTTCAAATAAGTAACTTGGGTTACAGAACCCACAAAAAAGTGTAGGCCAAGGATGTCTTCTTCAGTCGTCCCCGCCCAATTCTTTCTTCTTCCAAATGATCAAAGTTTGACGACTTGCTGGCTCTTTACTAAACCATTTAAGTATTAAGCTATCCATCACCTTTGTCATATTTTGGTTGTTGTGTTTCCGTTCATAGACGCACACACTTGTCACTAAGCGCTGCTCAAAAGTGAAGTCATTATTATCTGCTATTATTCTTCACCAAGTACTAAGACAATGAACTGGTCAAGACACATACTTTGTTCTCCTGCCCAAGTAGTCATGTGTCAATCACGTTGAAATTCGCCGTAAGGAGACTATTGCCATATCAGTGATCAGAATGGAAGATTCAAATCTTAAATATCTTATCATCTTGAACATTGTTACACGCATTTAGTTCCGGTGAAAAGGGAATTTTTGGCTACTCTATAGATCTCACATTCACGAGAAATATTAAGTACACAGTAAGTGGATTATGTTTTTTATTTCTCAGATCATCGTCCTATATTGCATAAAATAGTTACGAATGGAAACTATACAAACCTGAATAAAAATATTATTTACATTTTGTTAATAGCAATTTTTTTCGTTTATAACAGCAATTTCTTATAGCTTTAAAAAAAAAAAAATCCCGTATAGTTTACGAAAGGAATAGTAAGTTTACGCATTAAACCCCAGCGGCCGAACTTTTGAACAGACAAACTCTGGTATTTTTTTTTTTCTATTTTTGTGTGCTTGTTATTTTTCTTTTTGTTTAATATGGACTTTTATGTGGAATCATTAAAATATTTCATTTCAAAAAATACTATTTAAAAATTTAAATCCTTTATAAACAATTTTTATTTTAATACTACATTCTCCATGTACAATTTGTTATTCGTACTGAAGTCACTATGAAAACTATCACATATTTTTATTACATCACTCAGTTTAAGATATTAAGTATTAACATCGAAATGGAAAAATAAATTTTAGGAATAAACAAATACCACACCTTTTTCATAGCGCTCATCAGAAAACAGCATTAGGTCTTTCTTTGTCAGCAAAGCTTCCTTCAGTTCTCCAACCGTGTCACAATTAGGGAATCTACCAGCTACACCGCTGATGACGATGTCATCCGGGTCAAATCCTCCTGAACAGTACTCGTGGTAATCTACTTCCGACTGCATCGCAGGAACTGTTGAAAAGTTAATAAAGAAGTGTGAACATTCGTGAAAGCCTGAATATAGAACATCAATAATGCACAGACAAAACAATACCTGATTATCTGGAAACCAAATACTTTCTAAGGATATCTTGAAATATTACAAGCTAAAGCAAATAAACATGAACGATCAAATCTGTTCAGTCTATCCTTATTTACTAAATAGGGACAAATTATTAGCTTTTATTTTGTATGAGGTTTGTCCAAAAGCAAAGATTACAAGGACCAATATCCTGTCAAAATTTTTTTTATTAAATCAAACTTTCATGAAATATTAGTTATATTAGGTAAAAATATATCGACGCAAGTGCCGCTATTACAGTTTACGCCTCATAAAAATCTCTGTCTTGCCTTTCGAACAACAATATCATTCCCCTATTCGTTATGACATGCTTTCTTTAGTAAACAAACAAATGAAAGTCCCTACGCCTGGACTAGATGACGAGTAATCGAAGGCTTTTTAGTCCAAATGGGCATTGTCCCTGAAAGACTATTGTTTTCGTTTTGCGATTTTGCGTCGGAACCCTATAAAAAGCGTATAACTTTTCAAATCGTTGCCACCAAATATTATCGCCCTGTGTTATATTTGAAGAAATTAAATAATGAAAAATCTGCATACATGTATATATATTTCTCGCATTGTGATAAAACAACGGTACATAGAGTCATCGAATTTTGAATGACGTAATCCTTCTACGAATATAGGCATGTGGAAGGCCAAATTTGAGATTTGGAATTTGTTTTATGATTTATTTCATATTTTTAAAACTTTAAAACGGATTTTTGATTAACAAACTCAACTATTTAAAAGCGAGCAATGGCAACACTCTACCGGGGGGGGAGCCTTTTATCTCCAGCGCGCGGAACTGAGCATCGGCAATTCTAAAGAGAGGCTCATTTTAAAATTATTTTGCGACATTGCTGTTGAACTGAATTTTATGGTTGAAGTGCGAAGAACATGATATTTAATAAATAAAGGTAACACACAAAACGTTAAAAAAACGCATCTTTGGACGTAATTTAAAATCTGAAACCTTTCAGATTTTTTCCTCTTTAAGTTTTCCATAAGGAAATTTGTTGCACCTCTATCATTGGCCCAGGAGAGTTGTAATGGAATAGGTAGGTACCGTTTTTCTTCTTCTATTTGAATGCCGCGTCAAATTCATGGCAAGATAGATAGTATTTTCAGGAATTAAACAAGAAATCTGTATCTTTTTAAGAAAACGAAACCATGATTTTATGGCCGAAACAAAAATGCTTGAAGAATCGTGTATGGCCCCACTGATATGTTTGTTTCTTGCATTCAAGTGAATATTGGAAAGACCAAATTTTATTTCCAGCTAGATTCTGCAGAGCATCTAATGAAGCCAAGAACATTGTCCATTCTTTTCGTTTTGAGGTTTCCTGCTAATGAGCCCGGCACCGAAATAAGTGCACTTTTTTTTTAACACCCTAATCATTTAGTCACTGCTTCATGAATCAAAGCCTTGAAGATTTTCAAGACAGATTTAATGCAAATTTTTAACTATCTCGGGCAGATTACCAACAAATACTTTTCCGAATTTTTGAAAAATACTGTCAGAGACTTAAGAGGAATGCTTGACATCACGTCATCGCAGTCTGTCAGTTCACAATGTAGCCATAAACAGCTATAATTTTTCCATGATTTTCAGCTGATCTTTAGTTCCTTGCTCTGAGAAATAATACAATAACTTACTTTTACAACTGGCAAGAGCTGGGCTGCCAGTCCAAAAATATTTTATTCGAATAAGCGATTTTCATTGAATAATTGAAGGCGAGCAATGCTTATTAAATGCTCAAATAAAATAACACATTCAAACTTTCTGGAAATTTTTCTACTGTATGAAGCAAAAAGCCAGTGATGTGGCTACAGGAATCTAAAGAGCAATTCAATTCAATTTACTTTTAACCGTAGAAGAAAGGTAGAAGAATAGGGGCCGCCGATATATACAGTGTGATTCTAAATTGTTTTTACAAATTAAGAGGGGGGATAGTACTCATCCAGATGAGCAATAATTACTATAGAAGCTAGGGTCGCATTCCACTCGGAGAGGCAGAAAAGAGGAATATTAGAACAACCTGAACTTACAACAGTGTTGGGAGAGCGAATGAACGAGTTCAAAAGTTGCACAATCAGTTTAGTGACAAACTCACAGAGAGTGCAGAAAACGAATAAAACTTGGCGTTCGAGTGTTAATTCGAGCTCAGACTTTGATGGAAAACTCTCAAATGCACATCTTTGGTCGGCAAGGGTTTAACCTCGCAAACGATTGCAACAAGTTAACTATTTAACCAAGGGCTGAATATTATCAAATAACTCTAACTTCCGCTGTATGCGAGATTAACATGGAAAGTTCATGCTGGGTTCCGGCTGTCAGAACTTCGTGTCCCATAGAAGGGCGCTTCAAGTAGAGTGATCGCAACACAGTAACTCCAGGAGGACAGGATAGAAGATGGCGAAGGGGGATTGCTATCTTGGGATACTTGATATCAGGTTATATAACTATCAAGGTAGCAGTTTTTTCCTCCTAATAGATAATTTCCCTCTAACAATTTAGATAATTGTTGCAATCGTTTGCGAAGTTGAGACCTTGCCGACCAAAGATGTGCATTTGAGTGTTTGCCATCAAAGTCTGACCTCGAACTAACACTCAAACACCAAGTTTTCGGTTTTATCCGTTTTGTGCACTCTCTGTGAGTTTGTCATAAAACTGAGTTGCAACTTTTGGACTCGTTCATTCGCTCTTCCAACACTGTTATAAGTTCAGGTTGGAATTCTAATATTCTTGTTTTCTGCCTCTCGGAGTGGAATGCGACCCTATGTTCTATGGTAGTTATTGCTCACCTGGATGAGTATTATCACCCCTCTTAATTTGTAAAACCAAACAATTTATAATCACCCTGTATATGGTTGAAATTACAATTAGCGGGCAGTCGCGTTTTATATTGGCATCTGTATACATTCATCAATCAGTTAATTCAGCCGATATAAAACTGTTTCTCTTTAGTGCGCTTATGACGAACTCAAAATCAAGACGTATTAATGAAGATTTTGATATAGTAACCAGCAAGCGATGAATTCTTACTTTTGAGATATATTACTTAATTGTTCGCAAAATTTGATTCAAAGATTTTGAGGGTTTGATCTGTAATAGACACTGCAAAGTGATCTAAGTGAAGACATTTATTCTCAAATAGCGAGGCGAATTCTTCCCGTATAAATAAGGATAATGTTTTTTACATTTAATTGATTAACTAAGAACGAACACTCCAATTCTGATTTACGTTAAATATAAATTTAAGGTTTTTATTCAGCCGTTTTCACTTACTGTTGAGACTTGCGGGTACTTTTCTAAACTCGGAACTATTTCCATAAAATTCCTTAGCACGTCGACTGCTAAGCGAATTTGTACGAAAATATCCTTTAGCTGCTATACCAAGCGCTGCTATACCATGCGTCAATTGTTTCCGATCGTAGCAATTTAGAACGTCTAAAACGAAATATTTAAAGACCTGCATTTAGTTTAAAATCTTTCCTCAAGAACGAAAACATTTGGAGACATAAATTCAGTTTAAAATCTTTCCTCAAGAAGAAGTAGCCAAGAAAGGTTGTGAGATTCGAAAATTAATTCTTCTTTATCAGATATTTTTTCTGTAGTGATAAATGATTGAAATTATGTTTTTGTATTAAAACCGTTGCCTCAGCTTTTTGCAATGTCCAGAAAAGAAAAATGAAATAGTGATTTTTAAGTGAAACATATAGCAGTGTGGAAGATATCTGCTGCGAGGTTTATAAAAATTCGAATATTGCGGTGAAGAACAGTCCAGATTTTGGAGAGGGATAATTATAAACAAAATTGCATCTTCAGATACTGAGTCAAATACTGATAAATTGCAGTGATAATAAATGTGGTGTTGATACTATTGATCATATTTTACAAGAAATGGTTGTTTAGGAAGAAAGCACAATTAAATTTAGTGAACGGGAAGAAATTTAGCTGTCAACAACAATCATTTTCGTTTCTTTCTTTCAACAGTCAACAATCACTTTTCAAATACCTACTTTTATCTCGTCAGTGCTCAAAGAACTGTCACCCGAATACGGATAAGGCGACCTAATCAGAATTTTTGCCGTCACCCGGTAGTCAGAGTGTTAACTGATAGTTGAAAACGCATGTCTTCTATTAATATTTAAGGTGTGTGTATTGAGAATACGGCAAAGCACACTAGGGCTATCTGTCTAAGAGGAGAGATGCCTTCGTGGAGGACTTTCTAAGGGAAACTTGCTCGTATACACGTTACACATGGGGAAAACCACGTAAACGCCCATGCAGCCAGCCCGTTCGTGTGATTCGAAACTCGGACTGAACTGCCAGTGTTCAGCGATTTTACCGCTCTGCCGCTGGTGAGCTAATATTTAAGGAAATGAGGTTTATATCTCTGCACGCAAACCTCGGTCACTTGAGCAGCCATTTTGTTTCCCAGCTCACTCAGATAGGTCGTGTTGTATTTTTTCCGACACCTAGCCGAATTTGACATGAACCATCCTTTTGTTTTTCCCACCCAACTGAGAGAGACTCTTGAGACCCTTTTGTTTTTTCGCTCTTCAAGTCGGGCCGCAGCGACCGTTTGCGTTTTTCTCTGCGCGCAAACCTGGATCGCATTAGCAGCCATGTTGTTTCCCAGCTCACCCAGATAGCTCGTGTTTTTTTTTTTTTTTTTTCGACACCTAGCCAGGATGGACGTGAGCCATCCTTTGGTGTTTTGATCGAACCAAGATTAACACGAGCCACCATTTTGTTTCTCAACTGAAAAGTAAATTTT